AAGTATTGTTAAATTAAATAATTATCTATCAAAATAATAATTATCTATCAATCTAAAAAATACAGCGCAATATTTGTATATAGTCTTTGTATATAATGTGACATCCTTGCCATTTCAGATGGTGCCAGTGAATACAGAAAGACTGTTCTTTTTTTCTTAAACTTACTTTCAATGTTTTTTTGGTAAAGAATATTCTTTTCTATTTATGATATGATATGATATGAGTTCTGTAGCAAGGCACCTTTGAATCTCACTATATGATTGTATATGCGACACATAAACATTAATTGATGTATATTCAGAGATGTGAACAAAGAAAAGCAACTTGTGCTCACATTTGAAAGATGAAATGTACCAGTTGCGTTATATAATAGTGTCCAAAACACTTCTGTGGCCTATATTTTTGCACAATAAAAAGTCATGACAGGCCAGTGGCATAAAGTGGGTATGAAAGATTTACCCATTAAATCTTGAGAGAAATTAATTATCCATCAAAACTCCTGCAGGGTACGAAAGGGGAAAATGAAAGCATTCAGATGAGTATGAGTATAAAGTATCTGTTTCACATAGTCCCTGTCGTTGTTCATGCCCCCCCCCCCCCTCTCAAGACATGAAAGAGTGAGCCTCATAATAAAATGGAATAAACCATCTTCCAAGGTTGAATTATTGTAATTACACGTAATTGAGTGTTTGGCGGCAAAACCATTTCCTCCTCAGATCCCGCATGTACTTTTTGAAAATCACGATCACTTTGTTCTTGGCCCCAGCCACCGATTGACCTTCTCCGATTGCAGTCTTTCCTGAACGCCTGTGACATGAGACAGAGTGGGACTTGGGGGGCTGGTTAGGGTGGGGGGGCGGCTGCGTGCTATGTTGTCACAAGATGAGTTACTCTTCACCAGTTCCATATGGTTTCATTCATCTGTTGGGCTCATTTCTCTCCCTTTCCCCTTTTCGCTCTATTTATAAATACATGAAGCCGTGTGCAACGTTTTAGCCTTGGCCAGAGGCTGGGGTTAAGAATGGGAGAAACCACCAAAACACAAATTAGTTCATGTTTCATTCCAGTGTCTCTGAGGAGTTTGGTTTGTTCTGGGGAAGAAGCACATGCCTGTACAGTAGACGTGCCGGAGCATGCATAATAGCGGCCATTGTTTTCAGGTCGCGCTGGTCCGCCAGCAGCCTCTCAGCAGAAGAGCACCAGTTCAAATTGACCGACCAGTTGAGTTTTTTTCATTCGTATTGCGCGGGTCAACAAAGATTACATGAAAATTCCAAACAGTTATATTCTACCACAGTATAACATTCTCACTATGAAATAGATTTTCCGAATGAACCCGCTGACTTGTGCTAAGAAACTCAACATTACGTTTTCAAGGGTGCAGCAGTGAGGATGAGGCAATGGGGCCGGGCAGTGACCTGCTTTGTAAATGCTTCCATGGAGCTTTTTACCCCTCAAAGACAATTGTGGCAGTGTGACTGTACTCGTCTGTGTCAGCCCCGTCAAGTTGTAATGGGGTGATCGTGCAGAAATTGCAAGAAACTATTTAGTGAATCCACAACCAATGCCGTCAAGTTTAGCTCAGAGGGAGAAGCAATATAATTGTCGTTCCAGTGGTGACAAGGAAGCAAGATTAATTCTGCCTGCACAGTTCACTCATAGAATGCCTGTTTTTGCTATAATAACAGGATGTGACTTTTTAGTGGAGCTAATTAGTTTTTTCCTTAGTTGACAGGATAATAAACTATTCATTTTTGGTTGAACGACTATTGACCAGAGTTAATATTAAGACCTTCAGGGAAAAACAAAAAGGCTGCATTTCAGTTCAGAATATTTTCTTTGCATTCATTATAAGCAGCAACGGTCCCCTGCTAAACTTTCTACAAGAATATCCAAAACACTTTGGATAATCATAGGAATAAAAAGTAAACATTACATCAATTTGTCTTTTAATGGATAAAGTTAAAATGCCTCTTTGATCTTAAAAATAAAAGATTTCTTAAACAAAAATTGTAATTCCAGTATTCGTAGTCGATTTGTCAGTGGGTATCACGCACTTCACTTGATTACATGGACTCCAGCTCAAAAGTAAGTTGCAATTGGGAATGTCAGGTTGCCATTTTCTTATGATTGGCTGATGAAAGGTATAATTTAAGACTGCCAAGAGAGCGACTTCAAAAGCTTCCAATGCCACATTAGGCTGGAATGTGAAAGCTGTCCAGGCAAAAAATTATCCAATTTTCCACTGGCTTTAATTACAAAGAGGATCCCCTTTCATTGGTGGGTCAATTGCTGTCCATTTCTGAAGTCTATTGTAGAAAATGATTAAGTCAAGCACATCCACAATGCTTGAATCTGGACTGTCGTAATGTATCAATGGGATGATTATATCATATTTACAAACTCACATGTCCACAGTCTGCAAAACAACCTCCAAACGGATGGTATAAAGAATCAAGAGACATTTGTGTGCCTTACGAGACGAAATGATGACATTGATGGCCATAGTCCAACCATTCAGTGGCATGAAGTAGTTACTTTAATAACTGTTTTGTTTGTGCTTGTGGTGAAGGGTAAGACAAAGTAAAATAAATGGGTAAAGGGTCATTTGCCCTGTAACCGTGTCTTTTCACAAAGTTTCCCTTTCTTGGCTCTCACTTTGCCAGCAAAATAAATGCATGAATTGTGGTTAATCCCTGGAGGAGAGAGACATTGTGCCTGAAGCCGGTTGGTAATGGGCAATGCCCTCTCTAATCTAAATAAAGTTAAGCGTCTGCATTATGGAAAATCCAATTTGTGATTGCAACATCTGTACTTAACCTATGGGTTCTTTTTTGTTCCGAGCAGCTAAACTGCATGTATTTTCCGCAATTACTTTTCCAAGAAACTTACATGCACATGACCTTGCATGCAATGCTTATGATTTATATGCAAAAACTGGGTCCTGGCAATTATGATACTAAAAAAGAATTAACATCTAAATATTCTCAGACATGCAAACCCATGCACAAATTACAGCACCCTGAGAAACAGTCAAAGCACAAAAGAACCTTTACCTCTTCTCACACAGACGCACAGTCATACATAGTTTCATCCAGACAACATTCAATCATTTATTTAATTTCCATTTGACAATTAATAGTAATAATGAGTATTTAATTGCCAATTAAATGAACATGACTATCACAAACACTGTCACTTTCGATCACTACCTGTTAAATCCTGTGTCAGGAGGGGCAGGGCGAGAAGAAAGGCGACAATGTTTGGTACGTGTCCAGAGGCTTTATTGTAAGCCTACAGGGTGTGGCAGGTAAGCCTCCACCTCAAAGGTAACAGCTCCCTCCCATGTAATTGCTCTTCATCAGATCAACTTGCAGGACATTCCTGCAGACGGTTTCAAGGGACTACTGCCAAAAGAGTTAACTGCCATCAAAAGGAACAATCTACAGTTTGAATCTGCGGTGGTGGATGGCATATCATTGCGTCGTTAGCGCAGGTTTCGGACCACACCCCAATCATAAACAATACAGACAGCACTGAGGGACTTATCCAAGCAAATTCAGAAGGATAAATTTAGACCAACAAGCAAGCAACATGCAAAAAGACAGAAGCTCTTTGACAAAAGACTGTCATTTGCACCAATGAGATTTCTTTTGACAGAACTGGGACTATCCAAGCGAGTCAGAGGAAGGATGCATCCTCAGGCAAAGCAGAGATAAAGGCCTTTGATAGAATTAAGCCAACGTCAAACAGCCAGTAGATGAGTCCTGTGAAGATAGAGCATCCAGGACTGACAGGTCTGATAATAGTCCAAACAAAGAGAAAGTGGAGATTAAGGGGTTCCTTTTCAGGCAGTTAAGTGGACTGCCCAGAGGACACTCCAAAACATGGCTCATCTGTCAGGGACGGGAGCCATAGATACCGTCACTGACTCTTCATCCAGGGGCCAGATGGTATCTAGGTATTCCTATGCTGTACTGTAGTTTTTAGGGTATTGTCAATCCGCTTGATCAGCATGTTTGCAAGACAATATTTGTTAACATTGAGCTGATAACATTAATTAGAGGAATAATAAATAAAGGGAATGCAATAGGCGAATAAGAACTATATTGGAAAGAGTTAGCATCCAAGCAAACAGTACGTAAGTGCAAGGGTCAAAGGGCTGGCAATATTCATAGCTTTATAATAAAATAACTATGGGGGAAGTGTAAGTGATCGACTCTCAGAGCAACGATTCCCAATCATGTCCCCCAAGCAACTAGCTAGGGAAAGCTAAACTAATAATAAAAAAAATATTTAAAAACAACATCCACATGTTTCTGTAGGGAAGGAATGTAAGAGCCAAATTTGAATACAAATTCTGTCATTTACAGTAACAAGCAGCCGAAGTACTTTTACTCAAGTACTGTACTTAAATGCAATTTTTAGTGAACTGCATATTTGTATTTTAAACTTTTCTTTACTAACCTCTAGAAATTGTTTTGATATTACACAGTTTTATATCTATTCGGTGGTGTCTGATAGTATTCAGTTTATATTCCATTGAACGTTTTTGAGTGGTGGGTTCATCAGAAGAAAAAGGCTGAATTGGAGAATAAGCACGACCCGGGAAAAGATGGCTTCTTAACAAAGCCTTTGAGGCTATGAAACCTATTTAGATAAAAATGTGACGTTAAACAGCAGCCTGACGTACTTTTTGCCATTCCGAGTACAGCACATGCTTGCAGCAAGCTCAATTAGTGTCTATCCCGTGGTGAGATAAAAGTTTGGAAACTTTAATACTCCTCATATTAACACATTAAGAATAATACATGTAGCCTTTTATGCCCAATATCTTTAGTCCTCAAAAAGCTGTTCTCTTTCCACAGTGAAGCGAAAAGAGTGAATGAAAAAAAAATGACAGAGTTAATGCTGAGCGGGCCGAAAATGAGACAGTCGCAGTACTCAGTTTTAACGCAGTCTAGCAAAACACTAACAAAGGAAATGAGCAAACCACACAGCAAGTAAGAGGCTTTTATTCAACACTTGGGTTCTAAACTGCTCACATCTGGGTGCCAACTCCTGTCACTTACAAATGAATGGATTTATGAGAAATATTACGCACAAATTACTACATTAGTCTAGACAGGACATTATTGTAGCTTTACTTACATTGGCATGACTGAGTTCAGGTTATTTTAAACAAATATGTATATTGGTATATGTCAAACATTAACAGCTTCCAAATTTGCACTCAGGACTAAATGGCATGAATCAGTTACTACTAGGCTACATTTCTCAGTGTAAAACTATACATAGGAGTTAGATTTCCATGCCAGATGAAGCAAACTCATTTACACTTACTTCAAAGCATAATATGATTTTGAGAATTTTAAAATTATACAGCTTTAATTCGGCAGTTAAAATAAGTATGGTTGTGTGAACTTTTATTGAGGTGTCATTTGTTCTCCTTAAACCGTGGTTTATATTCTAAAATATAGTGTGTGTCTTAGCAATATAACCCTGCCCTTAGTAAACTGGAATATCTTTAAACAAATAGTGAGTTTCTAACCACATGGAACTGCCAGAAAGGAACAATGCTTGGCAGGCATCTTAAAAACACACATTTATGAACTGTTTTAATTGATAATGTCCTGCAGGTACAACAGTTCAAGGACTTCAGTCCTTTGAAAGAGGGTGTTCCGTTTGCTTTTTCATCAGCTTAATTTTCAGTGTGTAATATTCCTCTTGCAGCTTAAGGACAGCCTCTTGTCTTCTTAGCACAGACATTTCCAAATCCATTCGCTCTTGCAAAGCTGTGCCGTTCACTGCAGGTGGAGGAGATGAGTACAGAGTATCTACAGGTTCTGCAGAAGCGGCAAAGCCATCAGCACGATGAGTGCTAATATGCACCGCAAGTGATTTTGAGACGTTATCAAAATCTGTCATTTTATGTTCTGCTGGAGAAGTGGATTCATCTGAATATGTGGGGAGCTCAGGCTCTCTCAATGGATGATTATTTGAGAATCTTTCATCTATTTTCTGGTCCTTTCGATCTTCATCGCTGGTGAAAAAAAGAGTTTGTCAACAATAATGTTGGACAATAATATGTATTTTATCTTTAATGTAGTTGGTTCTTGCAAATTACCTATACCTATAAAGGACATTTTGTTGCAATGCTCCACTGAAAACTGTTCAAAATAAAGTTTGTGAAGAACATAAATGTAACCAGGACATCATTTGAAGAAAGTGGGTTTTGTAGTTGGAGTGAACAAATCTCAATAAATGTATTTTCAATAAATTACTGTATACAAAGTTATACTTTGTTTCAGTCTAAGCAAATAAAATAAAATGAATCACCTGTTTTTTTTAATCTCCAGCAACCCTGAGCTTGGAGAGTCTTCTGTATTGTGGTGCAGCATATCTGAAATGCCCATCACGGAAACCACCACTTGAGTCACAGTAGTGAGCTGGTCAACGGACAGGCCTTGTATAGGTGAAAAGTCAATTCACGCATTAGTTCATAATAAGCACAATACTATATATTTCAACTCAAACAATGATGTTCATGATTTTCTTTTTAACTCAAACACAATTTTTCTGCAACTATTCTCACAGTCTTGCTGCAGATTTAATGATACGGAGCATTACACTTTTCTCTTCACTTTCGCTAACAAAGCGCATTCTCCTCACCTGTGCCCGCTTGCCTTTTCTGGCGTTTGATCTCCACTTTAGACTTTGCCAGTAGATTTTCCCACTTTTTGTTACAGTCATAAACTGTCCTATGAATCTGTGGAAAGACATTGTTGATGGATTGGGCTACTTGCTTCCAGGCTTGTCTTTTATCCTGTATTGAAACTTCAATGCCGCACTTCCCTCTGATTGCTTCTTTTCTCTCCTGCAATAACTGAGCAAGAAGAAGACACTCCTGCTCTGTCCAGTTAGGTTTCCGCTTCCTGCTGGACATCCCTTCAAGAAGTTGTACGGGCAAGCTTCTGGGAATGGGAGACATATTTTGAACATTTGAGTATCTCACCTGTATTTGGTCATTTATATCCTTACCAAATGCATACGGTGCAGAAAACTGAACACATCTAGATGTTGCTATACTATTAAACATGCTATTCTAATTGAACGGCTATTAATATAAGTAGTTTCTTTTTAACTTAAGTAATTATATTCAAGATGCTTTTTTAATTTAAGATTTTACCTACCTGGAACCCAGTGACAGTGACGCAAGTCAGACCTTTGCTTGATGTACGTGTTATTAAGTGCAGGAAATGCCAACTTGTAAAAGAATCACAAGTAAAACCGTAAAATAAAATGTTGCTTTCTTCTCCGTCTCAGGGAAAATCCACAACGTCGCAGGACGATGACGTCGTCTCCTGGTGACGTGTCACTTTGTTTACAGCGTGCCCTGCGCTGCAGCTGCACAGTTATGGCTGTGGATATAACTTTACTTTTCAAAGCCAGTGTCAAGACAGTAAAAACCAGGAACAAGGCAATAGGAATAAGCGTTGACTCTACCAAAGATGAAATATTCAAGAGGATCAGACCCAAGAGTGGCTTTTCTCCGAAGGCGAAAGAAGTGGTGAGTGTTTCCTCAAGCTAACTTTAGCTAGCTGGGCTAGCATCGAAACAAACTTTACGCTTTACTGACAATTAGATATTGGGCTGTTTTATTGCCACTGTTGCACATGCTGTACTGTAGAACCAACAGTATGCCTATTAAACGTGTACAGTAATTTTATCAATTCATTTTGTACCACAATTTGCTAGACCCCTCAGCATTGTAACGTTACATATCCTTAGACAACCTTTTTTGACTGCATCGTGAAGGTAAATAGGAGGGCAATATGGATAAAATCTACGTTACTTATGTGATGGTATATTAAATCAATTGAATATATTATATATGATGGCACTCTATTACATTGATATTAAAATCATGGCTACGCCCATTATTTTGCCATTAAGCAGTCATGCTTGTGGATTCCTAACATTGCCCAATACACCCAGAGACATTGAAGGAAGAGCTGCTGTGGTGTTTAACGGTGTGGCAAAATCTCTGATGAAGTTCTATACTCTTTAAATTGACCATTACATTGGCCAACCCCAATGGGACTCTTATATCATCCTTCTTGCTTTTGGACTGCAGGTATAGCTGGAGGGTGTTTTGATGCTCGCGTCAGCTATATTTTTATTTACTTGTCTGGTTACTAAGCTGTTCTGAAGCCTTCTCCTATTTAGATCAGGGTTTGTAATAGTACACACTGACCATATACGTTAAAGTGTTTCATGTTTTAGATGCCAAAACATTCCAAATGTATTTGCTGTAAATTGGTTCATGGAATTCAAGTAGGCTGTCAAATTGCAGTACACCAAATATAACATGTAATGGCCTGGTGAATGCCAGCAGATATTATTCATGTTCATGAAACACTTCCCAGTATTAAACAGAAGAAGTATTAACCTTATTGTATCGACTACGTACTTTAATCCCTTTCAGAGTCCTCATTCTAACCAGAAACCCTAGCTTTATTTTTGTGTTGATTATTTACTCAAAAGGAAAATACTTTTCCTCGAAGTGTTTAAGGATGCACCGTAGTTTGACAAGATCCACCGTCATCGTATTTGTTCGGAACAGAGTAACCTTCCAAATAGCCGTTAACCATAGAGAGCAGCTCGCCTTTGTCCCTCTTTCACTGCGTCTCTTGGCCTTTAACACACTCTGTCTGTTTCAAGATGTTTTCCCCTTGCAGGGTGCCCACTGCTCTCGTAAATGCGCATTGCAGTTAGAAATGGGCCATGGCTTGAGATTAAAAATCTTAGAGACGGCATAGGTGTATTCAATCCATTTGACTCATATTTACATCTTGAGCACATCATGTCTACCCACTCACAAAGATTTGAGGGATGTTGCCCCACACTCCGAACTACATTTTCTGTCTCGCACATAGCAAAAACGTTGTCTTCTGCTCTACCTGCCTGCTTTTGTTACACGCCTGCTTGGTGTATTACAACAACTGTACTGAAGTCAGTGTGCTTCTATAAAAAAAAAAAGATGTGTTTTTTCGAACATGTCATCTTCTGGACACAACATACTACCAGTTGAACGTTTGGAAACATTTTCTCATTTAATTCAATGAGAAAGTCTGTCAAAACAACATACTATTTTTACTTAAACCTTGGTTTAAGGCTATAGGTATTTTCAGATCCTGCCCCGTGTGCAGTTCAGGAAAAATGACCGCTCTGCATGATAACTGGGAAGACAAAAGTTGTTTAAACAAAAATCACACTAGGCCAACTGGCCAGGCTCAGCAGTTTTATACCCAGAATACTTTGTGCCAACTGTCAGGTCCCAGCGCCAGTGCTCCCCAAACGTTGACAGGCCAAGATTCTGGGCTTTGAACCTACCCGGAAAATTGCCCAATGAGATCTGGACTTCAGACTGCGGAAGCCAAAACTATGCTTATAAAACGAGCAAAGAGCTTTCTCCTCCATCTATCTAGATTTAAAAGACATGGCATGTTTTTATTATAATGTTCTGTACTCGTTAAAAAAGGATTTCAATCCCAGACAAATATTCAGCTCTGTATTTACATCGTTAGTAAGGACATTTTTATTTCAGTACCTCTGTTGAAACACACATTGCTTTAAATATATATATTTTTTAAAAGTCGCGTGAACCTTGTGCTTAACCTGTCGGAAGGGCCTTCGCGGGTGTTTAATTAGTTCTTGAAATCATCTCACTGAAGCGACGTGGTCAGCGGTTGGCAGTAGGTAATGGATCATTGGGAACTACGAGACTTCACTCCATGTCGTGAGAGTTGATCCTCTGCCAGAAGTCCGTATGCCTGCCATGAATATCGTACACATAGTAACACAAACCTCTTCAAAGGCACCTTGAAGAACCACTTTACGTTTCCCTCGGGGAGTCAGGACTTTAAGTTGTACCCGATGTCTCCAACCATCAGTCAGGGGCAAACGCAGGCCTGGTCACAGCAGCCCTGCACAACTAGGTTTTTGTTAAGTTCCGTTACATTGATATTAGAAATGGAGGTTTAATAAAAGCAGTGGTGCTGATTCAAAGAAACCCAAACCTGTGGTGCCGGCCCTCTACTCCCCCCCCCCCCCCCCCCCCCCCCCCCCATCCCCCCAACTGCTGTGTCCCTCACGCTGCAGATATAATCTCAAACCATCTCGCTGAAGCAGCTTTTGTAGAAATTGAAATTGCGAGCCTGGAATGTCCTGACTGCTTACAGTTATGTCGCGGTTTTCACCCACATCTCGGCTATCAATTCTTCTCTGTACAGACTGACATAGGCAGCATTTCTTGGGCAAGTCCCCGCTTCACATGTATGATTCCATAAACATACTGCAATAACATTTTCTTTCGGCTCTCCAACAATTTCTTAGGGAAAGCCGATCCTCCCAAGAGCCAGTGATTAAAGGTGGAAGATCAAAACAGAGAAAATATTAAATTAGGTCCCCAGTAACAATGTTGACGGCCGGCACCTAATGCACAACAGATGTGGGTGCCCTTCAAGACGTGTACAACTCCAAGTTCCCACTGAAGCTTCACAGGAAAATAGAAGGAAAACATCACATTTGACAACTACACAGTGGACCTAATGAGTCTTTTTCCTGCTCAAAACTCCGCTCAGAGAGAAAGGAAATTCAGCATCTTTCAAGGCAACAAAAAAGGGCTTGATTGGCTAATAAGAGGGCCAGTGTTTACAGGGTGGGGTTCGGACAGGGGAATCTTTTACCTCACAGGGGTCCGTTTGGGGCACTGTGATCTCCATTTCACCGCTCACCTCGTCTCTCGCCGCAGCGTGCTGCCCTTCTCGAGTTTAAATGGAGAAGGTCACTTTAAAATTGGTAAATTGTGTGTAGAAAATAGTGCTTGGTTCCCCACTGTGCCTTCATTATTTGAATGCCAAAATTGGCTCCTTCTCACAGTGTTTTCTTAGAAACCCTGAGAGTGTGGCCATTGGCCTGCACTTAAAAGTATGTTGTGCTTATAGAGATTCCTCATGATATCTTTCATATTGAAATAGTATGCTTCTATATTGTTAAAACATCTCTGTTAGAATCAAGTTTACTTTATGTTTTGTGGATTTTGTCGAAGTTATGTTTTGGGACTTTATGGCCCCAAATGATTTCTGAAAAATAAAAGTGAAGTATTATTTAGCCAATAAAGTAGAGTGGGATATGTTAAATCTGCAATGGCACACTCAGGGCTGGAGAACAAACCTCTCTTTTTATGCTTTTAATAATGGTGTCATGAAGCGGGAGCGTGTTGGCAGATTGTGTTTAACAAGCCTTGATGGATAGATGTGGTTTATGTAAATATGCAGCCATTTAGGGAAGGTATGGAAATCTACCATAAAATAGATTCATCTTAATCGCACAGGAGAGAAATTTGTTGTATTACAGCAGCTAAGGGAATAGTGCTAAGAAAGGCATCAGGACAAAGTAATAATAATAAATAATAAAAATTAAGATAGATAAATAGATATATTTAAAAAATCTAGCATATTTTATAAATATAAATGATTAATATAAATGATTATATAATTATAATAATTGATATAGCCCGGTGGTAAATATTGATAGAGATTGTCAGTTTTTAGTGTTTATTGTGCAGTCTGGCAGCAGCTGGAAGCTTCAAACGCTGCAGGAGAAGCAGCCTGTCGCTTAACAGCCGGCCCTCTGCTTGGTGTGTCCTGCACGTGGTGGTGCTGCCGCTCGATCTACACCTCCACTGGATGGAGGAGGCGTCCCTGGGCAAAGCGAACCCATTTATCTTTAAAATGTTGGTCCTCTTGTTAAATACATGTTATTGTTGATCAAGTAACAAAGTTTAAACATTGAAAGTAAAAGCCCAAAGCGTAAGTTTCTGTGTAGCTAAAACTTTCTGACGTAAATATTCCCCAAATAGTATTATTAATGTCAAAAAATTATCTCAAGACTTAAAAAAAACCTCATCCACATGGTAAATAAAAAGTTAAGCCGTGAGGTTGTTGGAATATTGTCTCATGAAACATGGTATATTATTAACCCAGTGGAAGAGTGCAGCTTAAAACTGTATGGAACATTATCTACAAAAACTCTGCTTCATGGGTGAAACCCCAAAACACTTGAGCGGTCGCATGCAGGTAAAAATGTCCCGTCGTACAGCTGTTGGGGAGGACTGTGCTCCATCATGGCTTCGGCCATAGAGAAGTGATCAACCGGACGAACCTGCTGGCAAATCTTCTCTTTACCAGTTGGGTTAATCTTCCTACTGTTTTCCTTTGAAAGCCGGGTAAATTTAATGTTGACGCATCCTGTCAGGCCCGAGCACAAGCTTGGTTTTGTTCCGCTGCGTGCAACAAAATGCTTTTGCATGTTTCAGGTAAAGAAAATAAAAGAGGTAAAAATGGTGAAAATGCAGATTTACAGAAGTCAAACTCTTAAATCATAAGACCGACACTAGACCCTGCAGACTAACTAGTTTAAGCGGAAAAAAGTAATGCCCAAACGAGCAGTCTGAATAAAAAAAAAAAATGTAAATATGTCGTACGACTAAAACAGCAGCTGTTGACACTTTTTGAAGAATGCTGTGAGGCTTTGTTGCACAATGTGAAGTTATGTGATCTACGATTACTGAAATACTACCGAGGCAGACGACAGCGAGTGGAACACTTGACCCCGACACCTCAAAACACCGAGTCCGGAGCATGAAAGCACAACAGATGTCTGCTCCTCTGCTTGAAGATTTGTGTTGTGTGTGTTTAGATTAAGACAGAAATGCATTAAAGTGAATGCATCAATTAAAGCTAAAGTCAAAGTCACTGAGCAAACAGTCAACATATTGTTTGCTTACTACACTATGAATTTATAGTCGACGAGAGGCACAGAAAAGGATCGGGATGAGTTATTCTAATTATGTAGATTACTTATGGGATTTTAGCGCAAATTAGTTTGTGTTTGTTGCTGTAATAGAAAATAAAATAGAGCTATTTTTGTCTTCACTGACTGTTTGATTCAGGTTCCATGATTCACTCACCACGATTCTTCTCTAAAACTCAAAACAAATATTACTTCAGCACATATCTAAAATGGGGTCAGGAACCCCGTTCATGACTTATCCGCGATCTTAGTCTTTGATGCCATTTTGTGTTTGTTTACGGAGCTGACTAAAGCGTTCATACCGGGAGAAGAAAAAAACGAAACCCATTTCAGAGTCAGACATAAACATGACAAAAAAAATTGTGCGTCTGAGTCTCCTCCACTGAAGCATCCTCTCTCCATCGGGCCCACGTACCCAAACGCAGCGCGGCGTGGCGTCAGCGCGGATCGCCCCCGGTCAGGACAAACCAGAGCATGGTACTCATCACCAAACTCTGTCAGTTACCTGCATTTAACAAAACAAAGGGCCGGCCAAGCGCTTCAGAAATCTGCCAGCTAAACCTTTTCCCTTTTCTTCCTCATAATAATCCCCCCTGATGGTTTGTTTGGGCTCAATCGGGGCTGGAGGGAACCGGGGGGGGGGGGGGGGAAAGGAGAAAGTGAGGAGGTAAAGTGGGGGTCTTTGATGATGACGAGATTAGATGCAGCCCGGCAGACTGTCTCCTGCTGCCGTCGCTGCAAGCTCTGCCTCACACACATACGCACACGCACACACACACACACACTTATGGAGGTTGCACGTATTCGCACGGCCACGAAAAAACTACATACACACATATTTGGTGAGCCGCATGCACAAGGCCACCGCCTTCCTCATTGTTGAGGAATTACTTGCTCTTTAGGGTCTTAAGTTACAAGAGCAATTGATCCCTCTGACCCCCTGCAAACCCTTGAGGTTGTGCTGGGAATCCGAGCTCCAATGTATACACACAGGAGACGGCTCAACCCCCAGAGCAGCACTCTTGACACTCCCCGGCACCCCCACGACATGCGCACACACACACACAATGCACTCTTTCTCTTTTTGTCTCTTCAATGCTGTGTATTTAGCACTACCTGCTGGGCCAAATGAGCAGTTCAATGGACAAAGTTTTGCTGGCAAATATATTCGGTACATATATAAGAGGCTGAAGCAAAAAAAAGGGGTTATATTTTGTGGTAGGCGAATGTCGTCTCAATAACACAGAAAAATGTGCCTCACAGTGGTTTTATTGTTTATATCGTTTCCAAAAGGCTCGGAGGCTTTTAATAAGATAACATCATGATAATCGGAAATCTGCCACATGTTTAGTGCTCAGATTTCTGGGCAAATTTTTCTCTTTTTCAAATATCAAATCGTTGACATCAGGGAAATAAACCTACGTTTGTTTTCATTGTCCATTAATTCGATTCTTACTTTGTTTTACTGGAGAAACTGTCCGTAGACTTTCAGTATGTAGTAAGCAATTTCCCCCATTAAAGTTCTATTTCCTGAATTAGTTGAAGAAAAATACAGAAAATATTCCCATTTGAGACAAAGGAGCCTTTTCTTTCTTTTTGAAACATTTTTATCAAATGAGTTGTACATTTTAATCAACTGATTCATTGAGTTCTAGATCACACTAAATACTTTTTAAGTAAGATTAGATGTGAGTGTTTCATCTTAGAGGTGAGAAGAATCACAAGTGAAAACGATCACAGACGATAAATGGACCAGAAACTGATGTTACAAACAAAGACATTTGTCAACGATTCATTGAACAACCAATATGTTATTTGTCTCCTCTTCAAAATACATATTGCAATTGCAATGGAAATCAATATTACTAAATTTGTATAAAAAGTAAAAAGAATCTTTCTAACCCACTGGATCTGCACATTTGGGCTGTGACGCTGTAGTTTTGGAGAATCATATCAATCTTGTAGGAGTTCAAACTTCTCTCGTTCACTAAGATGCATCGTAATGGATCATTTTTTGACCAAAATAAAGGTTCTCTTCTCCCCTGGACGTCCCTCTAAGCTCAACTGCTCCGAATGACAATTAACTCTTGACCTCAAATAATTGTATTATTACAAGGGTCGGTTTGCCTTAACAGCCCTCGCCTGAGTTGGTGCCCCGCAGCGGTGACATACGTCACCAAATTACCTTCTAAACCAAAGAAGGAGTTCTGGCTTTCTAACAAATTGCTCAGCTCTGTTTTCCTTGACACCTTCTTTCTGCGTCGAAAAACATGTCATTTTTTTAAAAACGTCGGCTCGAATAAAAAGGCGCTTCAGGTCACGGCGACGCTGGGAATGAATGTTTAGAGACATTATTGGACTGCCGGTGCCAGGTTACCCCCTTACAGCCAAGGCAATTAGATAATTGAGGTTGTTAGAGTGAAAAAGCTGAAGGCTGAAGACAGTGATGTTATGATATCCAAATAGTCTCCCATGCTCCGGGGTCGCTGTCACAGTCCAACTCACTGTGTCATTTTTCAATCCTTAGCTTGTCTGAGTTCTGTCTTCTCGGGGATCTAACAGAGCCCGCTGTGTGCATATTCACACCCACTTGTGCCCTGCCAGCAGCGCTCTGTGGACAGGGAAGCAATTTGGTCTTTTTTAATATTTAACCAAATTACAGGAGCAAATATTGGATTGGACCAAGTTTCCTCCGGTTAGCCTGTGCACATACACGCTGGGACATTTTCTCTGTGATAAATGGTAACAGGTCATGAATTTTGAGCTTATTAGAGATAGCTCTGTATGCGGCCGCTCATGGTTGTATTTATGAGCGCTGTTTGACGAGGAAATTGCAGGCTTGATTTTTTTGTATGTCCCTGACTTGATGAATTGTCAAACGCAAATATTGAGAATTCACAGACAGACACTGGTCGCCTGTCACATTCAATAAATACAAAATGCTACATTTACTCCGGCTCTGTCTGAATGTATTCAGGAGAAAATAGTTTCTTGGTACGAGTCTGAAAACCTCTTTTCTTAAGCCTTGTCGTGTGGACACATTTGAAGGAGCGACAGAGGCGCCGCATATAAAGAGACTAATTGACACAAAGTGAATCAACTAATGCTTCTTCTCCCATTTTATCTTGGCAGATCTCGAACATCACCAAGCTCAAAGACTTTCTGCTACAGCACAGGAAAGATTACGTGAGCGCCGGAAGGTGAGTCCCGGCGAACAGTCCCAGTAATCCACCACAATCAACAACAGCAGCCGGTAAAAACCCCTCGGAGGCTGCAGGGCAGGTCGCCGCAGACAAAACCCTTTGATTTTCAGTCAATTCTGAGAAGGTCAGGAGTCAGTGCTACTTGAAGGTATCGTCAAATCTGTCTCCAGTGTGTGCGTGTGCGCGTGTGCGCGCTGTCTGCTGGCACAAGGTCAGCAGCGAGGAGGGTGGTCTGCAGCGGCCGGCTCCAGTCTAATTGTCTGGAATAATTGAGCTGCAAGCGAGTGAAGAACAAATCACGCCCTGGGACTAATCCCGGCCTTCCTCCCTTTCGAGGCCCCCTCTGTGTTCTGTAGGTGTGGGTGTGTGAATTAGCCTCTGTTTTGTTATGTTTGTTGATAAAGCCTCAGCAGAACACATTAGCTGAACATGAGCGATGTCAACGGGTGGAGTGCAGCAGCATTTAGTGGTGGGAAAATCCATCAAGAAACCATCAGTCGTGGTGTGTCCGCGAGTCTCGTCTGCAGTCAGCCGTTCCCGTCTTCCAATTTTCTTATCGACTTCCGTTGACCTCGTCACTTTGACTTTGCCTGATAGAATAATGAAACACTATAGATAAAACTAAAGGCACTTCCAAATGTCTAGTAAACTATCGCAGCCGGTCATCATTTTAGACCAAGAAGGGCTGTGGTTAAATTAAGAGCCTAATTGATGGTGCCGTCAATCTATTCCAATAGAATGTTACATTATGTTACAAGTGTATCAACCAAAGATCCCGCTCTCAATCCCATAAGTATCAACTTTTATCAATGCACCATTGTTTCTTCATGTTGTTTATTAAGTTAGCGAAAGTTACCGTGTTAAAGTGTTTGGTATTTTTACTTGAAAAAGGACTTAAATGATGTATTAATCATCTAAATAGTTCCATCTCTACACCAGAATAGATTATCACAAGCTCTTTAATGTGTCTTTGTGTGTACAACAAATGTTTGTTGTATGGCAAAGGTCCACCAGAGGGGGACAGTGAGTTGCAGCTATGGACCACTGCCTGACAGCCTGGTGCTGTGTTTGTTATCGTTTTGCTTATGTCTGCGTGGAGCATCATGTCAGCTGAATGAGGAAAGTTGTAACGAGCCCGTTCGTGGAATGCAGAGGAAGAGTAGGGAGGAGGAAGGCATCTGTCAGTACTAAGGTCTTTGTTAGGATATCAGTCAAACGTTGAGCTTTTTATACATGCCCACAAAGTATTTCAACCTACTGTGATTGTTCTTGTGTGCTTTACAGTCTCATCTCGTCAGATTCAACCCGTATGACGGAGAATGAACGAGACCAGATTGACCAGGATGCTCAGATCTTCATGAGGACCTGCTCTGAGGCCATCAGGCAGCTACGCAATGAAGGTGCATGCTTGTTCTTTGCCGGTTTAACAGTGCAGCACGTTAACCCGTTTAGAGAAAATATACTTATATTGATAGTTTTGTCGTGCTTTGACTTTTAAATCACCAGCAGGTGGCTGGAAATTGTATCTTATTTTTATTTTATACTATCCTATACAAGTTTGTCTTCAAAAAGCAAACGTTTCATTGTCTCAATAGCGGAGAAGCAAGTGACGTCAGCCCAGGTAAAGGAGCACAGAGGGGCGGTGCTGGACCTGATTGAAATGTATCTGAGAGGTGAGTTCATGCGACTCTTTACAGTTGAAATGCTGCTCTCAGGTGTTTTTACTGCCCATCCGTTTGTCTTTAGTACGTTTACGGGCTCGAGTAGCTGCCTAATACGTACTTCATACCTCAAGTCACTTCACTAATGTTTCAGCACTAAGGACTGCATGGTTTCATCATGTGTACCTGGTTTGTTTTTAAGGAGTTTGTAAGCTGTACTCTGAACAAAGAGCCATCCGAGTCAAGAGAATGGTGGACAAGAAGAGGCTGTGAGAATGCGCACACCTCATTCACAACACTTGTTAAGTACTTTAACAACTTGCTCCTGATTCACGTGACCCCTCGCTCTGTGTTTCCAGGTCGAGACTGGCCCCGGAGCACCGCAGCAAGGTGGAGAAACCGCCGGCGGTGGAGCCCAAAGAGGAGAAGACTGTCAGGGAGGAAAGTCCTGGTGAGTCAGTAAGTCCCCTGACATAGATAAATGACTCAATAACTGAAATGCACATAATGTATATAGATTAATGCTGGAGGAAGTCCCGACGCACTCTCCTCTCCGTTTGATGAGACATTAGCATCAAGCACCACAGAGAAGTCAATGTGTTAAAAACAAGTCAAATAATGTGTCATGATATTTCGTTCCTCCCCCCACTGAGCTTCAATGACCTCCCGTTTTTTGGACGGCACCATGAAAATAGAGGCAACCAATCACCGTCTCTCTCCATCACTGCTTCATTATTGTAACACATTCTTGTCTTAGATCCAATGTGGTGAAATGAAAAGTGACTACAAGGATACCCAGTCTAAATATATCCATCTAAATAAATCCCTCTAAATAACCACTCTGTGTTATGTTTTCCCCTTCAAAGTGACTTGAGGTTCAGATCAAAGTGAATGACTGAGTAAGTGATGAAAGACATATTGTTTTCACTGTTCCTTCCTGCAGAGAAAAGTATGTCAGAGGTCCTGGACAACCCTGTCAGCCTGTGGGAGGAGAGCCGAGTGGAGGACGAGCTCTCTCCTGAGGAGATCCAAATGGTGAGGCCCAATCATCCTTGTGTTATACAGCACATGCGCACAACTGTGGGATTTCGCTCATGCACAGCTATATTTAGAGAGCTTTCTAAATGCACCAAGGACAGGCACACATTCATTGCATCACTGTCGTGTTTAAATCAAGTCATCGCAACGTGGCAAACACCAGCGATGAAGATGTGTCATTGTTGTGTGTTTCCGTCTAGTTTGAGCAGGAGAACCAGAGGTTGGTGAGTGAGATGAACAGCCTGGTGGATGAAGTGAGGTGAGTCCAACTCTGAACACTTCATTTTCTTTCCTAAATCTGTTCTGATGGATACATTTGTTACCAGGGGATGTCAGTCATTTCATTCTGTTCACACGTCTATATTGTTACCGTGGTAGCTGGAGAAAACTGGCTGGTTTGTTCCAGGTTGGATAAAAATGGTCATACGCCACCTATTGCGCGCCCCTGAAATATTAATGCCAGCTGAAGGGGCCTAAATATACTAGGTACTCTATTTTCATGGGATCTTTTATGCATTTCTTTTGTGCATTACAGGCAAATTGAAGGGAAGGTGGTGGAGATCTCCCGACTGCAGGAGATCTTTGCTGAGAAAGTCCTGCAACAAGTGAGCCGAGTTCCTTCTGTTTCATTCACACGGACGTTTTATTTTGAGAAGAGGTTGAAGTTAAACTCATCGTCCGTTTAACTTTCTGACAGGAAACCGAGATAGACGGTATACATCAGCTGGTTGTGGGAGCAACAGAAAACGTCAAAGAAAGGCAAATGAGGATATACGAGAGGTAACGCCAATAATCCGTTTCTACATGTGGTCTTGAAACTGTATGCTACGTTTTTCCTTTGACTCTATTTTGTTCCCCAAGGCAATCAAAAACAACGCGGGCTTCCGGGTATGGATCCTGTTCTTCTTGGTCATGTGCTCTTTCTCTCTCCTTTTCCTGGACTGGTACGACAGCTAACACAACTAGCCAGCACGGACTCTATTTGACAGGAAACCGTCCGGGACTGGCACATATCGGCTATCTCAGAGAGAGGTGAGACTGAATGTACAGTCTACCATGTTGGAGCTGCTGTACAAGTCTGTGAAGATTCTGTGTTCAAGTGGACTTTGGAGTTCTTCCTTTCCCTGATGCTAACTATCTAATAGTGTTTGTCTAGCGCATTTGGGGATCCAATGTTTAAAAAGCCCATCCATGGAGGCAATTTGTCCACTTTTAAGAGTTTTTAAGAGTCTTTCTTTCCCACTAAAGCAGCAATGATGATGTAGGATTGGCAGTTGCTATTTATGTCTGTCTAACTGAAAAAAAAGTGTTTGGACCAGACTGAAGGAAACTGTTCAAAATAGCTTTGCCTTTACTTGCTGTTTCATGTACACTATTTAAAAAGCGTATACACTTGTGTACCTCAATGACACAAATTATACTTCACTGTCAAACCCTGATAAATGGTTTGCTTCATGGGCAGCAGAGCAATTTATTCGATATGTTATCACATAACTGTACTGACACTCTAGTAAAACTGAGCAATCGCCTTGATTCAATTCTGCGTGTTCTTTCTTTACTGGGGGTATCAATTTATACCAGATATTCCATCATCACATTTCATATTCATGTCAGGCTTTCAGATAACATCAAGTGCAGCAGAAGGACGCGGCCTGCCCCGGTTCATGCAGCTAACGATAGAAACCATCTACAGATTTGATTCACTCAGCTTTTTAATATTTCTGCTAATCTGTTTATTAGGATTAATGACCTATCCCAGTGAATGCACTGCAGCGCTTAGATTGGTTTTCTCTGATCTTAACTCAAGGGAGCTGTAGCGGTAAACTGTATTTATTTTTAGCACCGAGGGGGTTTCAGCATCACTGGCGAGATTTCCTCTCGAATTGGTAAATGAAAATGTTCTTACATGCAAGCCGCTTGGACATGGGTAGTGAAATGTGGGCACTTTATTTCATTGAACAATTCTTTTACGTAGCAAATGCACTTCAATGGTAATTGTTACATTGTTTGAAAAAGGTACATTTGTGACAGTTCAAGGTAAATGACAAATGCAGAAAAAAGCAACAGGACAAGTGACTGCCGTCAGATCGTTCCACTACATCAATCTAAGTCTAGTCTCGGTGATGGCTACAAACGACCATCTATGGTGACATTAATCAATGCAAAGCATTGCGCAATACAGTGTCTTCACTAGCGATGCAAAAACATTCAGTAGCATAAAATGTGTGCTGTGAAAAGTGACCGTGAAGAGGCCAGCAAAGAAAAGCACATGTTGTTCACAAAGAGTACAAATGGCTGGAGACAATCATTAATGCTGGTTGAAAAGACTCGATGCATCAAATACTAAAGACTCCTTAACAGCACTATATGCAGAGAGCCGTATGGGCTGCGTCAAAACAACACAATTAAAATAGTATATTCTTTTTTTTTGCTGGTTATAAGGTTTCCTCCAGGTCGAGCCTCATTTAATCACAATATCATGACAGTAAAATGTTTTGACACAGATGACATCTGAGGCAAATGTGCTCTAAACTTTGTCGCTTCATGAGCAATTTACCACTGAGGTCTGACATGCACAATCAGTACTTGATCTATTTGAAAAGAAAAGGCTTAGAAGCCAACAGAAGTCGTCGCTGCTTGTGCATTAAAACAAGCAACGCAGACACAAGATGGTTCACAGTCGTTTCACAATGTGAGTACTAAAGTGAGTTCTGTTACGTGTATACATGTGTGTGTACAAAGACAGTAAGTCATAGTGTGTGTGTCCCTGTGGCTTTTCATACATGTTAGCCACAGTTTCAAAGTGTAAATAAATAACAACACATGCAATTCAAACAAACCATGAATCCACCCGTCGGGGAGGCTTGCTTTGCTGACTAAATTTCCCGCTACAGTAAACAACTCCCCAGAACTACATCAACAAGCCTGCAGAGCATCTCCAGGCAAGGTAAGTCGCTTCCTCACAGAACAGAAAGCCCCAGGACTCTGAGGTTTGCTTGAATGGCACAACCATATTATTTAATCATTTTTTATTTGTTTCTGAAGCAGGTGAGTCCACCTCCTGATCCCAAGTGGGTTAAGCCAGTTTCTGGGCGGTCTCCGTCTCCTGCTGGGTGATCTTTTCCTCAGACATGATGGTCATCCATGGAGATACTGACCGGGTGATGGTCTGCTTGGCTATGTTGTAGTGGTTGATGAGGGTGAAGAGGCGCCCGCGGCCCCCTGGGCCCTGACGTGGGTACATGCCGTACATCCCAGCCGGCATGCAGCGGCCTTGCTGCTCCGAAGAGAGCGGGAAGGAGATTAAAACAGCGGAGATGGGACAATGTGAGAAGAACACACAAGGTGACCGCATTATTATTCAGGACGGTGGAATTCAAACTGTGATTCATAATTCACGGATAAACAAGAAGGAACAAAAAGACTGTGTCAACACAGCTGTGCGGTTGGTAAGAGCGCAAAAGGGAAATGAATAGCCAGGAAAACATCCCTCCATCCATCCATTATATTCAACCGCTTAGAGGTCGGCGGACTATGACCGGGCACCAGATACAACTCAATAAAAGCTATGCTGCATTCCCTAATGTAAAAGGATGCATGTGAAAGTCGAATAATAATTAAGATAAAATCCTAAACTACTGTAATGCAGGTTGAAAGGAGTCAGCAAAATGCAAAGATGGTGGAAATCTAAATATGTTAATGTTAGTTTACAATAAAATAAAATCACTATCTCTTGCAGGGTCACTAACAATGATGCTCATAAGTTTTTACCGTGTAAACAAAGCTGTCGGGGCACGGCTGCTCGTACTGGTAGACCTTGTAGACGACCAGGAACACCACACACACCAGGAAGGCCAGGGCACAGATCACCAGCAAGGTCACCTAATGAAGAATAGGTGGGTTTATACGTAACAGCAACTCGCGGCCAGACGGGACTATAGTGTTCTGCATTTAATAACTTCAAAGGAAAACTGCTTGTGACCACCTGGACTGGGATACAATGTACTTGGATGTCCTATACTTTTTATGTGTCTGTACGAATCCCGCAGTTACACACAGCAGAACAGACGCAAGCACAAAGCACCGCAACAGGACATTATGAAAGGAACTATCTGCCGCGAAAGGGATGAAACGGATGCAACATTTCAAAGCGGGCTGATCAGAGGATGTGAGCTGTGTTCTCTGAGACAGTGATGTGCCTCCTTTCCTTTCAGATCTTCAGGGATTAAAGCGCTATAACGGAAGGAAGGGTGACACACCTCACAGAAGCGGTTTCATCTGTTGCTTTAGGACGTTGGGGAAGCGTATTTGCTTATTCTGCATGCAGACCACATGGTTCATGAATTTCAAAGTATGCACGGAAGTCTTCCGGCACCCAGGATTGTGTAGAGACAATTTCTTTTTCAAAAAGCATATGTTTTAATCATTATATATTGTGTGTAAGCCTTTAGCCAGCCAGGGGGGCGTTGAGGGAGGTGGGAGAGATGATGCCGTTTGGAGGCCATCGCCATGGCAGCAGCCGAATGAATTAGAGTGTCGGGGCGGGGTTAAGTGAATCATTGTGCATTATGTCTTCCTGTATGGAGGACAGGCTGCACAGGACGCAGGACACTCAGGTTGTCTGAGCAAAGAAGAATAACGTGAATTGGTGAGGGACTATTGTGACGGCGGTCTGCTCTGAGGACATGTGCGTGTGTTGAGTGTGAGAAACATGGGAAGTGGGACGACGCATTTCTTACTTTGAGTCGCTCAGAGACGCCTTCAATGATGCTGATGGAGAATTCTGCGATTTTAGGAGATCGTAGCTTCCCCTTCTTGCTCTCAATATAGTCAGCCTTTGTCTTCACCACCACCTGGTAGAAACACAGGACATGTGACATGTGACATGAGAGGAGATCCAATCAGCTGGCAGTTATAGCCAGAAAATGAGATTTCACAGAAGCGGGATGGGTAAAATGTTGTATTGTAATTATGAACACAAATTGTACTGTACTGTGGTAACACAAAAAAAACAACATTTCCCTTAATTCGATGCTCTCTAATTGGATGATTGCTGAGCAGAAATAAAGGAGCGCTCGCTGTGCTTCTCCAAATCAGTAGAAACATCATCACGCAGCAGAAATAATCAGGAGGGCGACCTTACCTTATCCGGTGGAGGGAACTGCAGCTGACTGGCATCTAATGGTGTTATGAGAGGGATGGTGTCAAACCCGTCTTCAGACACCACCTTCCCGGTATTTTTGTCGCTGAAATTATTCCCCAGTTTCACCATTTTCTCTGCAGCAAAAAAAAACCCGACCTGAGGGGGGTAAACATGTGCGTATTACTTCTGAACGAACGCAACATGGATCATTTTCTGTGTCCTTTCCGCTTCACAAATCCTATTCGTAATCATGTTGGCTTTCTTTTATTTTTCCACATGCAAACAGCAGCACAATCCCACGGAACGACGAGAGGCCCCTTGTGGCCCAAGAGGAAGCCCGTTAACACACAAAAGCGCAGGAGAGGACGCGCGCGGCTTCGACATAAAGGGACCGATGTGTAACCGCGAGCCGGAATAGATCTGATTTCCCGCATCCGAATACTTACCAGCTCAGCAGAGAAGCGTTTTGGAAAACAGCGTGTTTCTCCTGGTGTGCTGAATATGTTGTCCAGTGCAGCGATATATTTTTTGTGTTGTAGGTGTGACGCAGCCGATTTGCGGGGATCTGGTGCACAATATGGCCAGCTGGCTGTTACCTCCGAGCTGGATGCTGCTGCTGGCGTCTGGCTGCACTGCAAGTGATGTAACATCCTCAGCGCGTCCATCCAGCCACACGCCTCTGATCCGCTGAATAATCACTGAATGCGATTAACACTCATGTTCCAAATGTATAGAATGCTTTATTATTATTATTATTATTATAATTAGAGGAATTCGAGTTACCCTAAAACCAATAGAGGGCTGGAGGGATGTTTATCGACAATTGAGAGTCAGTAGGGTTCATTAGGAAGTGTCTCCTATAAAATACATACTTTCATACAAATAATGATGATGATACTTAAAATGAAACTTGGCATTAAATCTAAAATGAAATGAATGAAACATGTATTGCTCTCTCTTTATACTCTGTACAGGAGGAACACAGATCTATATATTTCGGGGGGTGGGGGTGGGGGTTGTGGTGGAGGCAGCAGGTCTATGAGCCAAGATGGTATTTTCTGTAGTTGTTTACATTTGAATGCAAAATCTGTTCAGCTGTTAAAATGAAGGTAAACAAACAACCCAGCTGTCACATGATGTGATTTCATCTTTCTCTAAGGCATCAATACATATAATCTCATTATAATCTCATGTATGTTCAGTGCTCATTTGAATGTTTTTAGAAATATGTTTTAAAATAAATTGATCTGGACATGTGCAGGATTTTTTTTTCTTGACTTTCCTTCAGACCTTTTCATGTGTTGATTTATATTCATTGGAAAGTGTCGTGCCTGCGGACTTGGAGTCTGCCTCCTGCCATCCATCCAGTTCAGTTTCTCTTTGATCCTTTTTTTATGAGAAAAGCTGAGAATCCCCTGTGATTATCGGCATGCATACTGAGAGAGATACTCTCAGGTGTAATCTGCAACCAACCAGTGAAGATCTTTGAGAAAAAGATGAAACAGAAATCTCTCAACTCAAATGCCAAAAACCGTTAAATGTGTTGTTAAAAAACAGTTGGTTATGGATCCCATAAGTCACTCAGTAAAATAATGATTGTTGAAGGTTTTGAGAGCTAGTTCTGTAGTGATTGGCTGTCATCTTTCCACATTTTACACTGTGGACTGCATGCTTATACGTATATGGCCAAATGGGTATATTTCCCTTACTTGGTCATACAATGAATCTTTAATCTTTAAACATGTTTCTACCAATTTGTCTAAGATACAATGTAAGTAAAAAGAAAGTAAAATAAAAATGCATTTCCCAACGAGCACATAATCATTGTGAGAAACATGTAACATTTAAATGTTTACCAAGCCCTTTATTGGACCTCACTGTGTAGAAATGGAGAAATGAAGCTGTGTCTGTGGAGAGTTTCCAGTAGACTGTTGCCAGGTTACAGTGCAAATGAAAAGGGTTAAGAGAGGGTGCATAAATGATTAAGTCCAGCCTGTTAATCTAGTGAAAATGAAGCAGCAGAAGAGAAAATGACGAGATGGAAACCTCAGGTCTTTAGTGGACTGATAAGCAGACCTGGTGGCTCCTGTGGATGCTGCTTGCTTGCTTGAATGTCTGATGAAGAGGCTGCGATGAGTCCGAGGTAGAAATGAACCTTCCCTCCCTCGGGTCCGAGATGTCAGAGGTCTCATAGGTTTCTTCAACAGGAGGACGACTCTTCATACAAATGGATTATTTGAGAAGTGTCACCCTTATGTATTTTAATATGATTTTTATTAATATAAATATTTAATATTTACCAGTCAAATTATTAACAGTAAAGTGCAATGCAGACGTGTATATTGAATGTTCCCTTTGAGCTTTCGTTTTAGGCTCCTCAGGACAATTTTCCACTAAAATTAAATTACTTGTCTTGGCCTTGTACTTGTTGAAGTTGTTCTGATTTATAGCTTCAGACTAAAAACACATAGAAAACACAGAAATGTTTCTTTGTTTCATTAAGTCAGGACACTGTACGATGCACAGAATATGTATTGGTAGCAGTATTGCACAGATGTTTCTGCTGCAGTTGCCTTCTCTGGACTTCCCACTAGAGGAAGACACTCATTTACAACTGCTCATGGCTGCTTTTATTATGCATGGTGGGATTGACCATCAATATGACAAAATGTAACATTGATGCCGCTAAATGACCTAATACACAATTAAACAAAATCAAACTTTTAGTAATTGTAAAATTAGTATACGCAAAACCAATACGCGTAGTTATCAAATACATGTACAGTTCCAGTCACATGTTTGGACACCCTTTCTCGTTGAATTGAATGAGAAAATGTTTCTAAACTGTAGTTACGTACTGTAGTGGAGTAGAAAACTACGTCTGTCTCTAAATTTCCCAGTGAGCACAAGACGTAATTTTAACATTGAAATCTGGTTAAAATGACCTCTAAGACCTCATTTCAAGGTGGATGAAACATCAAAGTGCCAAAAAACGTCCATTTGTTGATAAATGTGTCATGTTGTAACGTAAGGTTGAAAGTCATTCCATCTTCCTCTACCGTCTCGGTCTCTCATATTTAGAGTTGCGTGGCCGGTGGGTCACAGTGGTACAATCCAGTCGTCCGCACCCCACAAGACGCTGCAGAGCTATCTTTTGTTTTTTATTAACCGTAGTGGGGTTTTCCTAAATATCATATTTATTTCTTGTGTTCTATTTAGTCAGCTAAGCATTTTGTTTTGCTTGTCTCGGACTTCCACTTGCCTATTTGTCCTATTGCCACTCCATCACCGTCTGGTACGCTGCAGCCACAGCCAAGGACAAGGGCAGGCTGCAGCGTGTCATCCGCTCTGCAGAGAGGGTGATCGGCTGCAATCTGCCGTCCCTGCAGGACTTGTTCGCTTCCAGGTCTCTGAAGCGTGCTAAAAAGATTGTGGCCGACCCCTCTCACCCCGGACAAGAACTGTTTGTGCCCCTTCCATCTGGCCGGAGGCTGAGGTCCATCAGGACTAAGACCTCCCGCCACACCAACAGTTTCTTCCCGCAGTCGGGCTCATCAACAGAGCCCGGTCCCCCACTGACTGACTATAACATTCCACCGGTCACTCCCCTTCACACTGCACATGTCACTTTAACTGCAATTCATCACTTTGTCGTCACTCGTCACTTTGTTACTTGTCTGTTACTTGTTCGTTAGTGCACTTTATGCTTAATATTTTTATTTTAAACTTTTTTAATATTTAAAATTTTTAACTTTATTCCCTTGTTTTATACTAACCCATAGCCTTATTCTACTAACATTAACATTAGCATTTCATTCTACTTTATTTTATTACTTGTGCACTGTTGTATTGTCTGTCTACTGTCGCGCACTAACCGCCAAGACAAATTCCTTGTATGTTTAGCATATTTTGGCAAATAAATGTTTCCTGATTCCTGATTCCTGATTCCTGATTCCTATTCATAAAATTGCCCTGCTGCCACAAGACCACTAGATGTCAGAGTTTATTCAAAAAATACTATTTTTTAAGGTTGTTTTTTTTCAATGAAAAGTGCTATTGGAACTGATATTCGGTTACACATGAAAACATACATATTTGCATGATCAATAAAGCTGATGTTGACATAATAATAAACGAGACGTAGATTGTCAGGAAGGTTAACATTGTAAACCAAAAAAGCATATAAACGAATTAAACAAAGACATGAAAATGAATCTACAAATTAACTAATCACACTCTTCAAATGAATATATCTTATTATAATATATCTTATTATTATATATAATTATCTATAAAGAAAATGACGGTCCTTGTACAATGAGATCATTGTGCGTCCGCAAAACCTTTCTCATACCTCATCCCAGTATATATGTGGGGGCTGGAAAAGAAGACCTTCGAGGAGGCTTGGCGCATGACTTGTATGTGTGTCAACTCTGTCTTCTATTTGCAAACATTAAATGTCCTGTTTTTGATGATTTTACACCGGTGTCGAGTGAGAATTTTTCTAACAAGTAGAAAAAGTGAAATACTGAATACTGCTGAAAATGTCTCACCTGAATTCACACAGTAGATTGTGACCCAGCCTTATATAGACCTGCCACTGCTGTGTCTTTAAAATCCCAGACTACTCTTGGCTCTTTGCCCAGAAAGTTCATTTCCAATCCAGCCACATGGACTGGTAAGCTCCGCCACGCAGAGAGAACAAGCGTTTTCCGTCAGAGAGCAGCAGTCAGAGCACGGACTCCCCTAAGGACGTCTGCCACTGATCGAAGGACTTCTCCATCCAGTGGGTTGTGAAGGACACGAACCTCCCGGCAGACCCGTCAGTCCTCTGAGAAGCCGAGGTATGATTTACTCCCTGAGAGTGTGACAGACACTGTGCCTGTCAGGTGCCTTTTATTCATACCGTTGTGTGCTTTGAGTACAACATATGTTCGCTGAAGTCAACTTTTACTGCTTGTGGTCTGCTCACTTTTGGACAGAATGCCAGATGACTCATTCAAATGTGTTGAGTCCGGTTTAAAAGTCCTGCCGCAATGTGGGAGCTATTGTCTTTTGCATGAACACAGATCCTCTTTTCATGAATGTATGATTGCCCTCACTAGTCGACCCAGCAGTGAGTGGCGGGGGTAATGTGCAGTACTTCTTCATTACTGCTCTTCTGGTGAAGACTTCCAGTAGCAAGCGACTTACGGACAGATGTTTGTCCTACTGGAGTCCCTGAGATCCTAACGGAGAACCTCGGCGTGAACAATAAGGTTCAGTTTTCACAGCCGGCAGCAGTGACCAGGCAGTGTAAACAGGATGGTTGTTGGCACGCACACACACACACACACACACACACACACAGACACACACACAGACACTGGTTGAATGAACAGTCGGCAGCGCTTTCGTATGTCATAAGCCAAGCGAGATGTTGATTCAATAAACTGAGAGGTTTGTTGTAGCTGACATGGAGGCTGCATCATGTGAGCGATTGTGCTGCTGCGGCTTCTGGAGGATTTTCTGGGAAGATGAGGTCACCGGGAGGCACACCCAGTGGATCGGCCTCCGAGCAGGAAAGGCCAGGGGGAGACGTTCGGCAGCGGCTCTGACTGAGTCACATGTCAGAAGGAAGCCATAGCTTTGTTGGAATTTCCATTCAGTTTGGAGAACAAGAATTTAGGTCTGGGTCTCGTATTCATACTGAGAGACATTGTGACGTATTCAGGGACGTTTCCCCCTCGAATCCACAAACGGAGGCTTTGACGGGATTACATAATGTGCTTTACCTTTACACCAGGAATCTGTGTGTATCATCTGTAGTGCCATCTAATTTCCTAACATTAAAAAAGGGCCACTTTGAAGAATTGTGCTTCATCGAGTATGAAACATATTCAGACTGGAATGTGGTTGGAATGAGGATCATTTCCCTTTTGCCAAAAACATCAAGTTGAATGACGTGTCAACTCTGTGGCATTTAAACCCCCCACTTCCTGACATCTCCGCTCCTCACGTGCATGTTTGCATCCAACAAGTGCATTTTTGGTGCTCAGATCTTTTTTAATTTCAGACAAAGTTTTCAAACGTTGCAATCGTGTGCGTTTTGAGCCTGCGTGCTGTGTTCTGATTTAAACAGAGGCTCGGTCACCGTGTGGACGGACACGGCTTGGAGGGCTGGCTGAGCCGGATGTTTGGGGGGAAGTTGAGTCAACACAGGACTGTTTCTCAGACTTGTGTGGCTTCTGGTCTCATGCGTCTCAATGGCCTCAGAGGCGGAGACTGAGAATGCAAAAACACAGAGTTGCAGACGCAGGCAGAAATATGTGGTCTGGTTAAAATGAAGTGAAAGTGTATTGGGTCAAGCTGGGAGGGGTCATTTTCTGCTTCTGGATCAAAGAGAGGGAGAGGAAACAAGCAATGATAGAAGAAGCATTTACATATTTGACTTGAAAAATATTGCAAGTAAAAGCTTTGCATTAACTTTATTGTTGCACGTTGTAAAAGCAGAGCTGGTTTGAATAAGATGATGTACAGCTGGGTACCCTTACCCATATACATATAGTAATATAAAGTAAAAAGTCCACTATTTGTCTCAGAAATATAGAAAAGTACAAATAACGTATTGTAAGTACGCCTCCAAATTAAGGGCATATTGTTAAAGTTGTTAGAAGTACAACTGAAGCGCAAGTTAATAAGGCTCTTATAAATAATTATAAGAATTGTGTCATCCTTCATCGGGAATACCGTTTATTCAGACTTTATTTTGATCCATATTAGCCTATTCATGCACCAGATGACAGCGCTCCACTCGGCTGTGGTGAACCATCACATTCCGTAGTGCAGTGGATCACAAAAGAGGACTCCCATCTGTCCATGGCCATTGTCTTCATTTTGTGGACGTATTCACTCACGTGACTCCCTCATTGTGGATGTGTACACCGTATATTACAGAAGAACTTCATTGTCTTGCACAGCTGGCTGACTGGCTCTGTTATACACATTGTGAAACAACGAGCCACGCAGGTCACCACACAAATCCAAATGCATGCAAACTGAATTGTATTCATGAGGTGCATTTTCCTAAAATACAGACTCCCCAAAGCCGAGCCGAGTCCTTGATCACAATGGAAATGAATGACTTCCTGCCCGGTGTAGAGAACGATGACGATGATGAGTGAGTTGCTCCCTTACTATTTCTGTTTGCACGCTCGAACACAACGCAGACCTCTACTTATTTATTTTGTTTTGGTTTTTTTTAAATCTTTTTTGTCTCACACCACAGCAGAGGTGTGTTCCACAGTCCAAAGTAAATGGTAAATGGCCTGTACTTGTATAGCGCTTTTCTAGTCTTCTGACCACTCAAAGCGCTTTAACACTACATGACATCATTCACCCATTCACACCCATTCATACACTGATGACAGGAGAACCATACACAGTGACACCTGCCATCAGTAACTACCATTCACACGCTGTAGTCGCAGCTACAGGAGCAATGTTGGGTTAAGTGTCTTGCCCAAGACATGCACATCGACATGCGGGTTAGCCAGGCCTGGGATCGAACCGACAACCCTCTGATTGGAGGACGACCGTGCTCCCCACTCAACCCAGTCGTAATTGTAGTGTTCAAAATCTACCATTTGATGTCAGGCTTCTTCCATAACAGATCATGAGCATGTATGGACAACAACTTCCACAATGGTGTGACAGATATGCGTATGTGGGTGGCAATATTTACGTCTTAATAAGAATCAGATCCGCTCACTGACAAGATAACAATCCAATAACAGCGGAGATTAGAGATTGCACAACTCTTCGCAGTCTGATGAACAGGAAATATCCCAGCGTTCTTATTCAACGTGCGCTGAATGGCAGGAAGTTGGTCAAAACAAAGTTGAATGTTGATCCGTCCGTCAGCTTTACCCATTTGACTGCGATAAAATGATTGATGTGAAATGAATGAAGTGAAAACCAGACAAACTATATACAGTAACATGCACTTTAAAAAAGAAAATTATCTCAATTTAATTCATCACCAAAACGTATAAAATCACAATAAGATTGTATGACCCCCTCCCTCACTGTCTGACCTTTGGCCCAACAAGCGGTGAAATGTGCTTCAACGTGGCTGACCAGGCAGAGGAGACGTATTACTGTGGTATCATTGCGACAATAAAACCGGTCTGTAATGACAATCTGGTGATTTTCCTCTAAATGACAAAGAATCCCTTCCCAGTTTTGCATAAGAACTTCTGAAGAACAGCACCTTGGTGTTTCCTCTGAAAGCGCTCTGTGTCCGGATCTGGTCGAGCCAGATTTCTCAAAAGCCCCGAGCCACAACCTCACCAAACAATCTAATCTCATCACTCACCACGCGCGCTTTCTGCTCAACCCTAGCGGATCCTTTCCTGTTTTATTACTCTGCAGTGGAGTTTGCCTCCAGTCAGAGCAGTTGAGGGAGGAGATTTGAAGGAGGGTGGGACAGGAGGAGTCACCTGTCAAAAGAGAAAGAGACCGGACAGCGTCTCACCACCACTACAAGCTGACCCGCCTCACAGAATATACGCTTCTATCTAATGTCCATCTGGTGACTGGAGGGATTAATATGGGTGGTAATATAAGTCAGAAGAAGGGCAGCGGGCGAGCCAGCGCGAGGAGTCACACCCACAGCGTCACGTGAGTCAAATTCCTCACCTGTGTAGTGCTGATTTTACAGAGAAAACAGGTCTGCATTTCTGCGTTGTGTTCAGCTGTACCTGTCTGAACTGACGAGCACATATTTGTGAACATATATGGAGTTATAGTCTTACAGTAGCAGTGACAAGAAGAAACACGCAACTGTTTTTCCATTTGGTGACAGATCGGCCTCGGTGAAGAGCGCACACTTGCAAACACATGCAAATATTCACACACCCGCACTGTTAACCCACAGATAAGACTGCAGACGGACGGCCTCACATGCGTACGTGTGCGTCCGTGTCCATTTTCCCCACTTATGACAATAATCTGACCAAAATGTTGATAATGTTCAAACTTTTATGTGCACCACTGGTTTGGTTTTGTGGAGACACCGACACCAAGTTGGGAGTGGTTTTACATGATCAGTTACAGTCCGGTCTAAACCGACCTGTTGTTTAATCATAACATGATCTCACCCTGAGAAATATAGCTCATTGTCAATATTTGCTGGAGGCAATTTGTGTGCTGTGTGATTGGTGAGGCATGACTTCAGACACACTGGGCCGTGAAACAAGCGCTGCTGCTCTGCAGCTTTCTTTGAGACTGTTCAGAACACACAGTTCACTTATGGAATAAAAACACATTCTACAACCACTGATAGTTACATTTACAAATGATGTTAATGCACAGCAGTGGACAGCTGGTTGACAGCGTTTTACAAAGAGTCCTGGTGAAATCCCGGCTTTGCGACAGTTGCGAGCAGAGAAATAGACTTTGCTTTCTGTCCTCAGCGAGGAATCTCATGAAAATAGTGTTGCTCAGGCAGTAGAGAGAGACACATAAAAACCTCAGTTTATTCTCAGTCATTCTTAACTTTGGTCGTTTGTATCAACACCTTCTTGTGTGTTTGGGGTCTCGGTCTCTTCTCCTTTGACCCAGGCTTTGGGTGACTTGTTCTTCTGTTGGTTGGGTGACAGCAGGTCCGGCTGGCATGAATCCGCAAATCTCTCTCGTGCTTTCTCCCAGTTCTTTTGGGACTTTGATTTGGTCACAGAGACGCTGTCTAAAGACATGGTGGCGCCGGCCCCCAAACCGGACTGCGACTTTCGGATTTTTAATTGAATCTGTGGTGAAAGAAATAAGGAAGAAATCAAAATCATTGTATTGCAACACGTTTTAGTTGATGCAGAACCTGCAAAGAGGACATCCACAGGTCGTCTTACCGGGTCTCTCATCCCAGTTCCTTCTTTACCCAGTCCCTCCCCTTTCTTCCAGCCCATCTTTTCCAGCATTTTCCGTCCTTTGTTGACTTCGCTGATCTCCCTTTGAGAAGACAAAGACATATTACTTGGTTACTAATTCATCCATCGTTGTCTTTCTTAAGCGATTAGTCCAGAGCAAATACACTTACTGATGAACAGAAGCCGGTGCGTCGTCCCGTTGGAAAACACCCTCGCTGCCCACTGTCTGCCGCCGAGACTCTGCTCGATCCTGGTATCTGGGGTTCTTGAGAGCTTTGGCCTCCTCAAACTCACTGCTCTGTTTATGCAAAGACAACCGGGAGGTGAGAGGGCATAAAGAGAGGAGGAGCTCAACTGGCTGGTGCCAGGTCTTGATACCACTCACCTGCAGGCCGTATTTAGCCTTCATCTGCTTCAGCTCTTTTTGCCTCAGTGCTTCTTTATCCTCTTTGGTGAGACTCGGGCCTTTGGGGAGAATACAGCGTAAAAACTCAAATTATTTTCTTCGCATCTCTTCAAACATGATGAGGTTAAAGAGCCCAACTAATGAGTGCAATGTCGCATGGAGGTTTTGCTCGAGGAGAAAAAAGGTTTATTAAATACTTTTTACAAGTTTAGGCTTCCATGACTCTATACAAACAAAAAGAGGTGCTCTGTGGATGTGCCTCCGCTCCAGTTGGCTCACCTGTAGTCTCCTCTCTCCTGTGCTTGCTGAGGTGAGCCATCACCTGACCAGGCTCACAGCCGTCGCAGGTATCTGTCCCCGAGTGGATGTGAAAAGACAGCACAGTGTCTCCCATCTTCACCTCATCGCCGTGCATCAGTGCGTGTGGCTCACATTTGGTTTTGGGCTGAAGAAACATTGATTGATAACGTCAATGCTTGAATTTACCGTTCTATTTAGAGGCGACAGCCAAGAGACAAAATGTTGACCTGCAAGATCCTGTTGCCGTTAATGACTGTTCCATTCTGGCTTCCCTGGTCCACCAGCATGTAGGCCTGCTGCTCCTGGTCAAAGTATACCTCTGCATGGAGCTGGAAGCAAACACCGTTCAGTTAGGGACATCAAATACACAAGTAAATTATAAAGAACTGGACAGAAATTTAAAAAAATGGTGAGTGGTACCTTGCTGACTCCCATTTCTGGTATTCTGATTGCATGGTCCATGTCCTTCTCTCTGAAACATAAGGACAGCAGGTTGTGTTGTTTGTGACTTACAGAGACGTCACATACAGTCTCTCAAAGGGGTATCTTTCAATTAATGTACCTCAGGACAATCAAACCCTTCTAAAACAACGTACATTACGACGGTTTCATGTCATGTTTTCGGGCGACAAGGCAACGGTTCACTAACCTGCCCATGGTGGCTGTAGAGTCGGCCGTTATGATGAACAGAGTGCCCACCTGCAGCACCGGGGATCGGACCACCGTCACTCTTACACAGGGCGGCCAAATGTCTTTGACTGCAACGAAAAGAAACCTGTGGCATTGTCAAAGGAACATGGCAGCCACAAGCGTTGGCAACTAATAACAGCATATGATCTCAAGAACACAAAAGATTAAACATTTACCCAAGACCTAAATTTGGCTTGTTTTTCCTCTCACCTTCATGACCATGAGTCTCCATTTCTGACTCTGGGCTTTCCTTGGAGCTGGAAGATGAGGAGGACGAGGGAGTGGACTCCCACTCCTCTTTCTCAGACTCTGTGATCTCACCCTCCTCTGGTTCACTGTTCCCCTCAGAGTCATCGCTTCGAGTCGGACTCTTTTTCTTCTTCGCTTTTTTCGATTTGGATTTCCTCCTTTTCCTCCTTGATCGATCCTTATCACCTTTGTGTGAATCGGTTTTCTGCTTCTTCCTCTTTGATGAGGATTTTTCACTCTCCTCTCTGTGTTTGGAATATTTCTTTCTACGTGGAGACACATCTGGACTGTGGGACTTTCGTTTCAATTTGGTGGTCCTTTTTGTGGTTTGCCTTTCAACCCACTCAGTTTCTTCTTCTTCCAACTTTACCTCATCCAAGATGGGTTCCTGCCATCGGACAGTTAACAGTGAGATTACCATCTGCAGTGAAGTTCACTGACAGGGCAAACTGGCTTTGTAGATCCCCTTTTTCTTGTCATTATCTGGTACCGATTTGTATATGGTCTCAGTCTTCAAAGACAATCCACTGAAGTCCACCAAATGACACTAGGGCACTATTCGATTATAGGGTCCGTTTCACAAGTTGACTTTCCTGGTTGGGCCATTACACAATATTGTGTTCAAATAACCTCACTCACTTTAAGGCTGGTTGAACAAATGAACGTGAAAACTCACAGTCAATGTTTTTCAAAGGTATTGTTGTAACTAACCAAAAAAGCCACATTCCTTGGAACGATTTGAGTGTTATGTTAGTTAGGATTTTTCCTATTGAAACTATTTTGAACAATTGCTTTGTTGGAATTAAAGGGCGTACCTCTTTTGGAAGCAGTATTCCAGCAAGAAGAAATCTTCATTTTAGCCAATGAGTAAGCCACCTCTTGCACCTAAGCCAAAAGGTAATCGTTTAGAAATCTAACCTCAACTTAAAAAAAATAATTAAAAAGAGCATTTGAAGACTGAGATCAATAGATTCATGACTATTTGAATCAAAGGTTTTTAAAGGGAACTACAAAGTCAAAAGCCAGCTGTCAACCACAAAGCATGAAATGTATTCATGTTGTGGTTGGGTGAAAAATCCAGGTGTTACATACCTTATCATTCTGGCGGGATGTTTTCTTGGACCCTTTCTTCAACTTTTTGCCCTTCTTTTCAGCAGTGCTATTGTCATAGGAAGGCTCTTCAGCAGTTTGTACAGCCGCCACCTCAATCTTGGAATGAAATTGGTATCGTCCACTCTCTGCATCAAAGCAGTAGTATATGCCTGTGTTGGCATCATAGTACAACTGACTGGCCTGCGGGACATTCAAAACATGCACAGGATCAACAGACGTGTACACAATGACTGTCAGAGAAAAATAGTAATTGCTGAATGAATTACGCTATAGACTTAATTTGACTAACCGAGTCGTAGTAGAAGCCTGTGCTATGGTCATAGTACAGACCGGTTGTCTCATCGAAGACAAACCCAGTTTGTGTCATGGCCTCTTCGGCGGTGGCCCTCAACATATCAGCTATGGATCCTCCATTATCCTCCTGGAAAAGATAATGCTACTCATTAAATCATAATGTAAACTCCAATGTAAAGTTAATTTATCAATTCACATCAACAACACAGGATGTGGGACTAGGGTTAATACAATTAGCCCATTAATTAAGTTGAACAATCACTTGCAATGCTAATACGGATTTTTTATTCATTAAGAAAGAAACCGTGACTTCCACTACTTCAAGTAACTTCTTAAAATACAACAAACTTTTTAATAAAGCAAACCTCTGTTGTTACTGCAACACTGTCATCATGGTTAGCATTAGCAGGTGCTGCTTCAATCGGGGTTGAAGCCTCACTGCCATTCACTGCATCCACAGCTGCTACTGCGTTCAGGCCATCTTTATTGTCTGAAGCCTCTGGGTCCTGAGAGTGGCCTCCATAGTAGTAGTTGTAATAATCTGAGGAAGATGGAAAACGTGCAATAGCTTACTCACTTTCTGAAAAACAAATGATCATCTAATTTATTTTATGTAAAAACAAGAGTAACGCACCTGATTCTGTCCATTCATATTCTTCCGTCTGAGTTTCACTGTCGACTCTGTGTTGCTCTTTCTTCTTCCGCTCATGAATCTCTGCGCTCAGCTGGTCAACCTGAGAAAAAGCATTTTAAATCTATTCAAGTGGCAGAAACTCTTTAAGTCACATTGATCGGGTGGGGGCATAAAGAGTTATAACGATTAACTAACTCAAAGGGATTTATTATCGAGCTTGAATAGCAGATGTGGTGAATAGCAGCGGTGGACCAGCTTAAAAGAAGACCACCTGTACTGAGGTCGTGGTGGTCTTGGAGCTGCACTCGCCTGTTTCCGCAGGTCCTCGTTGTAGCTCTCCGTGTTTCGCTGCAGCCGTTCGGACTGGTTCAGCAGCTTCTGCAACTTCATCAGCTCGGCTCTGCAATCGTGGAGGTCCTGCTTCAACGACTCCACTTTTAGACGGAGCTCGGTCTCTTCAGACTCGGTGTCTTTTTCGCCGTCGTCGTTCTCCATTAGTTCAACTAGAGACGTAAACAACACACGTTGTAACCAATAACGTTTAAGGAAATCCGCATCCGAACATTAGTTAACGTTACATTTGAAAAAGCTAGCTTACCTAGCATATCTGTTACTTTTCACAAGACTGTGTGCTACATGTATATTGCTCAACACCGAACTACTGCTAGTCAAGCAGAGACACGGGTTGATGTTAACTAAGTTAGTGCTTAACCGTGCTAAAGTAGCGCTATAGCTAGCATTAGCCCTGTCTTCATTCGCTTACCGTTTGCGTCGTTTCGGTCTCTTTTTCAGTGAGTTTCCTGTCAGCACGACAGATGAGCCGATCTGAAAGTTGAAAATACACATTTTGTAACTATCCTGCTTTTCCGACACACTCGAGCACATGTTTTGATGATAATGAAACAGTTACAGTTATAACCGTGGTAATGTTTACTGTCCACCCTGTTCACAACCGCCATGTACTACAAGCTAACTAGCTAATTGTACAGCAGGAAGTGACTTCTTCTTTTGCTTTGGCGGACCTCTTCTCTATTTTCAAAATAAACTCCACTGCAACGCATCGACATACTGCTGTAGCTCAACGTCAGTAAGAAAACGTCAGGCATCTACGTTGTACACTTCATTTGTTTACCGTTTAAGCTTTCTTTAAATTACCATAGAAAAGGGTCCCTTTACTTTGCCATCCCTTATTTGTGGTCTTATGGCCACATAAGCCATGAAGTCCCTCTTACAAGAAAATCAGCCCTAAGGAGTGAAAGCACAATACTGAATAGATTATAATATGAATGAAGTTTCTTTAGGGTGGACGTAAATTTGGCTCAAAAGCATTAAAATACGCTTAGTAATTATAACTTGTGGAATGTACAAATTATCATACACGACCTGTTTATTATAGTCTAACTATAGTAAAGTCTATAGTCTATAGTCACAACAATTTACATTATACCGTGTATTTGTGTATACTTTTATGCTATTTGAATATACATTAAGTTTGTACTGTCTAAAGTTGTGTCAGGTAAAATATGCTATATGCTATTTTTAAGTTTGTGTATCCCTTTTCTTAACTGAACGTTAGCATTGATGGTATTTATTGATATCAGTCTCTGTAAAAATGCATTTTCAGCAATGATTTTACGTGCAGTGAAGTACAGTGTCCGGGTATAACTATGCACTCTCACCACTAGATGTCAAGGCGGTTCTGCTTTTTGATAGCTCAGAGTGAAACTAGGAAAATGTATGAGGAGCCTACCTTCTCATTTGAGAAGGTAGCTATTCATCTCTGGCAGGATGTGGTCATGACTGAGTCTAAGCCAAGCGTTTTTCCGTTGCTATTGCTGATGAATATTCACTTTCACACCGTTCAGTTTGTCACACTTGTGTTATCAGATTATACTACCTTAAGGTAATTGTTGCACACATCCCCTCTGTCACGGTCTATGTTCGATTAGTCCTTCCTCTTCCTTATCTGTTCCTCAAACACACACACAAATATTTTCCTGGTTGCATTTTGATTCACTTCCTTCCTTTATGTTTTTTTCTTGGTCCCCCTCCCCCACCTCCATTGTCCTCTACAGATAAAATGCCCACTATTCATGGCCTGAGTGTTTTCAAAGTATGTTACTGTAAACACAGTGCTAATATTGTCTCTGCATTCTTGAGCCTTGAAGTTACAGGAATACTCGGTCATAAAAACTGTGTTCATTCTTTATTTTCACATGAATATCAGACATCAATGTGTCTTTAGTCACATTAGCACAAAATGCAGGCAGATTTTGTGTTGCTGTGACGAATGAGAAAAAGATTCACAATGTGTTCGGCAGGCCTGAGTTGTTTTTCTTGCTGTTTTCTCAAAATTGCTTTTGGGTTCCTCCCACTGTGTTTGAAATCTGAGCTCTTTGAGTTCTATTTGGATTTTGGTGGAGTGTCAGACTCCTTGGCAGGACCTCGGATGGCTGTGGTGGTGGTGGTAGAATGGGGTGGCCTCTTATCCAGACATGCACAGCTGCCTCTTGCTACCTACTGATGTTTATTGGTCCCATTTTTAGACTATAAAACGGGCGTAACGCTTTCATTGATGACTATTAGTTTGTGTTTAAAGAAGTGGAAAAGATGGCTGGGCTCTATTGACGTTTTTAGTGTGTTTGTTAAACTGACTTGGCAATGAAAAGTTATAAATGTACGTCAGAGATGGTAACATCAATGCAAGCAGGGCTCCCCTCATCCTCACCACAGCCTCAAGCCCCACCAGACCCAGACAGAAATACACGGGCAGAGGACAAACTCCTCCCTCTCTGGTCCAATGTGGAAACTCTGAGCCTGACTGAGGCACGTGTCCCTTCTCCTCCATTGGAATTTGGGAGGAGTTGAGCTCCTGCGTGGCCTAACCAAACCCTGAAGGAGGAGCACACTGTTGGAAAACAATAGGACACATAGGATGCATTTGCAGACAATATGACAAGACACGCCAGATAAGAAAATCTCCCAAAATGGCATACACATGTTCTTGACAATGCATAGAAGCTGTGGCCACATCGAAGCTCTGATATGTGCTTCATTTTATTTTGAAAACTTGCATATTAAAATACTGAATGCTGCTCAAATTTTAACAATGATGATGATAGAAAGATAGTTTCTAATGTACTTCTGAAAACACTAACAAAGTCCTATAAATAACATAATCAAGATAAAATGACAGATGGGGCTCAGGCACATTCAGCATGGACCTGCATGGATCTGAGGCTGACTCATATGGGAGCAATCAGGCAACACAAAAGCAGGTCCATGAAGTGTTTTTAACATAATCAGTATAATCCCAAACTCTCAATTCATAAACAGAATAAAAAAAGTGTATGGAGATGTGACAGAAGCTATAACAGGGCCAAAACAATTTTGTTTTTGGGGAATTTTCTAAAAGACTGGTGGCTGGGTTTTGTACTGGCTTAACATAAAAACCAAGATTTGATGACATAACTCCATGCATGACCTTCTTGAAATGCTCCCCAGGTCGAGGAAATATGAATGGAAAACACATGTGACGGGAGAGGTCATCGTCCAACGGCCTGGCTTGAGGGTGTGGACTTTGTAGGACCAAATACAATTATACATTGATTTATCTTAATTTAGCTGGAGGACATTTTAGGAAATCAAGCCTTTGATTTCTGGTAGATTAGACCTTAAGTGACATAGGCGATCTTGGTTTGACAAGAGCATATGAGGTCCATCCATATAAGAATGATGGCTGTTTTATTTGCAAACGTGTTCTAGTGGGAGCATCGAGGGAACATCAGGCGGGCGAGGATGGAGATTTTTTGGAACAGAGGTGCCACAGAGCAGAGGAGGCATCTTCAACAACTACTTTAAAAGTTCTGTGTGAGAAGTTTGATTTAAACCAGAGGCCGACACGTCGTTCAAGGCCATCCAACTAAACTCAGTTATTTTGGAGAACACTGTAGTACTGTTGACTTTCATACGCACATCCTGAGTGATGTCTTGCTTTCTCTTCCTCAACCACAGGTACCTGTGTCAGTGCCTTTTTATTATCAGCTAATGAGTGCATTGAAGGCCATGCTTCCCTGCGCCTTCGCTCCTCTGAATTGTTACCGCAGACAAATTGACTCCATCCAGGTGGATCTCCTGGGGCTCTCCGCCACAACTGGTTCCCCTGGTCGTGCCTGGCTGCAGAAACGCTAAACTGTGAACAGCTCAGCAGCCCGGCTAGCAGGCTTAGAAACTCGCCCAACATTCCTTAACCTCCCTGCAGAGTGAGGAGCCCCAACAGCGCGGCTCCTCCTCCACCTTCTGTGTTTGTTTTCTTTTGACTCCCTCCTTCTGCCTCAGAGCGGATCGTACCATTCTCCAACCACGCGGGGGAACTCGTTGCGTTGAGTAACAACGTGCCACGTGAGCCTTGAAGGGCTGCGGGCTTCCGGCCTCCCCCGCCGTGCGGCGTTTTATCCGTGGACCGGCCCGAGGTGAAGGGGAGCAGTCGAGAGGAGGGAGGCGCTCAGTAGAGCAGCGCTTTGAAAGCCAGCTGATCGGAGCCGCGCCGTTCTGCCACAGAGGCACGAGGAGAAGGAGCGGAGGAGGCAGCTGCATTGGATTGGAGCGATTTACAAATAGAAGAGCGGAGGAAAAAATGTCTCCTTCCCTGCACGGGGAACCGGGAGCTCGTGTGAAGAGAGAGAGTCTCTGTGGAAAGATGTGAGAGCTGTGGGCAGGAAGGACATCTGAGGAGGAAACACAGGAAAGGTTCGGTCCGTCTCTGCAAAGCCTTCCAGGCGAGACTTTAGAGTCCAAAGGAGGGGACAAGAGGAGACATGTCGTGCCTGTCACCTGTGTCGTGGGCTAAATGGACGTGGACGGCGGTGAGAGGGGGAGAGAGATGAAGAGGGCAGGAGCCAGCGAGCGGAGGAACATCTTGAAGAGGAGAGGAGGAGGAGGAGGAGAGATCTCAAGGCTGCAGGCAAGTGTCGTGCTGGAGTCCTGAAACTACACTGACGGTGTGATTCACGCTCTCTGATTAGGGTGGAGGATGGGGGATGGGGGGGGCATTCTCACACATGTGTGTGTGCACCTGTCGGATTGAGGAAAGTCTACTTCTAGGAAGGAAACGAAGGGGTGAAAAACACTCTTTAGCTCATGAGTGCCAACATTTGTTGTTTACATGCACATTTCCTAACTGTGTTGTTGTTGGGTGCTGAGACACACATTTGGTGTGGCTGTTGTGAGCTGGATGTTTCTCTCAGCCTCAGTGACACTACATCCTCATTTCTGTGGCTTCACACGGAACAACACTCCCACTGTGCACTGCAGCCTGTTTGGTTTAGTTTAATGAGGTAATCGTTGCTCACAAACATGACACGCGCTCAATGCATCATGGCCGTATTCTCTCTGCTGCTCTGCTTTGATAATTTCCTCGCTATTGTTCTCAGTTTATTTTACTATTTTACTTATGTTTGTGTGCACTTTACCCCCTTTGCTGATCAAATCCTGTAAATGTCCCTGCTGCGGGACAACTAAGGCATTATTTTATCTTATCTAAAAGTTTCATCTGTCTTCCACACTTTATCATTTACCAGAGAATGTATCGCCACTCTACATTTCATGCCAAAATCCATGTTTCATTTCCATAACAGTTATATAACCAAAGTCACATCAATATCTAACTGCACTGTAATGTGCCTTACAGAAGTGATCCGATCAATTTGAATGTTGCAGCTCTACAACTGTGCAATGTGCACATCTATCAAGATAAATACGTATACAATAAATAGTTTTTATGGTGTAGTCTACTGCAGTTTAGAGTGACAGGAAGGAGTGGGCTGACCCATTTCCTCTTTCTGTCTTTCTTTCTACTACTACTTTCTTCTTTCTCTCCATTGCTGTCATATAATCAAATTGTGTTACAAAAGCACAATGTAACATCAGAGGAAAGAGTATTGGGTGTAATATTGATGGATTTTGGACAGTAAAGACCTGTATGTGGCACATTAGTCCTTTTTGTCAATACAATATTAAAATATGTACATCAAGATTATAATCAGTAATCTTCAGATTTGTATCCAAAACATCAGAGGCTTTTTTCGTGGTATCATCCTTAATATCTTTTTTCTTTGCTCTACTTAAAAAAAAAAAAATCTTTTTTAAACCCTCCAAAATAGACCAACATAGAAGGGACCATCACTCTTTAGCTGAACTGCACTGGTGAGGGTTCAGGGATGAAACAGAAATAGCTTTTGTCTTCCATACTTGCACATTTTGCATATTTTGAATGCAATTGTTTTAAAATGACTGATTTTCAGTACGTGGTCCCAGTATTCATGATCAGTTTCTTAGACATTTTTCTCCTCCGGCTTCCTTCTGTTTTGAAAGCTTGGGAAGTTCACGCTCTCGGTCTCTTGCTTCCACAGCTCTGACTCAGAAGGCCAATTCGACACGCCTGAAGCAGCAACTCCTGTCCACGGCCCTGCGACCTCCCCGCAAGAGCTGGAGAACAACAACACTGATGCAGACAAAACAGGTTAGGCCACTGCTAATAAGTGAAAATAACAGACGGAGAAAAGACGAGATAGAGTTGGCGTACACACACTGCAGACTCAACACATCGGTCCATTAACATCACAAATAACAGACAGATAGGAAGAAACGTCATTTCAAGCGCCCAATACAGATAGTGTCCCTCCTTGAAGTTGCTATGGAAACTAGTCTTTTGCTGGTGCTCTTGATGTTCAGCCATCACGTGTCTCCACATGTGTTTGGCTCCATTTTCAAGAAAAAGGAAAATATAAATGTTTCATAAATGGGCCAACTAATCTTTGTATTTTAAAATAGTAATATAAAATAGTATTTTGTGGTAATTATGAATTCAACTGCTGTATCTAAACTGTCTCGTGGTTCATCAGCTTCACAACATCAGAGCAACACACAGTATTTTAGGAATGTACCTACCTGCGGCATTTTGCCGCACCTGCCTTTATTATTTGACTAATAATGCGCAAGTAGTGAAACATGTTCTGCATGCTTGGTATGTAAGATGGCATGCACACTGAGTTTATGATTAGCTGGTGCATTGCCATTTGAATCACCGAGAGGAGGAGCCTATTGCAGAGTGTGGGAATGACCCTTTCTGTGGTATGCAACAGGTTCAACAAAAGCTTTGGTTTGCCTCCCATTGTATTGGTAATAAAGGTCACAATTAGGGGAGTGGCTGAACAAGGCTTGTTATCAGGATGAAGCAATCTTGTAGTTCACTTTTGAAGCATGTTTTTAGAAAACCATGCAATTCTTATTTTGGTTGCAATAAATACTTCCTTTTAAAGCAGCTCCTCCAACATTTTCCAAACGTATACATTGTGAAGGTTAGCCAGTATGGAGCAAGGAAGGAGTTCCCTTTTTGTTTCCACCCCAAACATCCCTTCCTGCACCTGTGGATGAGGAAGTTTAAATCCAGGCAGGCAGGAGTTGAAGTGCCTTTGGGTTCTAAACATGTTGCTTACAGTGTTTGTTTGCGCCCATCCAACATCATTACTACACCAGCATCAGTCTATTCATGCTGTGACAGTTAATGTGTATTTAACAGATAATTAAAGCCTTTCCCAATGCCAGAACATTAACTTAATGTTAAAATACATTACATTAACAGATACTTGAAAATTACTTGGTATGTCTCCTGAATCGATATATAAACATTTTTGGTGAAATAAATGATCAAATGACTTTCTTGAGTTAATTCATGGATTATTATTAACAATACCATTTGTATACTATAACTATGTAAATACTATATTTTGTTTTAGTTTGAATAAGATATTTTGAGCTCCAATTTATGTAGGTGTGTGTTTTGACTGGAAACCACTGTTATGCACAGCTACATACATACACTTTTTACACATATAAAATCATTGAAGTAGATCGTAAGAAAATAGTATATAAATGCAAAAGACTTCCATTCAGTAATCAAATGATATCATATGTTTGGCATATTATTACAAACAGGCCTTGCATGTGAGTGGGATTTATTCCTGCTGTGACATATTCTACCTTTAAAAAATGAGTGAGAGAACTAAAGGCAGTCCTACTTTTTTTCCAGTACGATTGTAGATTTTGATTAGGAAAATGTTTGTATTGGCATGTTGGTCTGCAGCAATACTTGACATGACACGGTCAACATGCAAATGTTTGTGGAAGTAGGTAGAAATACAGCAGGCTGTGCCGTCTCCGAGCAACATAATATTACATCACTTTGGCGGGTGTGACGGACATACTAAAACATGTTGATGCATCAAAAGGTTCCCTGGACGCAAAACTAGTTGCTCACCCTCTTGTCTTAAACACAATGCAAAACAAATCATAGCTCTTCTTTTTTTCACCCCCTTTTTCCAAATGCAGCCCATGGTTGTAATGTGTTAACTACCCGTTGTAAGATATTGCCATGGCAACAGCAGTAATATGAGCACTTGGCATGCTAGGAACCAATCAGATGTTACCTACATCTGAAAATGGATTTGATAGGAGGGCCATAGAGAAGAAGTGGGCATGCAGTTTTAAATATTGCATTATGAATTGTTATCCTTTAATTTAATGTTTTTTTTTCGTTTTTTCACACAATTCTTCTTTTAGATGCGGATCACGAGGAGCAGTTAATAGTGACTGCTCCTGTTTGGGATCAAGATATTTTCCTCAACCACAACATGGGTCAAGATGAGCCTGCAGTCCCCATGGGGGGCCCACTGGAAGTTAACATCCAGACCCTCGAAGCAGAACAAACAGAAGTCCATGACTCTGTGGCTGTTGCTCCATCCTCAGTGAAGGAACTTGCCGAAGTGGCTGAATGCACAGCGCCGTCAACAGAGCCATGCCGAGCCCCAGTCCTAGTTGCAGATTCTACCCCGGAAGTGGCTCCAGCTCCTACTTTAGCTTCTGCTTTAGAACCTGCTCCTACTTCTACTCCTGCTTTAGCTCCAGCTCCTGCTCCAGCATTAGCCCTGGAAACAGACTCTGTCCATAGCAGTGAACCTGCAGTCCACACAGCTCCAGACCCCCCTGAGCAGAAACCTCTCACTCAACCAGAACCACAGTGCAATGGCCTGGACCAGATGGAGCCTACTCAGAAGACTAAAACCAGCAAGTCTAAGCCTCCACCCCTGAAGGTAAAGGCCTCTTTGATCGAGCTTCCCCAACCAAATGAGGAACAAGAACTTCCTGTTCCCATGGGCACTTATAAATTCGACCCTGACCAGCTGGATGAGAGCTTTGACCCCTTCAAGTGCGGCGGATCCAAAATCCAGAACTCTCCCCCACCGTTCGGTTCGAGCTTGATGCCCAGACCCGAGCCAATCGGTGGCTCCACGCCTGTGTGTGAGGCCGGCTCAGCAGCTCCAGCAGAAGCCGAGGTGATGGCGTCATCGTCAGAGGCCAAGTCTGTGATGCTGGAGTTCGGCCTGGACGAGGGGACGGTCAGAAAGCCACCGCCGAGGAAGTTGGGTGGTAAAAAGTCAACCGGCAAACTTGGAGCCAAAAGACAGAAAGCCAAAGGATCCGAGGCTCCCTGCAAACCCGCGCCAGAACCCACACTCTCAGAACCAGCATCAGAACCAGTTCCTCAAACATTATCACAACCAGTTTTGGATCCTCTTCCAGAAACTCCTTTGCCAGTTTCAGACTCTACTGCGCCAGTAAACCTCGATGATATTCCTATTGCTAAGTCGGGAGTGTATAACTTTGATCCAAGTCAGTGGGACGATCCAAACTTCAATCCGTTCGGAGGCAGTAGTGCAACAGGTAGCTCTCCGTTGCCCCCGAAGAGCTCCTACAGTTTTGATCCGGACAATTTGGATGACTCCGCGGACCCTTTTAAACCCTCTAAATCTATAAGCACCGAGGACTCTTCCAGTAGCCCCCCTCGGCCGGAGAACAAAGGGAAAGACGGAAGCAAGCAGAAAGCAGGCCACCCGGCCGGAGAGAAGAAAGTCAGGCAGATTCCCAAGAAAAACAAAGAGAAGACGATCACGTGAGTCCACAGCTAAATGAAAACATTCTTGCTTGCCACAGGAGTTTTGAGGCCGTGACATTAACAGCAATATTAAAACTTTTGATTTAACGTGTTTAGTTCACGTGTAATTATAGTTCAAGATTCACTTTTCTGAGAGTCCTCTTCTTTGGTTGCATCTGTTCGCTCTGAACACGAGCCAAACAACCACTCACAAACCGATTATTTACAGGCTGTTAGAACCACTAATTTCAGCTTTTGCAGGTCTGTCAGCAGCGTGCGATTTATGCTCAAATTTTAAATCAACATGATGAGCTGAACAAACACTCTCCTGTGTCTCTTCCCCCGATCTGTTTTACATTCTCTTTAATCAATATCCCTTCATTCTCCATCCTATCTACTCTTGTCTGTAACGCAACCCCCAACTGCTACTTTCTTCTACTTCTGCTAGCCCCCGGACATCTGAACAAGTCAAGTTTCTCTGTTTTCTGTTGTAAGTACTCTCACTATCAGCGCACTCTTTCTTTCGTGCATGCTTGCTTCCCATTTTACTCTCAAACATGGCATCTGCTTTGGCGCAACGCAGAGTAGAGCATGTGAGGGGGATAAACATCATTGGTTCCACCTCAACTCACAAGGTCATCAAGTTAATTTGTCCTTTCTTATGATCCCTCCCCAAGTTGGGCACCACCAGAATGGTTATATGCACCATGTAGCTCAAAAAGCCACAGACTCCCTTGCAGCTCTGTGGTTGTAGAAAGAGGAATTAAACGTTAAAAGTTTTTGCCTGCTTTTAGATCACTATATTCTGATTATTGCATTGTTGCCTTGTGCTTGTTCTGTAGGAATCCCTGTAAAGTTCAGAAATACGAGGACAGCCAGTCCTTGGTGCTTGACGTCTGCAATCAGGTGTGTTTTGTCAGCTGAAGTGATTTACAGTACTGCACTGAACTAGACACTGCAATGTCCAGTATCCAGCAGCTGTCCGACCTCTTGGCTTCACCTCATTCTACACACACACACACACACACGCACACACACCAGAATACACACACACAAATACACTTTGACAAAAGCTGTCAGGAGCATCCGCAGAGGCTCCAGCTCTGCACTGCTGGTTTTGCATGGCGACAGATGTGTGACTTATAATTCTAGAGTCAAATGTAAGTCTACTGCTACTGTTTGCCCTCAACATTACCCCCCCCTCCTCAGTGCCGAGGAGACATCCGTAACAATACTGTGTGTTGCCAGATTCTCTAAGATAATATATAGAAACAGTTTGTCATTTCCCACTCCACCAATAATACCGTTTACTAGTGTAACTTTCTCAGGATAGTGCATCTGGAATATATTTATGAAATGGAGTTGTGTTTAATCATTGAGATTGCAATAGGTTATACTTGTTTATAGCTAAAGAAATGTACTACATCTACATTTGTTAAGATTTTTAATTCACAACATCCAATTTAAGAAAACATTTAGTTTACGCTGCTTAAAATCTTCCTGTAAGGAGTTCACTATGTTTATATTTACTTGCGTTTGATATTTGACATCTAATGAAGGGAATGCTGTCATGAATCTCATTTATAATGTGGGTCCTTTATCCTCCTCTCTTCTCTCCAGGAAGAGGAGGAGGAGGAGGATGAGGTGGTGGTTCACACCCCAGAGATTAATCAGAGGGTTCATCACGCCACTGATGAGGAGAAGCTTGCCTCCACTGGCATTAAGGGCCAGACAACAGACCAGGAGGAGGGAGGAGAACCTGAATGCAAAAAAGCACCTGTGAGGAAATATCCAATCGATGATATTTCTTTCATGGATGGTACGTTTACATCTTCAAACCATCAACAGAGTTTTAAGTTTAAATTCCCTTTCGATGTAGCAATAGTGTTATTTTAGAGGACTTGCATTGTGAAAGGTCAGTGTCATGGTGCTAAAGTTGATAGAATGAAAATCCCATCCTCTGAAATTGTGGCCCCATTTAACACTATATACAAAAACATGGGAAGAAATAAAGCCAATTTCTCCTATTTCTTTTTCCAAATTCAACACACACACAAAAAAGTGTGCTTATGTAAGCTTGTAAGCAATCTGAGGGGGGGGGGGGGGGGCAGTTCCAACAAGAAATGGAAACTGTGAACAAGGAGAGCGATTCAGTAACGTACACCGTCTCAGTTACTCTGTTGGAGAACTAGAATCTGCAATCACATCATGTCAAACGTACTGAAGAAATACAATGGTTCCAAACCCTGTCCAGGATAGAAGAAAGTTAGAAACGTAACACAGGGGAAAAAATGCTCCAGATAGAATAGAATAGAAACCAGACAAATAGTTCTCACGTTCAGATACGTTTTTGACATTGAGCAATGAAAGACTACTGTGTGGATGATTCATTTGTGGTAATATAATGTGTAATTAGTATAGTTAACAGCTCTCATTGAGTCGTGTGTTTTTTTTCCTCGTCAAAGGTCTTGACATTAAGATTACAGATCATAAGGAGGAGAAGGACCCCTGCAGCCTGAAAGAGGATATGGTAAGTATACTATAGGAACCACAGGGAGGGAGCAGAATAAATATTGAAACTTGTTTAGCACCACGGTTTGATCTCATTTAGTAAGACGTTTGGGTAATAAAAGCTCAGCATTGGTCAGTAGGATATACTTTGTTCAACTTTTTCACACGGGACTGTGTTGCTGTCTAATGTACTCATAGCTAATATGCTACAATAATTGAATAGTTTACTGAAACTGTATTCTAAGATGATCCTACTTTTGTATGTGTAAATTTGACACATTTGTGAACCGTTTTCCCAGAGTACATCTTGTGGTGATGTGATCTGAAATGAAAAGTTAAAGCAGCAGACGATGTGATTTGTGACATGCTATAAGGGATCAGCAAGGATCTTGACCGAGCCCACTGTATGTTTTCTGCACATTTCACAGAGTGAGATATCTATGATCCAAACAATAAAGATGGCCAGCGCTGAGGTCCAAGCCACAGCAGCTCTGTCTGCAGGACAGGACAACATGTATCTGAGTGAGATGGACAAAGCAGGAGTGCTCAGCTTGATTAGAGAAGAGGTACGCCACTGACCGAGGGAATGGTTCTCATTTAATTATGTATATCTCAGAATGGGTCAATTTATTTTATATAATATATATATATATATATATATATATAATAAAAATTCACCTTGTCATTGCCTGTCTTCCAATCAGATCATCACTAAAGAAGTTGAGGTCAGTGAGTGGAAGAGGAAGTATGAGGAGAGCAGATCTGAGGTTTTGCAGATGAGGTATGGAGCTTCACTTTTTGTCTTGAATTCTTACTTTACTTTTAAAACTGTGTCGTAGACAATTAATATCAATGCTGTGGAGGCATAAAGCTGACCAATGTTGCACTTTCTATATTTTTTTTGTCTTGACAGGACAATAGTTGCAGAGTATGAAAAAACAGTTGCACAGATGATTGGTAAGTTGCTGCCACCCAGTGGTGGTAAAGTCTACACGGGTTGGACTATTGAGGACACAAATAGTGTAACACATGTATATGTAAATATATACACTTATTTATTCATACATATATATTTAAAGTTACATTTAAAATAGCAATGCCATGTTTCCTATTATTGGTTGCCGCTAATCTCCAAATGTGGCATGCCTCTGTAAATCTGGACCTTCATACTAAGGAAGGTGAAGGCTGACATTGTGGTCGTTCCTTCTTTTAAACATCCCTCGTTCCAGGGCATGTGAATGAGATCAGGCGACAGGAGGTAAACCTGGGCCCAACCGGTTGCCGTTCTGTTGAAAGGCGTCTAGACTTTAGCATCACTGGATCAGATCAAACATAATGTGCAGCCTGCAGATCCAAAACAATGTAATAAATCCCAGTGCTCCAGACTTTATCAATACAGTTTAGGAATGCACTAAAATCCTAGTAATTCATCTAATGATGAAACCACATCATTTGGTTTGCTTTTGACTTCAGTCTGTCAATCAGTATGTATACATCCATCTCGCCTTTCAAATGTTGTATTTTGACTTGTCTGCTGTTTACAGAGGACCAGCAGCAGCAGAAGTCGCTGTCCTGCAGTAAGTCAGTCCGGCAGTTGACCGCAGAGAGGGACCAGGCCATAGCCGACCTCAACTCGGTGGAGCGCTCCTTCGCTGACCTCTTCAGGAGGTACGAGAACATGAAGGGAGTCCTGGAGGGCTTCAAGAAGGTCAGTGGAGCTTCAGCATGAATCCCATGACATGCTCTACCTACCCACTGCCACAAATGAGCCAGGTCACCTGATGTTCTCCACGCGTCTCTCCAGAATGAGGAGGTGCTGAAGAAGTGCGCACAGGACTACTTGATGCGGATCAAGCAGGAGGAGCAGCGTTACCAAACCCTCAAGGTGCATGCTGAGGAAAAATTGGACAAGTAAGCTTCCGTGTCTGCTGTTTGTGATTCCTGGATAAAATCGTTACGCAGGTTTTTAAAAGATGAAAGCTCTTTTGCATTCGAAGACCAGACAGGATCTTTCTCTTTAACAGGGCTAACGAGGACATAGCCCAGGTACGTGCCAAGGCCGACTCTGAGAGCGTCGCTCTTAACGCCAGCCTGAGGAAGGAGCAGATGAAGGTGGACTCACTAGATAGAGCTGTCCTTCAAAAGGTAGGATGACTGCAAACATGATTCACTGTGTCGAACTATTTAGGAGCATGGCAGAATATGCCGAAAAAACACTGGATAATTAATGTCAAAACCCTTTTAAAATAAAGCTTTTAGTTTGAATTCTCTTTTCAATTCAGAAGTCTGGTAAAAACATGGATTTGTTTAAGCATAACATCTTCTCGTCAAATTCATTGTATGTAGAAATTATTATGTTAAACAAATAAGATCACAGTCAAGATGATGTGTTGGCATCATGTCCAGTGGTCAGATTCTGCAGTACTGTTTTTCAAAGAGAGCAAGATTGTTTCTTGTCCCTTTTCATTTCCTTTGCAACGTTTGATTTTCTCGTTAAGCTTAGTGGAAGTGATGAGTATCTTCTAACCAGCCTTTTTCTTTTGGCTCTGGAAAGAAAAAGAAAAAAAGAAGATGGAGAGGAACGCTTCAATTAAAGTGTTTTCGAAAGTACTTTATGTACAGAAATCTGCTATATTAATCTCAAGTGATTCATCATCATCAAAATCATCATTTAGAACAGTTTTTAGAAATGCTCTTCCTCCGACACGCCTACACAATAGCTAACACTAGGGGGCAGTGTTTAATTTAAACCAGACTGTGGAAGTTAAGAGGATTTAAATACATACTCATGATTGATCCCTGAACACAAATGACATGTTAGTTGAATGTTGTAGGTTGACACATCAGCTATGCAAAAAACGTCTATTGTACCTGTGCAGAATGATGTTTCTGTTATGAGGCTTTGGCCTATCCCTAATTTTCAAACAATCTTTTTCCCTCTGTCTCACAGAATCAAGAGATCGAGGAGCTCACAAAAATATGCGATGAATTGATCGCCAAGCTGGGAACAGAATAAGAGGCCTTTAATTACACCCTTTCTCTCTCTTGATGTAAATACTGTACATGATCACACATAAGCACACCTTTTTCTCTCTCCCTGCTCACAATCTTTATTGCAAATGAACAACCACCTTTGGAATACAGATGGTTGCTGTTGTAACACTTATTTAAAAAATCAGGGCAATTATTTTTCTAACTTGGTATACTGGCTCATGGCAGTTAAAGAGGCACAACTTATCAAAGGCATGTTTTGATTATTTAAAAAATGTATTGATCTTTCGCGGAGGATATACAGTAATTTAATGGCACTGTTGTGTGTGTGCATCCGCATTCGCATGACAAAGACAAATGACAAATTTCTATTTCTGTTTATACAGTGTGTTGGGCACAAAACTGTAGGAAATAACAAGGGAGCTGAGGGAGAGAGGATGTAAACACACAGCATGCACATCTTTTAGCACAGTGCGTCTAGACTGTACTTGAATGTATAACAATACAAAAGAAATAGACTGATACAAAAATAATCCCTCTCAACCCTCACTTATGAACCACTAGAGGTGTATTACGATATCTATATCTCCCTGACCCCTGCCTGTATTTCCTCCTGTCGTCTGATTTTGCTCCTGTGGGCGTCTGCAAAGAAAGTAACCCCACAGCCAATAATCACGGTGTGGGGCCCGTTCTCCCTCCCAGGTCAAACAGACCAGTCCGACGCAGACGGGTCCATTTGGGATGAGAGGTGCCTTGGGCTGTTTAACATCAGGCATCCCACAGAAGGTTTGTGAAGAGGTGCAGATGTGCTTATTTGTGCTTCAAAACATAAATGCAGTGAAACAATGACAACATCTCACTCCCCCTCTCTCGCCTGTCGAGCTGGTGAGAATTTGACTACATATTCTACCTTTAACTGTGTGGGCGATGCCGTCTTTATCAAGGACATGTCTCTATTGATTGACTTAACTGGCCCTTGAGTATTGGTTTCCTGGCCTATAGATATGTCTTGCTGCCATTTATTTTGTGATACAGTTTAGTTATTTTAGTTTTCTTCTTTCATCACCAAATTAACTATAAGGTAATTCATATTACTTGTATACTTTATATAGTATTAGTATTTCTTAGGTTACCTTTGAGTTTGTTTGTCTTTGTTCCACACTTTAACATACAAGTGAGTGGCATAGTGCTACCATAAAATTGTAATAATTTCATGATGCATCTGGGTTACAATGCAGGAACGTTAAAACTATTAAGCTGTTGCCATGTACATATTTTTGGATTGTATTCCTATTTTGTGTGAACTGATGTTGCTGGCGTGCCTTTATGAAGTTTATTTTGTAACATTGTGGCCAACGTTTGCTGTACAGCTGTACAGTATAAATGTTTTATGATCAAAAACATCCAGAACAGTTATATTGTGGAATGTCTGTGATCAACCAGAGTTAATCAGTAATATGTAAAAATTATTATAATAATAATAAAAACAATACCCTCATTGCTAACGTAAGCATTTTGTGGTCCCAATGAATTTGAGGGAGCGCACAGGTTAATTTGATATATAATGGACAGATTCTTCTGTGGATGCCTTGTTTCGTCAGCACAATCAATTGCCAAATGTCCTTGTAAAATTACATGAGAGTGACTGTGTCCTATTATAGTGGTCTTACATTAGTCTGAAAGTGCTTTTTCATGAAAATACATTGTTAAAGTACAATATGTGTACATTTTATACTTTATGAAAAGAATATTGTTCTTAATATTTGTAAAAATAAAATAATTAAGTATACCCAGATTGTATGTTAACAGCTATATTTTGTGCAATCCTCAATAAATGGATAAAATGTAATATATTTCCTCCTTTACCTGAATAATTTAAGCTGAAATCAAAAACACACTGTCCATGTTGTTCCTGAAACCCTGATCACTGCACAAAACGGGAGCAAATTCAGCCGTGGTTTCTCCAACAAGCAAGCAAGAAACCAAATTCCGGCAAAGCCTTCATGCATACACATCCTGCTGCTTTTTACAAAGCTGTCATTTGTGGCATTTTGTTTGTGAGTCAAGAGACTAAAGCTTCCTCCAGCAGTCAAATTGAACAATTATAGCAAAAACGTATGAGCAAAACCATCTCCGGTCAACTGCAGTCCAAACAATATTCCTCTTCTATTTTAACTTGATTACAGGACAACCCTTTTCCTGCTCTCTTGGGCTACAGCAGAACGGCTGACCATCTTTTTAGACATTGTTAACTACACAGTGGATCCGTTCAACAGAAGAATGGACAGACTTTTTATTCTTTACCTTTACAATCCACAACAGGTTCATGATGATTACTCAGGCAAAACGTTTGAAACAGGGTGCAAGTTTTTTGTTGTTGTTGTTGTTGCATCTATTTCTATATATTATATTATTTATTATTATATCAGACAATGCAGATAGAGACGAGGAGTATCTAGATGGAGAGGACAAAACCCTTGAAAAAATAATTTTAAAAAATGGACAGTGGAAAAAAAAAACTCATTAGTGCAAATGCATCAACATTTAAAAAAAAATAATGTTCATGACAATTGAATGGAAGAAGTCTCAAGGAATATTCAAAATATTCCCATAGTATACATGTACACATTAGACAAATTTATTGGAACCTTCTTACCACTTGGTGGTGTCCTTAAACCTTGCAGTGCCTCCAACACACTTTAAATAGAGTTTGTTCTAACAGATCAGTCAGGAAGGTTTAGACGTGGCAGTAGTCTGGAAAGCCGGGTTCCACATAGCTCATTTATATTTTAGGCACAGCTGCATCCTGCTGCTGAGCACGTCAAGAACCAAGATACACTGGTTCTGCATTGTGAAAGTATTAACATTCTTTTTTATCATTCATTTCTCCCACAAGTTCTTAAGAAAATATCATTTTTTCTATCCGACTGGTTTAATCAGCCACTCCTATATCTGATCTGTCCTGTCGGCTGTTGCAACATAAGCACAAATCCAGTGCACTTGACTGAGCTTGTTTGCTGGAAAAGGTTTACAGTTTGTATGTGCACCAAACAAAACCAATGTAGAGTCAAAAGTGTCACTTTCACTTTATACTATTTGAAAACCAATTTTTGGTTGCATCCTCACACTTGAAAAATAACTTGTTTGATCCTATCTAAAGTGCTAAAAAGAACATTAAAGAAAATACATTTTCAAAAGTTACAAGGAAGACAATGCTCACTTTATTTTTTCACTGAATAATAAATAAGTTAAGTCCACGAGCAGTCGATTTGATTTTTCATAACGTTACATGACAGATTTCATGTAACTCACAGTGTGCTTTTGTAACCCTGGTGATCGGGCCAAAGAAGGCGGGTCCTGGATGCTGAGGCGGCCTCTGATTGGCTGCTCTGCGCGGTGAGAAATGTGGCGTTAGCGCGCGGCCAGCTGTGAGGGGAGCAGAGCTAAGGAGAGTACTAAAGGGACAAAGAACCGCTCCCCATCTCATCCTCTCCAACAGGTTGGAAGTCCTGGGAAGTGTGTACAACTTGTTCTCCGTCTGCCGAGGTAAGTGTTAGCTTTCACCTCGCGCTACTCAGCTGCTGATGGGAACTCTTACGCGCATCAACTTGTGACACACTCAGACACCTAATAGCGACTTTTCTTTTCCCGTCCTCTGGATCCTACTTAAAACATAAAAGCAAGCTAAATTAGCATTTTCTACTTTTTAAAATTATTTTTATTTCCTACTCTGCAAAGTTTTTAACTAATGTAATTGTCTCAATGTTAGATTAAACCGAGTCTGGGCTACTACAGTGTGTTGACGTTTCATAATAAAAGAATAACCCAAACCAAATGATTATCATTACTCTGGTAATTACTTTGGTGCTGACATTGAAGAAGCTTGCAGTTTTACTTTAACTGTGGAGGTCAAAAGTCTTTTTTGACACTCAATATTTGGATCTGTGCTGACCGGCTTAACAGACGCTTGATGGTTGACTTGTGCTTTTCTGAATTGAACAATAGACTATTCAATAGCAATAAATAAATGCTGCATGTTGGATTTGACATTTTCCATGAGCATATTGTTGTCAAACAGATTGACATGTTTTCAATTCAATGAGGAAGTGTGTCAAAACCTTTGACTGGGACTACATATCAGTGTTAGATTTGCAAAAATATATGGGTATGTTGAATTGATTTATTCAGAAGTGCATTCTGAACTGTTATAAACCAATTTACAGAATTCACCTTGTTAGTTTATCAGTGCTGTGTTAAAAGGGCAAATTTAAAGAGTTCCTTCCTCCTGCAAAACTTCATGAGAAGACAACCAGATGTTTCAGATGATTTCAAGTGACGACTCACACAGTAGGAGAGTTTTTTTTTCAAGCGTGTGCGCTTTGCTGTGTGTCTGTTTGGCTGTTGCTATGACGTCAACTCCCCCCACCTCCCCACACACATATGCACTTCCTCTCCTTAAAGCAAACTAAAGACGTGGAGGTCTCCTTACTTCCACTGTCTTCCTGGCCTTGCTTTCCTCCGTGATAATTATTCCCTGTGGGATTTTTGTCCCTCCGTTGACACTTTCATGGTTGACCATGAAATATCGGGGGCGGAGTCAGCTTTCCCTCTGAACGTCAGCTGCGCACCCCTCCAGGCACAGATCAGCAGAGATAAACTAGAGAGCCAGCCCCCCCGCCCTGCAGGAGCCCACATTTGGCTGCCAAGAAGAGAGACGGAAAAAAGTCCTTGTCTCAGCAGCATCACCCGTATTCTCATCCAAACATTTCAAAGTTTCTTCTTCGGATGTTTTCTCAGTGTTTTATTGAATATATTCAACACTTAGAGGCCAGTGTGCAAACTGGAATTGGAAAACAATTTAAAGAAAAAGAAAAGAGAGCAAGAAGAAGCGTTGTTCAGAGCTTGATCTTCTACTACAGATGTTTTCAGTTTTTTCCCTTGTTATCTCCCCTATGTCGCAGTTTTTTCCTCCCTCGTCCTGCATCATGCTGCGTCCAGTTGGCATCCACTGTCTGCTCTGCACCTTGCTGTGCATGTGGCCGTCCTGCAGCTCCCAGTCAGACTCCAGCGCCCCTGTAATCCAGCTGCGACTCGCTGGGGAGAAGCGGAAGAACTACGAGGGCCGCGTGGAAGTTTTCTACAACGGAGAGTGGGGGACAGTGTGCGATGATGACTTCTCCAGATCCGCTGCCAGAGTGGTGTGCAGACAGCTCGGCTTCATGGACGCAGAGTCCTGGTTGCCCTCGGCCAAGTACGGAAGAGGAGAAGGTAAGGCACTAGAGTTTATTAGAAACAAATGTATCCGAGCATTGTCAAATATAATCCAAATCCTCCTTAAATCATCTCATCAGAATCATGTTATCCAGCTGTCTAAGAAGTGAGGTGAGGGTCAAACTACAGTCCAAGAGTCTATCGCTTCAAACTGTTTCATAATTCCATGGAACAGAATGAGGTCCACGTTTCCTCCTGTCTGACTGCTAATGTCTGTCCTCGGGCACTGGTTTCCCCATTAGAGGAGAACTGTGACACGGCAATCACCTCTGAGCACGGCGGGAGGGGCCCGGGGGGGCCTAGAAACACTGGGCGTGTAGATCCAAACCAAAGACGTGATCTCACCTTCTCTCATTTTGCCCATGAACAAATTCCCCCATCGCTGTAAAGACAGTGATGAGATTCCCAACTCGATGAATGTGCCCACTGCTGCTGGTGGTAAATGTGAGCTGGTAGCTGTTAAGTAACTTAGTGTACCTTGTTAAAGGCACATGTTTTCCACTGGATTGGGCCAACCGGCCACTTTAAACGTGAAGCTATTCACTTTTTGGACTTGCTCCCAAAGGCAACACAGCCATTAAGTGATACATCCTGTGAATATAAGGTGGCACGCATATAATATTTTACATGGCGCAATCAAGAAGCAGTTGGATGTAGACGCCTTTACTGAGTAACTTTCATGGCATTAGATTTGTTGTCTGATCTCAGTCTTACTGTTTTCCTTTGTGTGAATGTAAAATGCTTTTATTTGTGCTTCCTTGTTGTTTGCGGAGACACGTGACCAGAAGCATTTTCCATTTCCCATCGTGTTGGTTTACACAATACACCAGTGAAAGAAACAACTAAATGTTTTTAATTGAAGACACAGCTACATAACAAGTACATGGACATCCCTTTAGGATGAGAACGTTTTTCCTGCAGGATCAAATCCTCAGCTGCCACAGCTACATTGCTAAACTTTGAATTGGGAAAGCATTTGTGTAAAATAAATATTAGAGAAGGTTCTTTCAGGCTACGGTTAAAAACAGGATGAAACGTGAACGCACAGAATTGGCTTTATTTAGATCTTTTGAGGAGCACCGCTGTGACAAGTTGTTAAAATTCACAGTGTAGGGGGGCTGTAGTTGGTGGCTGAACAGGCCAATAAAAGTCAACTGTGCACTGTGCTCGCTGTTCTTTTCATTGGCGTGTATATAATTACTTTCCCATAAGGCCTGCTTCTTTTAACACAACGATATATATATATATATATATATATATATATTCAATTTGTTTAGACAATAGTGTGCTGAGACCATTCTGATTCTCACTTGGAAACTCCTTATTAATAAAATGTTCCAGCGGTAATCAACTGTGTGCCAGGAGGCGCCTACGTGACCGTATAACATCCCCTCACTTTTTGGGATGATTGCGATGTTCCCCACCAACATGTCCGAGTGATGAGCAGTCTGTTCGTGGTTTCCATGGCTACAGCTGTGTGGTTTCCTTTAGGGCTGATTCAGAACAGCCAGCTGGACAGCATATGATCTGCTTCAGTGACCAAACATTTATTTGGCAGGTTTTTGCTGAAAGAATGCAACAGGTTATTTTGAAAACTAAATACACATTAGTATTGTCTGTGTAACTAGACTTCAGTTGAAGGGTGTGATATGTGGCTTAAGCCTTTAAGGCACAGCGTTACAAACACCCGTTTATAATTCCTTCCAAATGAATTCCTTATTAGGGGAAGTTACTGAGAACGGAAGCTGGTGGCCACATGAAGCTTAGCGAGCAGAGGCTTGGTTTGTGATAGCAGGGGTCAACCAACCATGGGATTGCATCTTAAATGTCCTGAACCACAGTATATCCAAGAAAACAGCAGCAACTAATCTTTTGCTCACATTCTCCTCTGCCTTTGATCCAGGTCGTATCTGGTTGGACAATGTGCACTGCTTTGGTACTGAGAAGAGCCTGGCTCAGTGTCATTCCAATGGGTTTGGAGTGTCGGACTGCAAACATTCAGAAGATGTCGGAGTGGTCTGCACCTCCAAGCGCATTCCAGGCTTCAAGTTTATCCGGAACCAGGCCAGCAGCAACGAGGTACAGTAAATAAATACGTCGGTAGAAAGTCACACAAATGTAAACACCGGGGAGGTCGCTTGATCCCCTCGTTAATAATGCTCAAGTGGCATTAATAATAATAATAATAATGGCATTCACTCATGGTTCAACAGCACAATGTTCTGCACAATAAAAAAGGGAACAGAAGATATGCTCATGATGAATGAAAAACCTTATCCCGGCGCGTTGCTCCAAGCAACTCACGGTGTTTTCTTCAAACCGCTGCAAGTCTTCAGACTGAGCCAGACAGATAATTGGATTGAACTTAATGTCTGTCTGTCTTTCGCTAGACATTAATATGACAAGTTGTATTCCGACAGTAAGACTGCCTTCAGATGGCTGTGAGGGTCCATGACAGCAATCATGATGCATGTCCTCAGTAATACTTAAAATATTAAACTAATGAGATATAGTATGTGGGTCAGAGAATGTAGTATCAGACTGCATAAATATATTAACCAGCCTGACCTATGCTGTTTAATCGTTTAGTCGAATGGGGCTGTTGTTTCCTCATTTGAGGTATAATGTCTCGCTGTTTCAGAGATGTAAGTTAAGAATTTCTCTTTCTAATTAACCAGCATTTTAGTCAAATGTCTGGTCAGATGTGTCAATCGTGTACCATTACCATGTTGTGAGCTTGGCTAGCTGACTCTCCAGCAGTTACAGTTTGTAGGTATAAATATTCACCAACAATTCCTCTCCTTGTTGTATGGGTACTAAGCTAACAAAAACTTTTTTTTTTAGCAATGGAGTGTTTTGCAATGGCTACAACCTGTAGTAAAAATAATTGCCGAATGAGTACAAAATCCGTATTTGCAGACCAAAATGATACAGCAGTTATTCCATTAGACGTTGTCGCATTCATGACATAAAACCTGTGAAGTAATCCACAAGTCTGCATGTCATGTTGAGTCCACTCCGCCGTTTGCAATAATGACTTTGCCAGGCTGCTATTAGTCTGCCCCTGCCTCACACAAGGCCCCACTCAGGAGCTTGGGATATTTTGGAGATGACTCATTGAGGGGGAAGACCATCCTGTCTGGCTGCAGAGAACGCCTTTGTACCGGATGGAAAGTCAGGGTGGGTTTGTGGACACGCGGGAGAAAGGGAGGGAGGGAAGAGGGTAGAGGTAATACTTTTGCTTGTCTGAGAACAAGTTATTAAAAGGACTTTTCCTCACAGGGTTTCCCCTGGTAAAACCAGACTGATCGAGATGATGTCATAAAATGATGTAACTGCATTAATACCAGAGTGAATTGTGTGTTCATACACGTTGGGTGGGCAATTTGGCTGCGTGACCAAACTCTACAGCAGCCAGAACAGTGGCCGAGAGTTTTACTGGGTCGAGTAAAGGCAACACGCCGAGGAGATCATTCGAAATTCCTGTTCATCTTTCTCATGCCTAGTGGAGTCTTGGGAATGGAGGAATAGAAGATAACATGAATTGAACGTTGTTCACACACTACTGAACGCTATTCGTAATGTTCTTCTTCGTACAGGTATGTAAGCAGCGACCTCTTGTTCCCTGTTGGTCTTGCGTATTTCGGGTCTCGGGGTGTTACTGCGATTCAGTCCCCCGCCCTGTAAATATTTCCCTGGTCTGGCAGTAGCCTTTCAAGTCGCAGGTGTGTAGCTACACCTCTCTAACCATTCTTGAGCTGACGTCAGCAATGGGGAGCACAGATCCTTCAATGTGTTTATTCACACCATGAATTGGCATTCTGTGCTCAATCGGGAAAGTTAACACCCTGGTCAAGCTTGCGCCTCGGTCCATGTAGAGGTCACGATTAAATGGGTGAAGAAATTGGTCCTTTTGCTTCGGTGTGAATGCTTTCAGCCTTTCCAGATTATAAATCTGTATATGTTTCAGATACCAGGATCTTACCAAAGCTTTGTCTGCACTATCTTAACTGTTGGTGTTAAGGACGTGTCTGTTCATCTCGCCATGGTTACGGTTAAGATTAGGCCTTTGATTCTGTTTGTTCTGCAGGTAGTGACAAGTTTTTCAGTGCTGTATGTCGGGATAAATCAAGACATCACAGAGTTGCCTGAAACTTGTTTTTTTTAATGAGTGATACATCACGAGGCTACTTAAAAGTAGTTATAGTAGTTATAGGAACTTTGCTCTGGCAAGTTCAGCATTGACCACACATACCACCAAAAACATCTGTCTGTCATTAATGAAAACAGCAGCTTCCACTGGCATGGGTTGCAATAAAAGAAGTGGTGTCTTATACGCAGGCATAATATGAAGGCATTATAATTGACATAATATGAAGTTGAGACAGATCAGGTTAATTGGGGACTCTAAATTGCCCGTAGGTGTGTGAATGTGAGTGTGAATGGTCGTTTGTCTCTGTGTAGCCCTGCGATTGGCTGGCAACTGATCCACGGTGTAACCCGTCTATCACCCGAAGTTGGCTGGGATAGACGCCAGCCCCCCCCCCCCCCCTCCCCCCGCGACCCTGTGTGCAGGATAAGCACCATCCAGGACGATGGATGGATGGATGGATGGATGGATGGATGGATGGATGGATGGAAGTTGAGACAAGCATCGCATTCCGTTGACAGCTAATCTGTGGCTTTCTTTCTTTGTCAGCCTGAGCTCTTTTTGTTCCCCACTGCTGCTCGATCTAAGTAATGTCAGCGTTTAATACCATCTGCTCTCCTCTGGAGATAAAAGCCAAGTCTGTTACCAGGGCAGCTTTTGTCAGCTAGTTATGCAACACTCCCAACAAAACAACAAAACAGACATTCCTCGCTGACTGAATCATTGTCAACAATAATGTTAATTATTTTAACATGTAGCATCCAATGCTGATGCCCGTTGCGTCCTACTATTTTCACTTTGGACTGTCTACCCAGCCACAGTTGCTTTATGTATCGGCATGTGTTTGTTTGGCCTTTCAGTCGGCAGCGGGGGGAGACATTTTTCAAACAGAACCAAACATTCAGATGGCACAAACTTTGTTTATCATCTGTCTTTGGGGACTTTTCAACTAACTCTTCCAGATGGGTTTTTCACGTGTGAATGATGCGCTGCATGTCATCAGCGTCTACAGGGTCTTTTCAGTCTTTATATGTTTGATGTTTATGAGAGAGGATGATGTGTCATTTATGGATAGTTGGATAGAAAGTGTATGGTTACATTAATCAGAGTTATTCCAGGATATTCTTTACTGTGTTTTCCAAAACGTTGTTATTCTTGCAGAATAGAAATTTCCACTCTTATTCCCTACTAAAAACAATGGCAGAGAAAATAAGCAATTTTTCGATTAATTACACACTTCTGCTTGCAGAACCTTGCATATCATTATTAACAGATTACAAGCCTAGAGTAGTTCATCTTCTTCCTGAAGGGATGAGAAAATAAATAAGAAACATCAGCAACTCCAGCAGCTGCAGTCTGCAACCACAAAACTCAGTGTGTTCACTCCAAACACTTAGAAGACGTCCAAAGCCAGTTGTAATAACAGTATGCAGCGGTTTGAAGCCTTTTGATTCGATGCACATTTAGACGGGGCAAAGGTTGCTCTCATTCTAAGGGAAACATCAATTTAAAGGAATTCCATTTCTTCACATTCCCGAGCTAAAGTTGGATTTGTCTCCAAAAAGAGGCTTGTGAGGAGTAGAGTGATCAAAGGGAGAAAAGGTTGGTGTGTGTGCTGAAGCCAGTTTCTCTCTTTAGAGAGTAGCAGACGGATCGACCACATGTTCAACATCTGCAGCAGATTGGGCGTCTGCACTCAATTATTTATCATTATCAGTTCATGTAAAAAAAAGTATGTGCAGTTCATATATGAATCAAAAGTTACATTTCATCACAGAATGTAAGACATTCAAATGTAAAATAAAGGTACCAACGAGTCAAAGATAAAAGGTATTAAAATGCTACTTTTTGAAGTAGCACAAGTGATTTAATGAGACAATTATCATGATTTAGTAATCAGTGATGTTTCCACATTTAATACAAAGACGTTTAGCATACCATATAAACTAGTATATCCCATCACAGCCAGAGACGCTGTTTTCAATTTAACCTATTCTTATATTTATTTCAATTTTGAAATATTCCCACACTAATAGATTTTACAATTGATTTAAGACTAGTTTCAGATTAGCTGTTCATGCGTGTGTCAAGTCTACCTTATGATTATTTTCCTTTTCGTTGCCATAACAGGAGTCACTGAGAGATATTCCAGATGCAAAGCGCACCTCTACACACAGATAGACACACACATACACACTTCCTCGTTCAAGTGAGTCAGGCAGACTTAGGGCCAGTGAGGAAGTGGGGTGAGGCAAATGTGAAAGTCATTTGAAAGAGCCTTGCTGTTCTCCTGCCTTTCATCTGAACTGTGCAGTGATTATCATTCGTACTTGTTTTTTAAGGTGGGGTTTGGGTGAGTGGGCTCGTGTCAGCAGGCACGTGCACATAAACGTGCAGCGGGGCTGCAGGGCTGAATAAAGCAGAAGAAATGCACAACAGTGGAAGCATTAGTCAGACCAGTCTCATGTTCACACATCTACATACTGGTCAGAAAAACAAGTCTACTCTCCATTTGGAAAGAGTTTAGTAATGGTCAAAGCTTACCCCACAGACCAGTAAGGCAGTGGGGTCGTCGTGGCGCAGGGGTTAGAGAAGGTGTGCTGGGAAGCACAAGGTTGTTGGTTCGATTCCAGGCTGCCCATGTTCCACGTCGAAGTGTCCCTGAGCAAGACACCTAACCCCTAATTGCTCCCCGGGCAAAAATGTGAAAAAGCCTTGGGTTTAAAAGTGTAATGGAAGTCGCTTTGGATAAAAGCGTCTGCTAAATGACCTGTAATGTAATGTAATGTAATGTAGTAATGAAAAGAACATTCAAACTAGGCCAATAATCATTTTTAATTCAGTATTTCCCACACAGACTAACTAAGTCTAAAGATTTCTCTTGCGACATATGACAATTTATAAATGTTGGTTTGGAAGAGAAGTGCTTTTGCAAACAGGCCAGATAATTAATGAATCCCTAGAGACCACACAGACAGGAAGTGACTGTGAGATGAGACAACCTCTTAGAGATGTTGACAATTAACCTCAGTATGACCTGGAGATTTACCAAACATATTATCTGTCAATTGTGAACTTCAGAGGTGCTGACGATATTTCCATGTATTTCAGACATGGTCCATATTTCTGTCAATATTTCTACATTGTGACTTGTTCTTTGTCATGTATAGTTATATTTTGTGGTTTTCCACAAGGACTGCTAAAAAGAGGGACCAGTGTGTGGATTTGCAGTCTGCTGAGTTTATATCTGGTTGTCTGGGTTTTGTGGCATGAATGCCTGGACTGGTCCCAGCTGTGGATATCGGTCCTCTTCTCTTTAGTCTCACACGTTCAGACGCCTGTTTCCTCGCTCTGTGCCAAATACAACACTGGCCGGACCCATCTCAGTGCTGCATTTCATACTCACCTCGAACCCCATGTCCTGTCTGGTATTTTTTCTTCACACCTGGTTGCTCACATGTTGCATTTTATTCCATCTCAAGTATCAGGTTTGCTTCAGGTAGTAATTTATGAGTATAGCTTTTGCATTTGTCTGGTTTATTTCTTTGTATTTCATTTACTTACATGTAGCTTTAAATGTAGCTTAAATAAAAATGTTCTACACTACAAGAAACTATCTCTACCTTGTTTTACCTTTTTTTTAACCCTAGCTCTTGATCGTGATCAGGATCACGTCTCCTTACTTTCCCGTCGTGCCAGACGCTGACGGAAAACCCTGTGTGGCTATGGCCTGCAGGAATCTCTCCAATGAAAGAGAGTTTTTTACCCGCTCTAACCACGGCGGTCGGTGGGAGGACTACGGTCACTGTAGAACCCGTCTGACTTCGACGTGGCTCCTCCTGCATTTTCATTCTTTAGTGTTTGGAGACTCTGAAGCCTTGAACATTCCCAGAGGCTGACGCCATCTCAGGAAACCACCCTGTGGGCGAACGTTTCATATTTCTGGGAGACAGGCCTGGATGTTAGTTTTTTTTTTTGCAGAGTTAAGTAAGCGAGCCCTTGACTTAGATCAGCATTCACATACCACTGAAGAGCTCAGAGCTTCGGCTCTTTTTCACATCCACAGTGCAACACTCCCACCCAGCAAGGAACCAACTACAGGACTTGGTAGAAGGAGGGACATGAACAATGGTAGCAGTTTAGTCATGAAGCTCCAGAGGTCAAAGGTTGCCATTCCTTCCCAACTTGGGGGTCTTCAGGATACATGATACTGACTGGGTTGGGTGACTCCGGTCCGACCAACTGGCTCTTTATTGTAGTCTCGACCATTTTAATCTCTGTCAGTAGCTTCTGTCTTAGCCTCTCTTTAAAATCTTGATAATGATTTCATGGAATATCACTGCCACTCTATTGTAAAACATATATAATGTTCCATGTATTCCAAACCAGTGTTTTTATTTTTGTGGTTCATTACAGGTTATTGGCTTACTGACAGGGATATACTTCAAGTAATATGTCAATATCCAGTGTCTTTCAGTGACCTTCAGCGAATATATATATATATATATATATATATATATATATATATATATATATAATGGAATGAATAGATTTTTGTTCACTCTTATTCTATATATATATATATATATATATATATATATAGAATAAGAGTGAACAAAAATCTATTCATTCCATTTCTTTGCTGTGGAAACCAAAACAATTGGAGCGGTTTTTGTCAGATCTGTCCTGTCACATTTGATGTATGTTGCCCTCTCACTCCCTTTGGGCCCTTACAGTTGCAACAAGATAGAAACAAAAATTCCATCCATTCATCCAATCTGCTTTGGCCTCTCGGCAACACTTAACAGGTTCCAACAAAGATGTGGCCTTCAGATTTTTCAACTTGACGTACAGTATTTTCAAGCATATGTAGAAACATGCAGTCCCTAAAAAAACATTGGCATTCTCTCACAATACGTTCTCTCTGTTTGACTCATAGGCCATATATTTACAATATATATACTGTATATATATTGTAAATATAATATATCATGTGGAACAGTACATGCAAAGTCCAGAGTACAGATAAAACTGGTCTTTTTTTTATCAGGAGTTTTCAAACATGCTGGGGCCAGGGACTCTTTACAGGGGAGAACATTTCCTTTCTTAAATTAAACAATTGAGATTTATTTACCATTTGTTTTGTTAGTTGTCATTAGAACAATTTGTATTCTAAAACATGTCGACCGAAATACCCACGGCCTGTTTCATAGTGATGAACAGAAACACATTTTAAGTTTAGAGAAAATGTCTCTTTGCTCGTCCCACTGCAGAGAAAAGTTATTAAATGATGATATCGGTTGTTTACCTTTTTAAACAGAGGGTGGTGGATTTATTCAAATACCATTTTGGACTCAGCGTGACTGCATTCATTGTTTACATTTCAAATGATCTTGATTTTTAAGAGCTTTCTGGGAATTAACAGTAATATTAATATTATATATTTAAACTTGCCAGTCTAAAGCTGACCTTCAGCAAGTGCTTCAACTTAGAAGTAATTGACTTATTGCTGTTTGTGAGGTCCTTTAATCACATGATTAGTGGTTAAATGCTTGGCTCCTTCTGTCTCCATGTCAAGAGTTCAGGCTGATGGCAATGGGTATACATTCAGCAAAGAAGGTAAAACTAAAACCAAAAAGCATGTTTATGTAGCAGTGTACTCTTTGATTAGCAGATGACTGAATATCCTGCTTAAAAAAAATTCCATGTTGAGCAAAGTTGTCTCCTTTGATTCAAACTAGTTGCACATTACCTGTAAAAATGTATATAAAGATGATCCTCTGCTGTTCTTTAGGGTCTGCCGGTGCAGGTGGAGGATGTGAGACTCAGAGCCACTTACTCTCAGAGGAAGAAGATTCCCATCACTGAGGGCTTTTTGGAGGTGAAGGACGGAGGCAAATGGAGGCAGATCTGTAGCGAGGAGTGGACACAGACAAACAGCAGGGTCATCTGTGGCATGAACGGCTTCCCCGGGGAGAAACGCGTTAATACCCGACCTTACAAGTGAGTAATGGGGCCTGACGCCAGCAATAGAGTTTGCAAACGCCAATTATGTCTTCACAGTTGAACTCCAACTTGAACATTTAGCTTCTAGTTAGTTACAGTGTTTCGGTGATGGGAGTATCGTGGTGCTGAATATATAAGGAGTTTTAAATTCTCACACGTGTCATCAACATAATTTCCGGCACATCACACATTCCATTACAAACACTTTTTTTTATTGGGAATATTGCATTTCCTGTTAGTCAGTTGGTGGGAATGTTTTATCATAGCAAAGCGACGTTGCATAACCGTGCTTGTTTACACTGGTCATCGCTCAACGAGTCATCTGTTTTCCAACTGAGATTAAACAGCCTTCAGTCTGGAGATTCTTGACAAGAAGCCAAATACTGCCAGAGGAAGCTTTAGCGGATGAAGAATGGAAACCTATGAATGCGATGCCCTTTGAAACAGTGGCTCTTTTGACTACATTACATTGTTTCCCTCTGAGCAAAACGTGACTAAGTGGCCTTACACAAAACCAGCTATTCCTCACACACTTTGTGTCTTATCATTTTAAACAGCTACTGACGGCATGTGAGACAATAACCAAATGGCATTTCTAGTGAGAAATATGCGTTATATTTTCTTCTATCAGAGAATGTAGAAGACCTTCCGTTTATTAGTTTCTAGTGACGTAGTTGCAAGGCAACGTGAATGAATGGGCCGAAATAAAATGTAGCATTGTCACGATTTTGGGGATAAAGCGTGAGAATACCACGTTCCACAACGTAGCTATTATACGTTTTGCTGTGAGACTGGGTTGCCCAGAGCCACAGTCCAACCACAGTCAGATTAAGACCAGAGAGACATGAGACATGCACTAATTAGCTAAAGACGAGAGTCCCCAGAATGATCACATGTAATGGCGTCAGGTTTTCACCTTTTAACTGAAGGAAGCACCATATACAGCGCATTAAACCAGAAACATGTGCATTGTTTTGTAGTTTGTTTCTAGCCTGTGTGGGTTTTAAAGTGTGTGGTCTCATGGCTCTCTCTCTGTTACTGAGGAGAAAGATCACATTCAATCTGTCTTTTATCTGGAACCACAAAGGACAGCGCTATTCAGCATACGTGCAAATAACAGTCCAATGAAATTTAAAAACTCAATCAAATCTAGCATCTCTTCAAATTTCACAGCCCACAAACTGTTGAAATTAGTCTGAGCTACATTCCGTTTCCAGCACCAAGCTGTAAGGGCTGAACGGCCGTAAATGGACCTCATGCTGGTTTGATTACATGGTCGGCTTCTTCTAAGACCCGGAGCTGCTTTTTTCAGTTGAAGACCTCCATTCAAGTATGGAGGTCATGGGAGTGTTAAGGCACTACACACAACACAACAACGCCCCCATGAGCTTCACGGCGCCGTGTGGTCGTTGTTCAACTCCTCACTTTAAACAGTGTACTATGCTACGATGAAATAACATAAAATAACAAAAAATACAACGTGTTTGCTGTGAGGGATTGCTCCTCTGAATTATGTTTCAAGTATGCAGGTTTTGGCATAAAGGTTACCAGAAAAGGTTGGATGAACTGAAAAAGCAGACAGTATATTTGGCGACAGTTTTTTTTAATTATATCATTCTCTCCCAGATTGCTGGCCAATCGTCGTAAGAAAAACTACTGGGGTTTCTCCGTAAACTGCACAGGCAACGAGGCCGACCTGTCAGACTGCAAGATGGGCAGAGAGATCGAGTTGAAGGGCAACAGCACCTGTGAGCAGGGCATGCCTGTCGTGGTCAGCTGTGTGCCCGGACGGGCCTTTGCTCCCACCCTCAGTGCCGGCTACAGGAAGGCCTATCGGGTCGAGGTACAGTTTCTTGTTTTTACAACAATGCATACTGAAATAATGAGAGAAAAGAACTGCAATATTTGCCGTAAAGTGTGTTTATAATGCTCAATGCATTTTCTATAGATACCTTACTGTTTGAATGTAGGCAGTGTGTCATGCAAAGGAGAACAGTGAAGGTCAATAACTAATTCTTGATCCAAGTCTTTCTGGATTCAAAAGCAAATAAGATAACCCTTCATCCTTTATAATTTCAACATTTTCTACTTAATCAAAGCTGTAGTCAAGCATCTAATACATTTGAGAGGACGAATGCTAAACATCTGATCTGTATACAATTGGATAGTCAGTGATCCTGTGTGGTGTTTATAGTTTATAGATTACCAAGGGAATACTTATTTTATATTTACCCCGCAAGACAAAGGGTAATGAGAATCCAACATAGACCAGATAAAATCAGGTGTTCCTCAAGATATTCTTTTTACACTTTCAGCATTTATGGGCAACTTATTTATTTATCCTGAGCAAATCCTATTACAAGAAATGAACGATAAAGAATATATTACATTGTTACTGAACGCTATAAAAGAAAGCAGCCCAGATGCACGTTGCAATAATATCCATTTTAAAAAGTTAACTTACTGCGGTGAATAAATACAGTTAAATCCCATTTTCTCACTTTCTGTGGTTTTGGGAAATAACAACATATCCGACTGTTGTCATTGTCAGCGTTTTCATTAATTTTAGCTTTGGGTGCATTGTTTCCGTAGCAACCCCTGGTGCGTCTCAGAGGCGGCGCTATGATTGGCGAGGGGCGAGTGGAGGTGTTGAAGAACGGGGAGTGGGGTACGGTGTGTGACGACAACTGGAACATTCGAGCTGCCACCGTGGTGTGTCGAGAGCTTGGCTTCGGTAGTGCCAAAGAGGCCATGAGCAGCGCCCAATTTGGACAAGGTATGATCCACAGATTAATATAACTACTATAACACAAAGTACAGTTGTAAATGGTGGTATGTTTAAATAAAGTGTTGAGTAAAGAGTAAAGTGATTAAAAGAAAATACGTTTAGGTCTTGCAAACCATTCATATACAATGTGATTGTTATTTTTTTCATGTTATATTATGATTAAACAAAAGAGCTAAATAACAGCTATTTCAGCCTGATTACACCCCCTCGACGAGTACAGAAAATTAATTTAATTGTTTACCCTTTTTTCTATTCTTTTTAAATGACAAGAGTAGATTTAGTGTTAACTGGATCTTCCAACACAGACGAATCGGGCTTGAATGGTACAGCCTGCCCCACAACTGGGGTAATAACAGTTTTTCCATTAAATAGTTCAGGGCATACTTTGGTCTTAATTCTTAAATATCCATATTGAAAGGATCATCACATAAAAAAACAGATATATTGTGAGCAGTGTTTTTTAAACAGATCTCCAGTCTAGAAGAAATAATGGGGTTATTCTGGTTACATGCGCTGACATATGAGACCGCAGCCACACATTCTCCCTCATACAGGTAGACTATAACATTTAAATACCACCCAGGCTTTTAGCTCTAATGACATTTTCACAATTATCACTCCAAAAAGGATCAGGCACAACTTTAAGCAACTCATTCCCTGCTGTGAAAATGAAAAGTGGAAACAAGAGATCCATCTTTCCACATCCTGTTTTTGTCTCACTTCAATCAGCTCAGACCTTCAGTCAGAATTATAATACATTTGGGAATGTATGCAGCAGCATATTAATGCTTATGTTTTGACCCAGAACCTGAATCTGTGAAATGTAATATACCACACAGCCTTATAAGAATCACATGTGCACTGGATTAGTTGTCCTCTCCTCTGCCTTACGCTCACACCAAAACACAAGAGCGCACAAAATGTTCCAGCAGCAAGAACCCAGCCTTTATGGGTTTCAGGGGAGGAACTCTTTTCTTGGAGAACACAAGGTTATTTGAGGAATGGATCTCTTTATGACCTAACCATCCGTTTCAGAAGTCACTGAAGTGGACTAAATAAGAATATAACGGAAATGATAGTTGTAGGTGATTACAGATTAGTATGAGGAATTTGTTCTTAGGCTTTGTTCTTATACAATGTATTTCTATGACTATCATTTCCTATGCCTTTCACTAAAGGATACAAACATATTTGTATTTTTGTGTGTTGCATTTATTCAGTTAGATGTACATATATTACTTTTAATTTGAATCATCAGTCAGACCTGACTGACTGACTGATTGAAGCAGCACTGTGTTTTTCTCCGCTGGCTGTCTGTCCGTCCTGGTGTCCGGTTGTTGCTCGCATCACTAGAGACATTCCTGCTCAGTCACATGGGAAGAAAACCAGAATGGAGAGAGTACACACGCACATGTTATTATGGAAACTTAATTTTTCACATGCCTTAAGTGTGTAATTTCCGTTAGACATAGCTGACTGTGTGGCAGCTGTGAATTCTAGAGAACAGGAAATCTCACCATCTGTCTAGATGTCTGATGCAGTTTTACTCAGGAATAGTGGGCAGTTCTTCTAAGGTGATTGTCTGTAATTTACTGTACATCATGCTCACGCTCCAACTGGTTTTCAAATGCTTAAGTGACAATTAAACACGATGCCCGTGTTTGTTTCTCTGCAGGGACTGGGCCGGTCCACATGAACAAGGTTGAATGCTCTGGGTTTGAAAAGTCACTGACTGAGTGCCAATTCAACCGTCACGATTTGGGCTGCAGCCACGAAGAAGACGCGGCACTCAAGTGCAATGTCCCCGACATGGGCTTCAACAAAAGAGTGAGGACCTCTCTGCATCCCTATGGTATGAATAATATTTGTACACAACTGGAGGAAAACGTCTGTCTATCTTTGTCCTTAGCTCCGGTTAAATGGCGGCCGTAATCCCTTTGAGGGCCGCGTGGAGGTCCTGGCAGAGAGGAACGGCTCTGCGGTGTGGGGCTCTGTGTGCAGCGACAGCTGGGGGACTATGGAGGCCACGGTGGTGTGCAGACAGCTCGGCTTGGGCTTTGCCAGCCATGCTTTCCAGGTAAGGTGTAAACAACACTGTCAACACCTTAATGTCATCACATAATATATGCACCTTGTGTTTGTAGAGAAATGAAAGCCGAAATATGTTTGGTAGAGGGGGGCCGTAGCCGCTTGTGGCCAAAATGGGTTTTTCAACACAGTTATCTACACGGTCCCTGTTAAATTAAACAAATAAACAAAAATAAAGCTTGGTTGATGAACTTGGACATTCAATGAAAATTAATCGTATGCATAAAATGAGAGGAAACCACTGTTGCAGCACTTCCCATGTTAATGTCCATGTGTGTGTATGTACGTGCGCTTGTTTGTGTGTGTGTGTGTGTGTGTGTGTGTGTGTGTGTGTGCCATTAACTCTCACTTTAACAATCTGAACTGCAAAAAGGGGTTAGAACTTTCTAGCTGAAGAGTTTAGCTTTAAACTCTTCAGCAGGAGTGGTGGGAAAACTTTTATGCGATGTTTGAAGTTTAGTGGAGCTTTCTAGCACTAAAGCGTGTGGTATGACTTCATGTCACAGTAATGTCCTGCTTAAGTTCATGTCTTTATTGTTAAAGGACTCCCCCAGTGATGTCATAAGGTGAGAGGCAAGTTAAGTTAAAAAAAAAACATGTGTTCTTTATATATTTCTATTTTGAAACCAGGGTTGTGTCTGTTGTTTCGGATGATATAGGTCTGTATGTGTGAGGTCGGAAAGGTCGGAAAGTGTGTGTGAATCACAGGGACAGTTGTTGATAACAGGGTAGTGGAACTTGGACTCGATATGTTGCTGACTATTTATCTCCCTAAAATGCACATTTAATGAGTCTGTTTGCAGTCACCCCTTTAGTCAACACTGTGTTGGCCAACTTGGATTTTATGTAGATCATTTGCTCTATAAAAAACATAATAAAGTGCCAAGTCAAATAACCAGGTCATGTTATCACAGTACCATGTCTCTTTATCACTTTCAGTAAGTTGGTGGAGTAATACACTGTAGGTCTGCTCTCTCTTTATTACCCTGGCAGAGCAGGGACTCTTTCCAGTTTAACATTCCAGCACGCAAACCTCCCCAGCAAATGATACTGCTGTCTGCCCCTCTCCTCAGCCCACCAGCAATTCTCCCACATCCCTCAGCTCAATGTCTTTTTCGTGAATCGTCAACCTTCTTGGAAGATGACGCCAAGGGAAAGTATGAGTGGGCTTTTTTCGCAGGTGGTTTCATTGTGGTCTGCACGATGTTGTAATGAGGCTGAGTCAGCACTGTGACAGCAGAGCTCCCCTCGCTGTGTGTGTGTGTGTGTTTAGGTGTGTGTGGGATGTGTGATTTATCTATGTGCCCTTTGGGACAACTCAGATCATGTCTGCAAATGAAATACAGGAAGGAAATTAAGATAATGTTTCAGCTTAAAAGCTTCCCACACAATTATCCAAAACAGCTTGAGCAACATGATCTTCATCCGTCTGAGTCCAGCTGGCTCGAGCGTTTATATTGTAAGCTTGTTACTTTGAATTAAGTCAGATTTAAATTAAATGTCATTTTGGAAATTAGGCCAATTCACTTTCTAGCAAGGAGTCAGATGAGAAGATTTTTACCACTCTCGTGTCTATATGATATTTGTAAAGATAAGGCCTGCAGCCAGTTAGCATAGCATAGCACAATAGCAGGAGGCCCGGGGAAACCTCGCTCTGCCCAGAAGATAACAATACCTCTGTTGTGTAGTATGGTATCACACAAGAAAAAAACTACAACTAGGTTGTATCGTTTTCTTTCAGATTTAGAATAATTGGATATTTTAAATTAACAAACTTTCCAGGCGTTGCAAGGTGGAACGAGGCTTCACTAGTCCTCAGACCTGAAAGCAAAAAACAAAGCTGTATATGACCTGGGAAATGCCAGAGCATATAATGTTGGGTTCCTGGTCTGTGAATAGACATTAACATTTCTGTGCTTCCCTTTTATCAGGAAACATGGTACTGGGAAGGAGAGTCCCCAGATGACGTAGTCTTGATGAGTGGAGTGCGATGTTCAGGGACTGAGTACACTCTGGATCAGTGTCTACATCACGGGAAACACATCCACTGTCCCAAAGGAGGTGGACGCTTCGCTGCGGGCGTCTCCTGTACTCAGTGTAAGAAATAATTAGTCTCTACATTCAGAACCGTCTTTTTTATTTTGATGAAATGTCACAGAAGGAAAAACACATGTGTAAATTATCAAATCAATGCCTTTAACCTGTTAAAGTTTAGCTGCTTCAGTTTCAGGGTCCTGGTGTTGTCAGCGATGACTCGCCGTCCCTTTGTCAGGAGTTACTTTAAAGAACTGACCAATCATTGGTGTCATTAGCACTTTTCCTATCGTGGCGAGTTGACATGTCAGCCGCAAAGGAAGTCTATGAACTTAACAGAAATATGGTTTGAATTCAAAGTTAATACCGTAATTTGCCGATGCATAAGAAGTTTACAACATTCTTATTGGATAAAGTATTTTAAACATCTTGTCAAAAGTTTTTGCCCTACAGCTAATTGTGGGTTTTTTTCTTTTTTTCTGTGATGAATGCTGGTCTTAACCACTTTGTCCCTGGTTGCTCTCACCCTCCCAGTGGCCCCGGACCTGGTCCTCAGTGCCCAGGCTGTGGAGCAGACCACCTACCTGGAGGACAGGCCCATGTACGCGTTGCAGTGTGCCCACGAGGAACACTGTCTCTCCAAAAGTGCTGAGACAGCGGACTCCAACTCGTACCGCCGCCTTCTCCGCTTCTCCTCCCAGATCCAGAACAACGGGCTGTCAGACTTCAGGCCGCGGGCGGCACACCACTCCTGGGTGTGGCATGAGTGTCACAGGTGAGACCTCAAGAACTGCTGTAGTTTGCTGCTGCTTTTATCATATTGGGGCGTCTGAAACCTGAAAACCTTGAAAACTGCATTTGTTGAACTGAATGAAATCTGTCTTTGCCACCAGTCGGCCTGCTCCTTCTGTAAACGTGGTTTTGTTCAGTGGGTCCTCGTGGATCGGAGCATGTGTGTTATTGCGGGGTTGTTAAACATAGGCACATGCAGGACGTTTCAACGTTGTCTTTTGTCTCGTCCATTCCAGACATTACCACAGCATGGAGGTTTTCACCCACTATGACCTGCTGAGCCTAAATGGCACTAAAGTTGCAGAAGGACACAAAGCCAGCTTCTGTCTGGAGGACACTCACTGTGACGAGGGTAAATAGTCTCACTTCCCTGCGGCTCTGTGTCGAATCCTGCTAAGTTCTGGTTTAGCGAGATTCCGCTTTCATATAAAGAGAATATTGTTTAAGAAAAGAAAAAAAAATGTTTTAAATGTCAATGCCCAAACTGTACACAGGTATTCAGAAGAAGTATGCATGCGCTAACTTTGGGGCACAAGGCATCACAGTTGGCTGCTGGGACACATACAGGCACGACATCGACTGTCAGTGGATCGACATCACGGACGTGAAGCCCGGCGACTACATCTTCCAGGTGCGTCCGTCTGGCCACAGTGAAAAACCAAACATCTGCTTCTGGAAAGATGGTCTAATAGACCAAACAGATACCAAGACTTCCCACGTCTCCTCATCGGCTCAGGTCTGTTATTCAGCCTGAGCATGAGACCGAACAGCGGCTGTTGAAGGACACAGAACCTCAGTTACATTTCCAGTCACTAGATTGACTTTTTTTTGTGGCAGTGAAACTCACTAAAACAATTTTTATCGGTCCTTAGTAGCACTTACAAACTGTAAAGAAAAGAGAATGCTTCTTTCAGACAGAGCATTGTTTTTTTTGTTCTCCCAGGTTGTGATAAACCCAAACTATGAGGTTGCAGAATCCGATTACACCAACAACGTTATGAAGTGCCGCTCCCGGTACGACGGACAACGGATATGGACGTACAACTGTCAGATAGGTGAGACCCTTACCTTATACGCAGCACTGTGCTTTCTACACTGGGTTCAGGACCTTATTAGCTACGATGGCAAGAGTTCCCCTGCAGGGTTGAAGCTAAATATTGAATATGTTGATTTAAATACGGTTTCTGAAATATGTTAGATACAATTAGATATCTGATAGATCTAAACATCCTCATATAAAAGCTTAGTTAAGATAGTCAACATTTAACTTGCAACCTACCAACGTAGAGGCATTCAAAACACACCTTCATTTCCTTTAATCACTGCTCCTTTCTTTATTCCAAATGTTACATCACTGAAACTTATACAGACAATAAAGATAAAAAACATGTGTGGTTTATATATTTTATGGGATCTTGGAGAATGTATTGATGCGATTCGTATTCTTTTACTTAAAATGACACAACGGATGCAGTTAAATCCTACACTTAGTGGACATAAGTACACACCACAGAAGAAGTCCTGTCACTCCTACATCAGCCAATTGAATTTCAGGGAAATCTTTCATTTTGCCAAGAACACAAAACCCTCAACTTCTTCATTTTACTAAATGCAGAACGGGTACAAAGGGTCAAACATTCCAAGTCCTTAAATCTTAAACTTTAGTTATGTCATGTAGAGTGAGTAACAACTTCAATTATTTTTAAGGCAACAATCCCACGGTAGTTTTGTGGAAGACAATAGATATGATAAAACAAATTGTTAACAACAATTTAAACAAACTCTGGGGTTTCCAGTGTTTTTTCTTACGACTGGGTCTGGCTGGCTTTTGAATTTATAATTAAAATGATCTTTTTAACAGATCTGCTTCATATTAATGGATGTCAGTTTGAACTGAACTCTATATAAAAATCTGCCTGTAACAAAAGTTCCAAACAAATCCTGAGAATGTGTGGAGGAATTCAATACTTACTAGAATTATGCAACCGTCCTGCATCACTTGATACACACTGAAGTTTAAATCAAAACAAGCTAAGATCTTCTCCTGCTTTCTCCATTGGGCATTTCTGTTTACATTGGAATCTACTTTCTTTGTGATTATTGATCAGTAAACAACTGGAACTACATCAATAATGACCAAAGAGGTCAGGTTCAGATTTACAGCAGCAACTTCGAGGCTGTGGGGCGTGTTGTGATTCAGCGTCCTGCACAAACACCCTTCAGCAGTGTGGATTTTGCTGATGTGTGACAGTCAACTCTTGCCGGTGCCATTCTTCACCGTGCGAAACATGCTGCACCAAGCGGAGAAGGAGGCAAACCGTGCTGGACGGTAGTCATGCTCTTCTTTATCAGCTGGCTGTCTGTGGCCGCTGTGGAGCATCTGGAGGCCCAATGAACGGGGGGCCGACCTGGGCTGGACTGCCCTGTAGAAAATAGACCACCGTGATTAATGATATAATACACTACCGTTTATTACAATATTTGCCTTTGTTTTTATGATGCTACATGGTTAGCATCTTTCTCACTCATCTTCTCCCTGTGTGAATTCGCAGGTGGCTCCAGGAGTTCAGACGCAGAGGAAATGTTCCCTGGACTGCTGACTAACCAGGTGTCACACAGTTAGAACAAGGAAAGACGACGCAGCCAGAACTTATATTGATGTTTGACAACCACTAGAGGGAGCTTTGCCGTTTTGCTTCCTTGGAGCCTGGATTGCTGGATTGTTTTTTGGGATCAGGGCTCAACTGGTAGAGCGGACAATGATTCAGTGGCAAAGTGAACTGCTTGCTTGCTTGCAAAATCTATTAACCACATTCAGCTGTACAAAAGTACATATCGTTTAATGTCGTGGTGCCTTTGCCGTCAGTGACTTGGTGCTTACCCGGGGAGATGTCAGGGAGGATTGCAGCCAAATAATTTATTATTATTATTGTTGTGTACTGTGCCAAAAGTTGTTTTCCAAGGCAAACTTTAAGAAAAGTCTCAAACCAGCCCCCAATTAGATGACACATTCACGTGCATGTTCTGTCTGCTGTAATAAGCATATAAATAGTCCACTGTTGGACTAAACTTGGTGCTACAACTGAATTTTGGACACTATGCCCCCACGAAAACAGTTGAATTTAAATTGCATTTGCTTTTGCAAGTATTACATGCTTTAAACCAAAATGGTAATTCATGCTACCTAGATTTATTTTCAAATGTAAGGTCAAGGCTCCTTCAGTGCTGAACACAGGGAATTCCTCACCAGTTAGTTGCTTGCTTTGATTTGTTTCCTGCAGTGTTTTATGTCAATCTGTAAACATGTTCCATTCTCAATAGCAAGAAATAAGCGTGAATAGGCTTTCTTCTACCAGGGTTTTGTGTTCCACATACTTGAGCTAGTTTTTGAAAGTGTTTTATTTATTACGTTTTTTTATCTTGGTAGTTTCAGTAGACACACGTGTGCATCCCCTCAGCTTATTTATCAATGTCTGAGTTTTATTACATTATTCGTCAGGGACTATGGTAACATGGTGGATGTAGTGGAAAAGCCACAAATGTAGGTGAAAATGTCTCGTCATTGTTTTGTGAACTAGTTGTGGGTTTTTCTGTCACAAATTCAAGGATCCTTCATTTTTAAAAGAGTGATTGTTGCTTGCTGCCTGACTGGATATGTCTTGTGTGAATGTGCAAAAGTATTTACATTTTTAAAATAAATATTGGTGAATGCAAGTTCAAAATTGAATTGCTGAAACGTATTAATAGAAAGTCTTTGTGTGGGAAGCATTGCAGAAGTACTGAATATGTCACAGTTTTATTTGTGCTATCCCAAGTTAAGTGTTCTGCTCACTAATCACTGTGCTGGTTATAGTAAGTCAAACAGTACCGTAGTTAAAACTCCTCACCTAACCTTAAAATGCTTAGAACTTCCCTTTGTCACTCGCGTCAGTTCACCTGTTTAAGCGAAGAGGGGTTGCGTTTCCCTTCAATATCGCTGCCCTCTTCGGCCTCGTCCCTGCATCCCAAGCGCTCTGGTCACCATCCGCCTGGCAACAGCACAGTCGGTCCGAGGACGCTCCTTTACTGGCTGGATAAATTCTGGAAGATGGCAAAGCAAAGAGAATTTCCAGGATTAACACAAAATACCACGTAAGGGGTTCCAAGACATGAAGAGATTCATAACAGATATGTATTCCACGCAGCTACAGGGCTTTTACAATGAATCACCTACCTGCTCGTCTGACGGCCTTCCCTTTGGCTTTTTTACTCCCTTCATTCAACGCTCTGGCCTTCAGCAATGGATGGCAAATGGAGAGCGCCTGGATGGCTGCACGTGACATTGCTATATGTTAGGACAATCTTTTGAGTCATTCCTCTCTTAACCTCAATCTCAGCACAACATACCTGCCGTCTCATTGGAGAAAACCCCCAGGGCATGCGTGTCGTCAACCCACTCGATCTTCATTCCACCATCACTGTGAAATACGGAGCAGCACTAATGAAGTTTGGTAGCTGGACCATTTGTCTGAGAGCTCAAATTACCTCACAATGGAAATACAGGATGTTTTCACACTAAAGGCCGGCGCATGCTTCTGTGTCTGCGCCGTTGCGTCGACGCACTCGTTTCAATTCATGGTTCTAAAAGGCTTGCGTGTGTTGCAGAGCAATCCACGGAGTATCGTGTTTTTGTTGAAGACGACCTAGAGAGTCACGTCTATTTATTTATTTGTTTATTTATTTATCATAGACTTTATTGCCCCGTGCATCGCAACTATTGCTTTTCATCGTGGACACGTTTATCCCGTATTTTCCTCCACAACTTTGTGCACTTCTCGACCGGCAAACCGCCGTTTGTGGCGATCTCCCTCTGTGAATCCAACCCGCTTCTACAACCCGCCAATGACGGCTTGTATGAACGGTCATATTTACATATTTCTTCCGACAAAAGTTCTTCAATCTGATCCGTTCTCTCGTAAACATTCTTCGTTTTAATAATGGCGGTATCGGCTATGAAAGCGGAAATGTGAGACTCCGTAAAGGATGTAGTTAGCGGACCAATCGGCCTTGTGCGCTGTCTAGAAAAATGGGTCGGCACACGCAAGGACGCAAGGAGGTGTGAAAAGGCACACAAGGGACACGCAAGGGGGTCTTGCGTCTGCGTCGCTCTGAAAACGCAGAAGCATAAACTAGGCTTTAGTTTGTGTTATTGTGTTTGCAGAAATATTTCTGATATATATTTGAAGTTGAATAAATGGCAAGACGGTGACCTGGTGAAATACAATGGAAACTTGATGCTCGCACCTGTAGTCTGCGAAAGCATCCAAGAGGTCATCGGTTTTGAAAGTCGGGGGAAAGTGATAGATCTCGATCACGTGGCAAAGCTTGTCCGGGATGATGAAAACACTCTCATACATGGAGTAGTCATTCTGAACATGCTGAATGGAAATGGTCTCCAGTTCTTTTAGATGTGTCTTGATCTGATAAGACAGGAAAAATACATATTATTAGAATTTGTGATGCTAATGTGTAATATGAAAAACAACAAATAACAACAAATTGAAAAAACACGCGATTATTACTGTGTAGATCAGTAAAATGCATGAACAATTAAGAAAGAAAAAAAACAGCAGGCATACCTCTTCAGTTACATCGTCTGAGTCCGTGCATTCGTCCTCCTTGCCCGTCTCATCTTCCTCCAGAGTCATGTCATTGAAGGAGGACATTGTCTTCTGCCAGACTAGGGGCTCATCTTCATCCACAGTCAGCAGCTTTTCTTCCTCTTCCTGAGGACAGATTGCTGAACTGTCACCAGCATGGTGGGAGATGCCCTCCGCTACACTGAGGGGACACTCCTGTCTGGATGTGGTTGAGGTTTTTTCTGCCTTTTCGGTACAGAAAGAAGAGTCACACGAAGTGCTAATGAAGCTACTTGAGGCTGGACCGGGCAACCCATGCTCTCCCGACGGGTCTTGTGAGCTCTGTAAGGAGAGTCTCTCCCGAGCGGCTCGTGGCATGTAGAGGGGTTTGTCCGGCCTCTTAGGTCCTCGGCCTCGCGATGAGATAGAAGATTTGGGCTTGGCGTTGTCGCCACCCGTCTCCTCCCGGTTTCTTAGGGGCTGTTCACACAGGCTGTCGTGGCTCTCCCAATCATCGGCTTGCTCATCCACACGCCTACAGGAAAATACTAAAAGTTTTATCTTAGCTTATTCCACTAAAGTATGGCAGCAATTTCAACTAAGACAAAGAAACACAAACGACAAACAGCACATACTAAGCAATACAGTAAAGTGGTTGATAGCACATCTAATAACCAAGATGTTGTCTGTCCCGGACCTTATCTCAGAGTGGCAGACCACCACCCTTCGGCACCAGCTGCCCCCTACTGAGAAGGTGGTGAGCCCCGGCAGGTCCTCCAGGGTCCTGTGGATCAGGTATCGCAGTCTGCTCGGTAGAGGAGGGAACAGGAGCACACTGACGGAGACACAGAGGGCACGTCAACACAGACGGAGACACAGAGGGAACCGATTTTCAAGATTAAACTTGGTTTTGAAAAAAGGTTCTATACAAGGAAACTGGGGGGCCTTTTACTGCATGGGAATAAATAATTACAGTAATACAACAAACACAGCCAGTCACACACAAACCATCGCCTTTGTAATTAAAAACATTACATAGGGTCATGTACTGAGAGGCAGACTAGTCTCACGAGTTGTTTTTTTTGTAAAACTGAAAAGAAAGTTACGTTATTGCTGCAGCTTACAGGGTTAATTTATATGTAAGAACAGTGTGTGACGACACGGTGCACGTTTTAATGAATGAAAGAGCGGCACTCTGTTTCTGCAGTAGTCCATTACTAACGCTTAACGGTACAAATGATAGTTTCGCCTCCACTGAGGCAGCGTCAAAACCAACTTGACATTTACCTCCTGTGGTCGCCGTTTTCCTGCTGGTATGTTACCAGCTCATCATTGACTTGATGAAGAAATGCAGCTTCTTCCTTCGGGAGATAAACGCCATCGAAACAAGGAAAGGCCATGGTGAGCAGAGAGGGCGGGTCCTGTGCAGAAGTCGGTGTATTGATGATCTAGGAAGAAGAATCACCCTTAGCCAAATGCTAATTCATCTCGGCCAGTAATGTAAGCTAGCAGCCGTGGCTTTTGAAAACGTAACGTGACGATGTGATGATGCCGGTTTACTAACGTGAGTTCAAGCGATTGGTCACAACTAGCTGGTCACGGTGCGTATGTTTATTACGTAAACCACACGTGAACAACTCAAAACAAAGCTAGCAGACTTTGGATAACCTTATGGGGCTTCTATGCGGCGAATCGCTGCCAACATCCGAGAGCGCATATCAGGTTCATGCGCGCGAGCAAATCAAACATTCACGGGCAAAAGTCGGGCTCGAGAGCAAAAGTCTGCCTCGCGAGAGAAAAAGTGATTTGCCGCCATGGGCTTCGTGAGCCGTCCGTCGCGAGTTCGCCCGAGCTCTCAGTTGTCGTGCCTACCGGAGTGGTTGAAGAGCGCTTTACTCTTTTGAATTTGACTGGTGACCGTAACCAAGTTAACTCAAGGGTAGAAGCAGCGGCATTCAACGTTAGTAATCGTTCCGGAAGCAGATGTTTTTTGTGTTTCCTCAGAAGCCGCAAAATATCCGGTCGGAATTCTTCAAAATAAAAGCGACGTTGCTAAAACGCAACTATTATTTGAGTGGTAATAAATATTCTAATCAAATGCTGGGCTTTGAACCCATTGCCCAAACAAAATGCTACTGCTTATTCTATTTAAAGCCAAACACAAGGAACACTAATTTTACAGGCAGGAAAAACATTTATTTAGATTAAAAAAAGAACAATATTTGTAAGAAAAAGTATAACATCTGCATCAAACACCAACAAAATCAATCATCTGTGGTGTTGAGTGTTTAAGGTTTCTGTGGCGATTGTGAGAAAGGGGACATTGACATTTGCAATGTAGATGGTTCATCTTATGAGAAACCTGCAACAGGACTTGAATGTGACTTTGGAGATCTAGTGATGTTGCACTATGACGCAGATGGTAGAAATCTACCAGGTCATGCTGTTACATTGTGATGGAGGTATTAACAGTATACATGCTCCGTCTTCAGTCACATGAATCCAGTTCAGAAATTTCAAGCGCATATTTCACAAGACATGACTGCACAACACCCCCCATCCAAAAAAGAAAAGTCACATTCATGCACTGATAAGAAAACAATAGCCTCAATAAAGGCTACAACCAGCACGTCAACACTGAGGAGCACTGCCCATAACAGGATTACCATTTATAGACTGTGCCAACCACTTTCTTAACAGTTCTTGGTGGCTATATGCATAATCTTATTCTTAATTATTTCCAAATACATAAACAAGTGAAATCACTTATATTTACCATGATCAAAACATGACATTTAACACAACGGCACAGTTCATAAATACCGGTCTTGATCAACTAGGACATGTTTCATACATCACTGCATGTGTAAAAAGACATGAAAGCACATTTCCATGTAAGGATAGAAAGAGTAGATTACTTATAAATAATGGCGAAAGGGATTAGATCAATTATATACAGTACATCCATTAAGTTGAAAAAAACATCTGAATATGTGCTGCCAGACGGATGATGCATATCTGGCCAGGGTCACCAGCCTATACAGAAAGGTAGAAGGAAAGAGGAAAATTCTATCATGAATAGTCAACGGGTACAGACGATAAAGATTCTATCGTTATGACAATGTGTTTTGACTAGTGGATATTAGTAACGTAATTACTAAGTAGTAAGTATTACTAATAAGTGATCAATATGAAATCATGGAATTAAAAGTGGTCAGTCATCCATTTGACCGTGGCTACAACAAACAAACTGGACAGCTGACTTATATTAATTAATTCAATAATCAGATCACTTAATAATAAAACCCGAATATCTTGGGTTAGGGGCTAAAACAGCAATTTGTAGACAGAGGACCAAATTCTAAATATCTATCAAAAGGCTCCATACCCAAAGTTATTTATCTTCCCGAACCAATACTTCTGTCTTCAAAGATGGTAATTTCAACCTAGAAGATGGCAAGTTAAGAGAAATACACAACTCTACATTGATATTTTATTTATAGAGTTAAAAGCTGGGAGTTTTAAAGTACAATTCTTTTATTTATTGAAATCAATAAGCCAAATGCACTGACATCCTCTGTAGCTGTTACAGGACTGTAATAAGCCCGACACATGAGTGTCTCCCTACTTACATACCTGCCTGCTCTCTGCAGGCAGGTATGTCCACGCCAGTCTTTTAAAAGCAACTAGCTTGACACCTGTGTGTGCGACCAATAGGTCTGTTTGTTTACGTTCTTGGTAATAGGTTAACATTCTTGATAAGCGCAACCTGGAAGGACAGGCTGTCAGTTACTGACCTGTCAACTTTCTAGATAAATATGGAGCTAGTGCAGCTGGCTGCTTTCTTTGGAAATTAGTTGGTAAAACCGGACTAAATATTTCATATATTTCTTAAAAATCTAGCTTATTCTTCTCTCAACATAACCAACCCTAGCTTCAAAAGATTTGTTTGTTTTTTTAGTTTTAGATTTAGTGTATTAGCCACATGTCAAAGAATAACCTAGCAAAGAATGTAGATCTAAATATTACTAGAGGAGCCAAGCAACATCACCAACACGTGTAAGTCTACATCAGTATATCTTCATTACTTTTCTACCCTGGTGCATACTACTATATTTCAGCAGAAGGATACGACTCTGAGGCCTCGCTCTATGGGGTCGGTCAACAGCAAGCCCCTGGGAGCGTATATCTTCTCATTCTGGTCCTTAATGTACCTAGAAATCTTCTTTAACACCTGCACACAGAGAGGAGCACACACATTTAGGACATGCATTGTTAAAAAGATGAGCATTCGATAAACACAGCATAACATTAAAATGTCTTTACCTTCTCATAATGCGTTTCCATACAGAGAAATATTGTATAGGCAGTTAGACAAGCCAGGCAGCCCTCCAAATAAGACTTCCCCCCTAGTTTCTCTGCCTCTGCATACAAGTTGTTGAGAGTCTGGATTGTTTCCTCAAACTGCTGCTTATCAAGCTGAAACAACAGTTTGGATATTAAAACACAATCTTTTAACATTCTTGGCATCTGCGTAAACACTATAACTTACATACCCTCGACTCAAGCTCAGAGGGAAACTTGGTCTGGAATTTGGAGATTGTCCCTGAGTTGTAGTCTCTCTGGACAAACACCTTGGAGGAGACAGCTGGCTGCCGGAGGTCCTGCAAACTGTGGGTCTGGAACATAAATCAATATTTAATGTGGCTGGATTCGAATTATCAAAAAAAAAGACCTCTTGAAGTTTATTACTGAGCACTATTCCTTCACCTCAGGGAAATATGGTTATGAAAATTCATGAGGATTTAGGAAAAGAAAACCGCTGTTTAGGGAATGTTACTCCACTTTTACCAAGCCACGTAACCATGATGCGACGGGAGACGCATGTTAGTGACGTTGGTCTGGAGCGGCGAAACTACAATTTCTCCGAAGATGTACTACAAAGATTTGCATTTAAGATGCCTTCGTCCATGTGTTGTTGGTGTCAATATAAATGAGCTATGTTAACGGGTAATTAACGTTACACGATCTGCGTTTCTCGGTCATGATCGTTATTTCTCGTGAACGGCCGAATAATATGACACTATTTAAATATAATTATATAATATAGGAATTGTGGAACGGAATTATTACCTTTACTTTCTTAAAGCATAGTCCTGTGATTCCTATGTTAAAGGAGCTAAGTAGGGAAGCATTGAAGCTCCTTCCTTAGCATTAGAGAATCCAGCCAGTCTTTCATGAAAGATACCAGTCTGGCGGCTTTACTCCGTGAAACTAACCACACAAATGACCACATATGGGATGTTGACATTGTTGACGCAGAATACTCGTGACATTGGGAAACAATACTACAATATAATCAAAATGAATGAAATACTATGATCGGCCTGTGGTGACTTTAGCTAGTTAGCTAATAACACGTTAGCTCACGTTTGCTGGTGCGTCAACGGCGCTGGAAAGTATGGCCAGACAGCCTTCAACACCATCCAAACCAATAAGTCACCGTAGACATGTTGACGTTACGAATTTAGCTATCCAAACACATGTTAATCTTCAAAAACGAAAAACTCCCCAAGCCCACCTCAACAATAAAAACCTTACCTCAGCCATAGTGGACGCTTTTCTGTTACTGCTGCGCATCTACTCTCCAGCGCTTCCGACGCAATGCGACTTCCGGTCTGTGTTTTCATAATAAAGGTCTTTTGCAAAAATATATTGAGTGATCAAAGTGACATGCAACAGCACGTCTCGCTATGCCGTTAACGATATACGTTTCAATATTATTTTTGCAAACCCTCCAGAAGGATCATGTTTTATAAGATACGACGTAAGTTAGAACAAACCAAAAAGTGATTCAAAGGCTTCATCTGCCGTGTTGGATCTTAACACCCAAGGGTTTACGCTGATGGACACCGCCAGATAGTAAACTAGTAGCTGATTCAGATTGACTGGAAATAGCAGGAGGACTTGAACAGGAATTTCCCTGTTTTGCCCCATGCATATGTATGTGCTTACGCTATACTGCCTTATAGACATGAAGTGAACTCAATTGTAAATGGAGACATTCCTGTGAAACAAATTAAATTTTCTCAAGCCAAACATTTGGGTTCTGATTACTGAATGATTATGACCGCTGCAAATAAAACAAGTACTTTATTTCTCATCAGGCTATTACATTACTCATATGATACAGCTCAGTGAGCATTGTGGGATTTTGAAGTCTGTGGTTTTGTTTTAAGTAAATGCTTTACTTAATACGTTTGATCCATGATGATCAGGGAAAGAAACATGTCACCCGTCGGACTGGCTGCTTGAACACAGTAATTCAATACACCTGACAAGCACAATGACATGAAAACACATCTCTCCTGCGAGGAGACGTTGTGACCTGAAGTCTGTAGTCTGTGAGCGCTTGGAGCTTCCCAGCCAGCTTAGAGAGTTGCGGGCTGCTATCCAGAATCTCCAAATATCCCAAATCCTGCAGCTGGTGAAGATGTAAGAAATCTCTTTCTGGTACATGTTCATGGCGGAGTTTGAGGCTTTTGAGCTTCGGAAAAAGATGTGGGATTTGAGCTGTGCGAGCTCCCAAATGTGAGGGCCAGGGGTCTAGGTGAAGGTGCAGGAGATTTGGGACCTGCACTGCTACAGCTGCCATGTCCTCTGAGGACAATCCTACAGCACACAGTGTAAGATTGGTCACTGTTGCTGGAATGGAGGAGACGTAATTCTTCACAGGTGGGCCCTTGGCAATGACCAGGGTGGACAGTTGAGGGAGGTCGCTCAGCCATGTGTTCAGTGGATGGCGATCAGGTGATGGACATCCTTCTGTCGTCTCCTGATTTGAGCACCTGTAGTAAACAGCAAGAGTCTTAAGGCCAGGCATCAGCCTCATTACATCTTCTGGTAATGAATGATCTATGCAGTGGATAAGCTCCAAACTGGACAAGACTGGGGAACCAGCTCCTCCTACAGGGCCGGGTTTGGGTCCTGAAATATTGGAAAAGGCGAAGAGTCTTTGCACAATGGACAAAGAGAGATGCTTCAACTTTGGCAGGCAGTTCAGTATCGAGTGAATCACCCAGATGGTTTCTTCAAAGATGCCCACCTGATGACAGACCAGAGATGTAAGATTTGTAAACTGGGATAGAGCAGAAACAAATCTATCCAGACCTGCGGTGGGAAATTTCACATCACACATGCTAAGTTGGGTCAGCTGCTGTGGGTGATAAACCGTAGAAGCATCGAGCAAGAGGTTAGTGCTGCTGCTTCTAATAGCCAGACGTTTCAGATTAGTAAAGTCCTTAATGCAATCGAGGCTGGCGTGGGAGCTCTGGTCCATTACCACTGTGGTGAGAGAAGGAAGGAACAGGGCGAGTTGTTTCCAGACCTTGGCTTTGGTGCCCCTCATCACCACACCGGCGACTCCTCTGCGGCGGAGAGTGTCCCAGAATCGACTGTTGTAAGCCCCGCGTTGGAAACCCAGAACTACTGACCAGTCTCTCCAAAGGGTTCTTTGGTCAACAAGATGTTTGAAGTACTTGCAGGACGCCCGCACACTAAACCGGTCCGCCGGGGACAGATGCCTCAAAACGTGGATCCAGATCTCTGGCGGAAGTCCCACAGTCGGCTTTCCCATCGTTTGTCTGCTATCGGATGCGTTTGCTAGTAAGCGAACATCGGCCTGTATTTACCAAATGCCTGTTAACATCGACCGTTCCAACGCCAGACAAATGTAACAAACGTCATTTTATTTCCCCCACGTTTCTTGATCGTCGATAGTTGAGTGGGGCTTCTTCTTCTGTGGTGTTCAACTTCTTCTTCTTCTTTGGTGTTTATCGGCGGTTGGCAAACCATCTTAGTGACGGTGCGTTTCTGCCACCGTCTGGACTGGAGTGTGGAGCAGGAGTTTATCCATCCATCCATTATCCATTATCCCACCATCTGCACACCGCTTATCCTGCACACAGGGTCGCGGGGGGGCTGGAGTCTATCCCAGCCAACTTCGGGCGATAGACGGGGTTCACGCAGGACTGGTTGCCAGCCATTCGCAGGGAGCTACACAGAGACAAACAACCATTCACACTCCTACGGGCAATTTAGAGTCACCAATCAGGATCAGGAATCAGGAAACATTTATTGCCCAAAAATGTCAAACATACAAGGAATTTGTCTTGGCGGTTGGTGCGTGACAGTAGACAGTGTAACAATAGACAACAAGACAGCAGTGCATGATAACATGAAATGCTAAGTGCAAAATAACATGAAATGCTAATGCAATGGGTTAGTAATTTAAAGTATTTAAAAAGTTTAGAAATATTAAACAAAGTGCACTATCGAACAAGTGATAAAGTGACGAGTGACGACAAAGTGACGAGTGAGAAATGACAGTTAAAGTGACATGTGCAGTAAGACGGAGAGTGACCGGTGGAATGTCAGAGTCAGTCAGTGAGGGACCGGCTCTGTTGATGAGCCCGACTGCCGACGGGAAGAAACTGTTCGTGTGGTGGGAGGTCTTAGTCCTGATGGACCTCAGCCTCCGGCCAGATGGAAGGGGCACAAACAGGTTTTGTCCGGGGTGAGAGGGGTCGGCTACGATCTTTTTAGCTCGCTTCAATCAACCTGATCCCCAGAGCAGGTCTTTGGACTTTCTTCCCAATTTACCAGACCTCCATTCCTTTCATCCCTTGTCTTTGCACTTCTCCCAGCCTGTCCTTCCTTTCCGAGCTGTACAGTTGTTGTACAGTTTCTGGTGTCTGGCAGTGTTCACAAAGGCCGGGTGGATGCTTCCATTGTGCAATGCTGCATTCCTATTTCTAGTCTTGACATTGTAATTTATTCTCCCCTGTTTCCTCCCCTGAATTTTACACTGTTCACTTTAGAATTAGAATTAGAATTGAATTTAAGTGCCCCCCCCCCCACCTCGTCTCTTGGTCCCATTGTTGTTGCCATACACAGTTGATATTTTTCCTGACGATGCCCTTTTTCCTCTGCTTTAGATAGCTTTATTTATATTTTTACTTTTATTTAATTGTAGTGGATTTGATCTTATCGGTGATAGTGTGGCAACAGAAGTGATCGACACAGCAAGCATCCAATAGCTGGGAAGCTGACGCCCAAAGCTCCTCGTTGATTGGACAGTAGATTCATATAAACTCTGCTCGCGTCTTTCCGCTTCCTCTTTCTTTCACGCGACCCTCTTGTGTGAAGTAAGGACTTGGTTTCGCGCTTTCACAAAATACCTAACATGCAGTGGAATTATCCTATATTGTGTATATATGGATTGTTAAAATCGACACGTATCCAATCTAACACTCAAGGTTCAGCATGGTCTAACGTAAACACTACTGTGCTAATACTAAGCTACTGTGCTAATACTAAGCTAACGCTAATGTGCCGCGGCCTGTGATTGCTAGCTGGCTAACGCCACACGCTAGCTGTCGACCTCGTGGCGGAAAGTATAAACGTTAAACATATTTGTTCCGTTTCTAATGTACATTTAGTAACTACTTTATTCTGTGTGTTCAGGTACTACCTTGTCTTTAAACCAGCTTTAAAGCGATCCTTGGAAGCACTGCAAAGATGCCCAGGGAAGACAGGGCCTCGTGGAAGTCCAACTATTTTATAAAAATAATCGTAAGTAGGCCCTGACTCGTGACATTTTATTGAAACTCTAGCAAACCTAATGTATATACTCTACCGTTTAATCTTAACATTGTGTTCCCCTCTTATTTGTAGCAACTTTTGGATGACTATCCAAAATGCTTCATTGTGGGCGCAGACAACGTGGGCTCCAAGCAGATGCAGACCATCCGCCTGTCTCTGCGTGGGAAGGCTGTGGTGCTGATGGGTAAAAACACCATGATGCGCAAAGCCATTCGCGGCCACCTGGAGAACAATGCTGCCCTGGAGAAGTGAGTCTTTTACTTTAGCTATTTGACATGTTTTTGTCAAGCAGGATAAGTTACAATGCAGTTAGTGGAGTACTGCTTTGTCGTTCCCCCTGCACACAATAACCTGTTTCCACGCTATACCTGTCAGTCAGCATCCCTAGACTGCCAGGCACGTACGGTTTCAGACAATTTACACGATATGTATTTGTAGATATGATTATCTGCACACCTATTGTAACCGTCAATTCCATGATTTGATAGGCTTCTGCCTCACATTAAAGGAAACGTGGGCTTTGTCTTCACAAAGGAGGATCTGGCTGAGGTCCGGGACATGCTGTTGAACAACAAGGTAATGAAAGTGAAAGAATCTCCAAATACCGCTCCTGATCAACCATGATGTTTGAGTAAAAGATCCCACATTTTTATAAAGCAGGATAAGTTACAATGCAGCTTGTGAAGTACTGCTTTGTCGTTCCCCCTGCAAACAATAACCTGTTTCCACGCTATACCTGTCAGTCAGCATCCCTAGACTGCCAGGCACGTACGGTTTCAGACACCAATTAACGCATTACGTTAGTCTCAGGCAACCAGGCAGCAATTTTTAAAATATACTTATTTATATTCAGGAGTCGCGTGCATAATTGTCCCCCTCTAACAACCCAGGTACCTGCAGCTGCCCGTGCTGGAGCAATCGCCCCATGTCATGTGACTGTGCCAGCCCAGAACACCGGTCTGGGTCCAGAGAAGACCTCTTTCTTCCAGGCTCTGGGTATCACCACAAAGATCTCTAAGGGAACCATTGAAATCTTGGTGAGTTTCTAACTGTTTACTTGAAATGCTGAAAGGATGACTAAGAGAAGCTAATGCTGTCACCGAAATACTTCAGTATCAGTAATTAAAAAGTCTCTATCCCCAGAGTGATGTCGGTCTGATCAAGACTGGCGACAAGGTTGGTGCCAGCGAGGCCACGCTCCTCAACATGCTGAACATCTCGCCGTTCTCCTACGGACTCAACATCCAGCAGGTGTATGACAATGGCAGTGTTTACAGTCCTGAGGTGCTCGACATCACAGAGGCTTCTCTGCATGCAAAGTTCCTGGAGGTGAGATTCTGCCATTGGTAGTTTAATGACAGTTTGCTCAATGCCCAATATTGATTGCTACCAGTGCATGGAAATTAACCATTGTTTATTTTTAGGGTGTGAGGAACATCGCTAGCGTTTGTCTGGAGATTGGCTACCCCACTCTGGCATCTGTCCCTCACTCCGTCATCAATGGCTACAAGAGAGTTCTGGCTGTTGCTGTTGAGACGGATTACTCCTTCCCCCTGGCAGACAAGGTATGCTTGTTAAATCATTAGTTGGCATAAATGTTACACTTTAGTTATACCTGTGTCTTGCATGTTTAGGAAGCAGTTTAAATGGAAAACTTTAATATATCTTGTTTCCTTTATAGGTCAAGGCCTTCCTGGCAGACCCGTCCGCTTTTGCTGCTGTCGCAGCCCCTGTAGCAGCTGCAGCAGCGGTGACTTCTGCAGCTCCAGCTGCTAAGGAAGCGGTTAAGGAGGAGTCTGAGGAATCAGATGACGATATGGGCTTTGGTCTCTTCGACTAACACAGCGAAGAAACCAGATCTGAGTCAAACATGATTAAATAAAATCTGTTAAATCTAAATTGTTGTTTAGAATGAAGTTATTTTAAAACATAAATTTTGGCGGTCAAAGATTACAGGTTTGTTTGAGTCCTGAATTCTATTCTGATAAAAGTACTACCTGGAATTTAAATATTAATGACAAATTGTGTCATAGAGTGGATACCACAATCTGGAACAAGGTTCTAGAGTTGTTACACTACGTAACACTGCTACGACAATAAGTTAATTGTTACAATGTATACCTATTGCGTTAACTGACATGTAACTTTTAAAAAGCCGGTTTTGGTAAACATTCCTTGTATTCCAACTGATCGATTTCACCAAAGCCTTCAGTTCATGGGGAAAAAGCTTGCCAGTTTATCCTGGCTCTGTTGCTATCGACATTAGCCCATACCAGTACTACAGTGCACTATTCTAGATTAGCAAGGAGAAAAAGTACAGCCTACTGACTGGATCACATGATGGGACCTAAATACAAAGAATTTAGTCTTAATCTAGACAAAGCACAAGTGTAAACTGCTAATTGTTCATCTTACCAATGGCAACTTCTGACCAATTTATCACAATGCAATATAACTGTTAAAGGAATTCAAACTATCAGGGTGACATGAATAATCAGTTTCAGGGTCGTCGTGGCAGAGCGGATGCGCTGGGAACTGCAAGGTTGGTGGTTAGAGTCCCGGCTGCCCCAAGTCATTCTCCCTGAGCAAGATGCCTAACCCTAATTGCTCCCCGGACAAAATGTATAAAGCCATGGGTCGCTTTGGATAAGAGTCAGCTAAATGACCTGTAAAGTTTAGAACTATCCTGGAGAACCATCAGTTTTAGGGTGGAGAGGTTTGTTGCTATGGACCGGAGGGCTGTTCTTTAGAATAGTTTGCAGCTCAACGTTTTTTTCAAACACTGGAGGAATTTGGCCTAATTTAAATATGGTTCACTTAAATTCCAAAACTACTGTAAAATATGACAAAGTATTATATCCATGTTGCCATTATCGATTTGTCTCACTGCAGTTTACAGGTGGTTCAGATTTAGTCCTGCGGAACACAAAAGGACTACTTTGCAGTAGAAAACAATGTCAGACATTGAAATACTATCATTTGACTTAATTCCATACAATGTATGATTTCCAAAGGTATGGACTCATTAAAGAAATCAGATGGGTGAGAAAATATCCTCTAAACCTTTAGTCCTTCAAACTTTGCAAAAAGGTTAAAATGGTGATTCCTACTATATGTTGCCAGATGCAATAACTCAGTCAATTTTAATGTGGATAGCCATGTCACTTCAGGGTAAGTGAAGCTTGATTCCATTTTAGTGTGGCGCAACAGTAATTGGTATGCAATATTAATCAGCATTAATCATTAAACCTCTGAACAAGCATGGGTTAGTTAACCACTGGAGGCAAATAAAGCATTTTTTTTAAATTTCCGTTCAAATTAAGGATAATTTCACATTCACTCCTATGGACAAAAACTCATGCACTCATTATGGGCTTAAAACGAGACTCAAGTCCATCCTGAGCGAAGGAAAATAAAAATCACAAGACACAAAAACTGGGGTATTTGAGATTTTATTGAATCATAGTTTGGCTCAAATCTGGTTTCTTTGACAGTCGAATAGCCAAACCACCATGTGGTCGGGAAATTCCTCAGACTATTTCTGAGCAGCTCCAGATGTTAATGCAGCATCTAAAATAGTCTGGTCTACCAGGAAGGCCTTTACCTGTAAGGAAATAAAGTATATTTTAAGTTTTCCCCATTTACACTCAAGTAACATTCATGCCAACTAAAAGGGACAGCCAATGATTTAACAAGCATACCTGGTCTGCCAGGAAGGAGTTATCAGTAACAGCCAGAACTCTCAGCCATTGATCCGGAGTGGGGCAGCAAATCGGCAGACAAACACTGAGGTTCCTCACACCCTAAAAAATACACAATGGTTAGTTTCAATGCACTGCTGGCAAGCAATGTTGGACATTGAGCAAAAGGTAATCATTTAACAGAATCTCACCTCCAGGAACTTTGCATGCAGAAAGCCTCTGATGTCGAGTCCGGAGGAGGACGGTTTTCTGGGATGGCACATTCACATGACAAGTGGAGTTTGCTCTAGCATGAAAGCTGCAGGTACCTGGGTTTTTAGAGGGAGACAGTTTAATATGAGACTGGGGCCAAATAGGAATCCCAATGGTAGGTTTTAACATAGTTACCTGTGACTCAACATAAAGAGTTAGTTTAATTGGTGTCTGAAACCGTACGTGCCTGGCAGTCTAGGGATGCTGACTGACAGGTATAGCGTGGAAACAGGTTATTGTTTGCAGGGGGAACGACAAAGCAGTACTTCACAAGCTGCATTGTAACTTATCCTGCTTTATAAAAATGTGGGATCTTTTACTCAAACATCATGGTTGATCAGGAGCGGTATTGAGATTTTCACTTGCATTACCTTGTTGTTCAACAGCATGTCCCGGACCTCAGCCAGATCCTCCTTTGTGAAGACAAAGCCCACGTTTCCTTTAATGTGAGGCAGAAGCCGATCAAATCATGGAATTGACGGTTACAATAGGTGTGCAGATAATCATATCTACAAATACATATCGTGTAAATTGTCTGAAACCGTACGTGCCTGGCAGTCTAGGGATGCTGACTGACAGGTATAGCGTGGAAACAGGTTATTGTGTGCAGGGGGAACGACAAAGCAGTACTCCACTAACTGCATTGTAACTTATCCTGCTTGACAAAAACATGTCAAATAGCTCAAGTAAAAGACTCACTTCTCCAGGGCAGCATTGTTCTCCAGGTGGCCGCGAATGGCTTTGCGCATCATGGTGTTTTTACCCATCAGCACCACAGCCTTCCCACGCAGAGACAGGCGGATGGTCTGCATCTGCTTGGAGCCCACGTTGTCTGCGCCCACAATGAAGCATTTTGGATAGTCATCCAAAAGTTGCTACAAATAAGAGGGGAACACAATGTTAAGATATAACGTTATGAATTATTTCATACAATTGCAGCATAAAACGTTATATTAGCTTGCGTTTCACAATAACTAGGAGTCAGATGAGCCTTACTTACAATGAATGTTAGCTAAGTAGCAAGTTGGGAGCTCCACGTGGCCTCGTGTTTCGTGGGCATATTTGCAGTGCTTCAAAGAATCGCTTGAAAGCTGATTGTAAAGACCAGCGAGAACCTGTATACACAGATCAAACTCGTTAATACAACTAAAGCACATTAGTAACAGTACAAACGATAAGGTTACACCCGCCATGAGGTCGACAGCTGACTAGTCCCACCACCGTGTACTAAACAACCTTCATTCAGCGTTAAATGCTGTACGCAGTTATCTCATTAAGCCATACATCTAACATTGCATTATTACACTACGTTTTAGTTTCCTCGTCTTTATTACTGAAAGCGTGACGCACAGTACTTACTTTCAGGAGCTGAGGTTGGCGAAGGAGACAGGAAGAGAACCACAAGACGAATTTATATTAGAACCAACTGTCCACTCACGACGGAGCTGCGGGCGTCAGCTGGTCAACCATTTGATGCTCGCTGTGTCAATCACTTCTGCGCCACACTATCACCAATACAATGAATTCCACTACAACCAACGCCCCACTACTTCTTCTTCTTCTTCTTCTTCTTCTTCTTCTTCTTTCGAAGGCGGTTGGCAAAGAATGAATTGGCACAATACCGCCAGCGGCTGGTGCGGAGTGTGCACCGTGCTGTGTAGTTGTTGGAATGCTTTGAAGCAGCGATTCCCAAAGTGTGGGCCGCGAAGGTACTGCATGCGGGCCGCGAGAGGTCATTTACAATAAATAAATAAATAAAATGTTTTTAAAAATATTTTTATTATGGCTAACGCCCAAAGCTCCTCGTTGACTGGATCTGACTGTGATATTAGCTTTTTTTGTGGCCTCTTTTGAAGCTTTATATGTCATTTCATTACCTTTTGCCCCAAAATGTGCTTGTACTCATATGAATACGTCTGTCAATCCCCATTTTATTTTGTATAATGATTGTTATATTTCAATAAGGATGTCTGGTTGTTCTGAATGGCTTGTTTAAAGCTTACTAATGATGAACTTAAATCTGAACAACTGATTGCTCTCTGTGGTCTTTTGGCCACTGTAGTGCGGACATTATTGCCAGCATGTTTCCTGCGTGCATCAGTGATAATGTGAACCTATTTTAATATAAAATTCTGGAACAAAAATGCATCAATTAATAATTAGGTATCAAAATTTATCTAGAAACACGGTGAAAAGTTTATGTTTAGTACATGTGTCTTTCGAATATCCAGATTTCAAAATCTCAAAGTGACTGAGCTGAGCTTTATCATAGAAGTAATTTAATTATTTAGTCTGATTTGGGCTTCTGCTGCATTTCCCAACCTAGGGTTCACTACCGGACAACGGTTCACAAAATAAACAGGTAAAAGAAAAACACAAAATTACATTCCAGACACAAAAATGCCAGAAACACTTGTTTTATTTGCAGCAGTTATAATCATTCAGTAATCAGGACCCACATGGGCTTACACCCCACCCACACAAAACGGCAGAAAAGTTGTGGCTCACAAGAAAATGTAATTTGTAAAGTTTCACAAGAATGTCTCCATTTACAAAGTTCACATAATATTATTAACAGTAAAAGGCTTAGATTTTTTTTCAATGAATTATTTGACAGGATCCAAAATGATAAGGCAGTATACAGTAAGCACATACATATGCATGGGGCAAAGCGAACTCATAATTCCTCTTTATGTCCCCCTGCTACTTCCAGTCAATCTGAATCAGCTACAAGTGTACACTTTACTCTCTGCTGAGGGACTCGGTATGGACCCCTTGTCCATCAGCGTAAACTATTGGCTGTTAAGTTGCACCACAGCAGACGAAGCTCTCCAAGAATTCAGCCCATAAAGAGTCGAATCAAACGAAAGGCTGAGAACTCCACAGTGTATAAGACCTTATTGCATTGACGCATTTGACACAAGAGAAACATCAAAGTAAAAACAAAATGAATGTAAATACTGCATATTCACTCTGTGCGCACACAGTGAATCAAAATTACAAAGTATTATTGTCCCCAAAAAAAGAAAAGCAATCTTTCTCATGTCACGAAACGCAGCTTCACGTAAAATAAAGGTGAAACGAGTCATAACATCAATGTCGCTAGAGGCTTGGCTGTGGCTTGGTGTCGTATTCTGATTCCTGACCAGCAAACACCAAAATCCAGCTTCCATCAGTGAGTCAAGTACTAACATCCGCTCAGGGTCATAGTTCATGACTCAAAGTGATAATTAGGGCTGCATTTCCTTGAAAGTCTTACACACTGGAATCAAAGCTGGTACTTGTGTGTGAGAACTGAAACTACTGTTAGCCTGCATGCCAATAGAGCCAGCTCTTTGCATATCAGTGTAAACCCAAACAGCTCAAAAATATATTTATACGTATATTTTTTTTCATTAAAAAGGTGACAAAACACGGTTCTGCCGTCTAAATACAAATTTAGATTCTGATTGTACCAGCAACTGGCAGCCACTGCTGCTAAAACTCCACATATAAGAAAGCATGCTTCTAAAACACAATCAGATTGTAAATCTTTAACCAGGGTTTTTAATAGAATCAATACAGTGATAAATTCATGACAGTAGCAATAGTAAAATATGGAAAAATGTTGAACAGGAGAAACTTCTATTCTAAATTAAAACTACATAAAGCATGAAAATCTTTACTTTTAAAGTGGAGTAAAGACAATCAACTTTGTTTTGGCTTGTTTTAAATTCATATTGTAAGTTCAGCCGTATTTGCCGTAATACATATATTATTCTTATTGATTCCTTTTTGTCATCATCAGTCACTAGCGTTTCATTTTATTTGAGGGTAACTGACGCTATGCAGACTTTGTGGTAAGCAGGTACAACTTGGCCTAATGTATTTATATAGACTCATCTTGGATCTCTCTCCCGATGGGCAATAATGAATTCACAAGAGCACAAACATGAATCCTACGTATGCTCAAAACCTCTGGGTTCAATTTCATAGTAAAACAGTAGAAAAATAACAACTAGCTAACATCTGGCTCCTGTAAAATGCACCTTAAGACTGTCTCATCAAGAGATCTATGGTTGGAGTGTGCAAAGTTTGAAGTGGTATTTTAAAGAAGTAAAGAAGAAGACGGACACGTTTGGTGTGTGTGTCTGTGTGCATGTATGTGAGTATTTTCACGGTCATTTTTAAATGGCACCTCAATAGTTTCTAAAGCTAAAAGAATCCGGGAGGGGGGGGGGGGGTATTTTCTTTGCTGCACACTCAAGGAAAACCTTAAATGAAGATCTCTTTGGGCTCTGTTAAAAATGTCTTTAGCAAAAGTGTGAAAGGCCAAGCCTGAGAGGTCGGACATCCGGGGGAAGCCCCTTCCATGCCGAGGGGCAATACCGAATGACGTGACTCACCGACTCATACATGCTAGACACGTGAGTGCACACACACATCCACACGTGCATTCAGACTAGTAAAATCAATGTGTGTACGGGTGTACAAACGCATTTATACACGAGCACACGGTCTAACTGAAGAGCTTAACGAAGCAGCCTTGGCAGTACGGCTTGTCGTTCTGCTCCTTGAAGGTGCCTTTGTTGAGCTGCTTAAGGCAGAAAGCGCACACAAAGTGCTCCGGGTGGAACTTCTTGCCCATGGCGGTGATGCAGCGGCCCGTGATGGGCTTCTGGCAGCCGGAGCAGAGCGAGCCGCGGCGCTCGTGGTAGTGCGACTCACAGTACGGCTGGCCGTCGTGGTCGAAGAAGCTGCCGTTTATGAAAGGCGTGAAGCACTCCTGCAAAATCAGAAGAGGGGAGGTTCAAAACACGCGCCGACGGGCTCGGTTTGCCACGACATTTGTCGGACACGTCCAGTGGCTCACCCTGCAGACGAAGCACTCGGGGTGCCACAGTGAGTTGAGGGCAGAGATGTAGTTCTCCAGGATGGCACGGGCACAGCCACCACATTTAGGGGCGAACATGTCGAAGTAGTCCTTTCTGCAGAACGCCTTCCCGTCCTTCTCATGGAAACCTAGAGGGCAGCAAAGACACACAGGGATTCGCCGTATGCTTCACTTTTGACATTTGCCCTTATTTTACTCAGCAAAGTGTCATGTTAATGATTGATGAACGCTCTGTACCTTCTGGCCCGAAAAAGGCTCCACACTGGGCACAAAAGAAATGCTCTGGATGCCAAGTCTTGTCCAAAGCGGTCACAACTCTCTGTAAAACAAAGGACAACCAAACGCTCAGTCGTTACATCTGTGACCCAAAAACAGTGGTTTGCAAATGGGGGTACGTGAAGGCACTCTGAGGGAGATTTGTTCTTCAATGAATTTAAAATGAGCATTTATTCAAAACGTTTTTTTTTTTTCTTAAGGGGTGCTCGGCTGAAAGAAATGTTTTTTTACATCACAAAAAAAAAAGGTTGAGAGCCACTTAAAAAATGTGTCCGCTCTAAAAGATAGTCAACATACGGCATGAGCATGTATGTTTGCAATTAGGGAAGAAAGAAACGCAACGGAAAGTCCGACGCCAGGAGAGGGCAGGGGAAGTCCACAGGCAGAGTGGGAGGTGCTGGTCATTGCTGTGACTGTTAGCTCATGTTTTCCAGGCTGATAGCAGTTCTCAGCTGGAAGCATATTCATATTGTCAGAGGAGGTATTAAAACTTCCTCCGCTGCTACGTTAGTGGAGCTGGGCGACAACGGTGAACATGATTCTTCACCACCAGTAGGTGTAGTGTTGAAAAGTACATAGAAACCATTACAACAGTACAAAAACACAGAATGTAAATCACCAAAGTCAACTTAAATACAAAATATGGGGTTCAGAATCATTAGCAGTGAACAATTTACAATCAAAATAAATGTTTAACACACATATAAAAAGAAAGAATAAAAGAAGTGGTGATTTCGGGTAGTGTGCGTGTGTGTTTGTGTATGTTGTGTGTACAAAGGCTGGAAACTCGCTATGAGGAGTAGCAGGCAGTGAGAAGATAGGAGATAGTCCGTCTGTATGCAAATACTGCCTCTAGGATTGTGTGTGCGTGTGTGTGTGTGTGCGTGTGTGTGTGTGTCTGCTTTAGCAATAAAGGATGTAGTGATTTTTCCAGTAAGGCCTTGATCCATTAAGTTATGAATAAATACATGTATTTATCCACCCCTCAATGGTGAATGTAGCAGAGTGTGTGTGTGTGTGTGTGTGTGTGTGTGTGTGTGTGTGTGTGTGTGTGTGTGTGTGTGTGTGTGTGTGTGTGTGTGTGTAATTCAGCGCTATCATCACCTGCCCAACGATGGGTTTCTTGCAGGCTCCGCAAACACCTTTAGCCACCGTCTGGACTCCGAGCCGGTTGAGGTCGGACTGCAGGCTTCCAAGCATGTTGTCCAGCTTGTTGGCTGGTTTTGGGGGGCCGGTGGGAGAGGTCTTTCCCTGGGACAGGATCTGATGGACAGAAAATACCAAATAGGCTTTAATATCAAAGGACTACGCATGCTCATTTTTTAGCCTTACCTTCCTGTGACCGTGCATCATTTTAGAAACATGGTCATCATGTTTTCATGTAACTGCGTTTGTAAATGTCTGTTACATTTATCTGTCCCTGGATCGCTTGTAGGTAAACCAAGGAAGATCTGGTCGGCGGTTAGCCGTCTCCTCTTTCCAGTAGAAGAGAGAAAATATCAACACAAGCCACGGACAAATTAGCCGGGACGAAAAATGTTTGCAGGATTCGATGATGATGTCCAACATCAATAGCCTGTGTTTGAATGCGCGTCTGGCCAGAGCAATGGAAGCAAACACAAAACCATCTCAAATGATGATTGGAGCTTTGGGACTCTTGAAAACAGCATCTCTGCTCCGCGTACTCTATCACGCACAAATAAAATAGCCAGGCTGGTACACAATTATACCGCAGCGCTCATCTATCGTCTCATTCTGTTCAAGTCCTCACCTGAACTTCCTCACTAAAGACAGAATGGATTGTTAAAGGAGGGACGGTACAGGACATTAAACCTCTAACGGCTTGTACCCGACCTTGTCCGACCTGTTGACGGACGTCCTGTGGGAGAAGCTATAATTGTGCTGGTAACCGTGGTGTCATGGGGCAGATGGGGTTTCAGTTGCACGTGAGTCTACCATTCCTGCACATGGCAGGGTAACAAGAACATGGGGCGGGGGGGGGGTTACACTCCTCTTGCCTCTAAACGCTTCTCTCCACTCTGAACGCACAGCGCTCGGCGCCGTCAGAGGTCGGAATTAGAAAAGGGGGCTCAGTCTCTCCAGCTTGAATGTCAGCAGCCACCGCAAACCGGCCTGACTGACTGGAGTTCATACGGAGCTTTTAAGAGACTACCTGTGGCAACTTGGCATGAATAGACACCGGCGGTTGAAAACCGACCAAATGACCAGACAAGTTATACGACTCGACTGCTTGGATTTGAACCGGATTACCGCCAAAAAACCACACTAAACCACTGAAAGTTTAGAAGACAGAAAAGAGAAAGAAGGAGAATGGGGGTCCATGCCTGCATCGGTGGGAAGATGGGGTCATACTCGGTCTGACAGCCCACTGACACAAAGACCTTGGGAGGCGGAGGTGGCGTGACGGGCTTTGGAGGGGGGCTAGGTGCTGGAGGTGGCTGGAAAGGGGGGGGCGTAGGTTCCCTGGGGGGTGGAGTATCTTCCTTAGGGGGAGAAGTAGGGGGAGGGGTCGGGTCCTTGGGGGGAGGAGGGGGAGGTTCTCGAGGAGGGGGAGGGGCGGGTGGGGGAGGGGGAGGAGGTAGTGGGGGAGGAGTCTGCTTCACGGGGGGTAACTTTTTGGGCGCTGGGGGAGACTGCGGAGGGGGGAGGATTTTTCTCTGTGGGGCGGGGGATTCGGGAGGGATGATGATCTGGGGGGAAAGAATGAAACAGCAAAGACAGAAAAAGCACAGATGACAAAAGCAGACGTCAGAATGAGGGAAAGGAAATGGTAAAAAAAAGAAAGAAATTGGTACAACAAACTGAATTGTTTAGACTGAATGTCAACAGAAAAATACAATATTTCTGCCAATATCCTGAATTATTATATCTATTTAATTTTTAGGCTAAAAAAAGAAAAGCTGAACCACCAGAGTGACGAACTCTTGGTTTAAGATGGTCCCGGAGCAGCACTGAATAGCACTGGCTCCTACTGTGCTTCTACAATGTCTACCTTATCCACAGATGGCTGGAGCCTTTCTTCCCGCGTTCGCTGAGGGTTGGACATGACGATGACTCCCTCTGTCATCCAATCGTCTGGCTGTTGTTTGCGCTTGCGCTCCACTCGCCCAATTCCCAGTTTCCCCTGCAGCTCCACAATAAGTCGGTCTTGCGAGTTGCTCTTATTCACAATGACCGGTCCCATTTTACGTCGCAACATTCCTTCCCTGAACATTGGATGCACATTGGAGGTCTCTTTGGTGCGGCGGATAACCGACTTCAGCTGGAGAGCAGATGATACGAGGAGTTTTCGGTAGCTGAGATTTTGCCACTCACCAGAAAGTCCACGACGGGATGCAAACACGCGCAGAACAGTGCCGGCACACCGCGTCTCATTCGTGTGGCAAAAAGGCTCAAGCAGTGGCTCCAGAACTTACTTTTGTAAAAATGTTCCGAAAGTTTTGTCAGGCACTCAAATATTCAATCACATTTGCCTGCAGATGCAAAGCACAGCGCTCCATATCAGAGGCACGGCATGCTCCATAGCACGGCTCAAGACAACACAAGTCCGTCACAAACTGCTTGCAGATAGGTCTGCACAGGTCAAAGACATAAACATTGTTCTTGTATGTTCTTTCAATTGCATGTGCACATTCATAGTGCATACTTGCATTAGCAATAGAAAGAATATTCACCCTACAGTATTTGTAGCACCACCATCCGGGGCCAGGCCAAGCCCTGTGACTAACACAGCAATGTGGACTGAAGCAAGTAGGGGCGTGCAAAGACCTCGCCTCGAGCAAAGCTTTCGACATCTGCCACAAATAGTGTTTACGGGGAGATTTCTCCTTAAGCCATTTTGTAATTGTAATGCAATGACACCACATGCATCACGCCACATAGATGGAGGGATTTCCCTTGTGTGCTTTTGCATAGCTCCTTTGGTACGCGTTGGAGCCGCTCTCCCAATATAAGCTTATTTTGGCTACACTCTGTGCAACACGGCCATGATTGTGTGGGAATCTCGTCTTAGGCCAAGTAATAGAAAGCTTATTTTGGGAGAGTCCAGTTGAGAGTCCTACTTGGCCAGAAGCAGAGAGTCGATCGACAGCAGAGGGCTGCTGTGCGGGAAGGTCCAGCGTTGCATCTGGTGTCCCGGGGCAGGTTGAAGGGGTGAAACACTCATCCATCCAGCTGGAGTCAGTCATGGGTGTCAGGGTTCCATCTTGGCTGAGATCAGGGTAAATTCCGTCTTCCTCCTCCCAAAACCGGTCTCCATCCCCGGACGTAACCGAAGAAGGTGGCAGGATGTCACTCATTCGGGAGGAGTTGGGGGCTAAGAGCTTGTCTAAAGCATCGTCTAATAAAGGTTCCCGACATGGCCACATAGAATCCATCATTTCGCCGTCCTGCTTTTCTGTAAGTTGGAGGGACAGGCTGTTTGATGGTACAGCTGGAAGCGGTGAAGCTCTGGGACTACTGGTACCTGGGACTGTGTAATTATTTCTGAAGACTGAGGCGGGACTTGAAATCCTTGGGCAAGCAGCCAATGGCAATGTATCGGGACAAGAACCCTTGGACACCCGTGCTAAACTAGAGACATACGGGACTGTTACAGGACTTGCAATGGGTGGTACTGGACTTGAAAGTCGTGCAATTGACACTGGACTAGCACTCTTGGGAACTATTTCTGCGCAAACACTTTTTGGAACTGGACCAGCAGTCTTTTTACCGTCTACCGGGGGATGACTTATAGAAAGTGGACCGGAGCTTTTAGGGATTGGGCTTGGATTCTTTGAAGACCAATTTAGACTTGAGCATTTAAGATCAGGTGGACTGGGACTCTGGGTTCTAACAATGGTGCTGGGGTTTATAGAGAGACTAACAGGACTGGAGCTGCCTGAAACAACTACTCGACTGGAGCCGCTGGTAGTGGTTACTGGACTAGAACCTCGGTCACTAGCGATCGTATTAGCGGAGACTAGAGTGATGGACGTGTGTGTCCTGCTGTTGTCTTCCGTTTGACTAGGAGGCTTTGTGATACTAGAGACACTGAAGCTCTCCTCCCGAGTGCTCTCACACGTGACACTGACATCATGATTCATCTGTTGGATCCGGGAGTGCTGAAGGCTCTTGAACGATTCATTGACTACAGAGGAAGAAGCTGCAGACGGCGAGGCCGAAGTACCATCTTCATCTATATGGAGTTCCAAAGGAAGAGGGCTACAGGGCGGCGTAGTGAAACTAGAAGCTAGGAGAGTATGCACTGAACCAATGTGAGGGTGTATAGACAGGGTTGTTCCTGGGGAACCAGCTACCAGGGAAGGGTCCACTGCCTCCTGATTCACAGATGACTGAGAGCCAGACTGAATCAGGTGCATTGACACAACGGCCGCAGTGTACAAACAAAGACGAGACATGAACAGTGGCAGAGGAAAGAGAAAGAGACCAGATAAAACACATTGGCAATGAAGGGACAGAAAAGTTGCCTGTCAAACAACACCTAGCAGGGTTTCTTTCTATGCAATTCTTCTTGAGAAATCATTCTTTAAATACTACAAAAATGTACTTAAATTAAATGGCTTTCATTTCATTTGAAAAAATGTAGTCTGAGGCGGCAGAAACGATACTTTCTCGTCTAAAAATGACTATGAGTAACACTCCCGTGTCTAACAATCTTCACAAATATAACATTTATGGTTTTTAATGGAAAATCATGTTAGTTTGTAGTTAGTTGCAAACCAACAAAAAAATACGTTGTATTTACGCTGACTTTGTTTCACTGAACGCATCATTTTCTCCATGAATTGAATTATGAAGCTCCGGTCACTTAATGTATGTCTTTGCAACACTGCAAAAGTTGATTGGGTTATAATATTATATAATATATAATTATGAGATCAATGTAAACGAAAAGCAGCGGAATATCTGTTCAATGGGAACGTTTCTGTGCGTTTCTGTGCCAGCTACAGCATTTTCATTTAACCACAGATACTGAAAAAACGCTGAATGAAATGAGTTTGACCCCACTTTCTAGAATTCATTTCCCAGTCAAGCAACCCCCTAAACATCTGCAGTGCAGTTCTAAACAGTTACACAATGCCAAAAATAAACATCCTCTATCCAGTATGCTAACCCCTCCCTGACCCAAAAATCTACCGACCACCATACTCACATTGCTTTGGACTTTGAAGTCGGACAGGGAGGCCATCAGCTCATCCAGCTCTCGCGTGGCAGAGGAGGCCGACATTCTGGCTTGCTGCTGTGCCGGAGTTTCCTCTTGTCCATCCGTGTGTTGCTCTGACACAACCAAGGGCGTGGGACTGAAGGACAGAACGCCATCATGAAACGCGACACCCTGGATTTAAACAGCCACATGCGATGGCAGGATTTCTACATTGCTTTTCAACAATTTGTGGCCTTACATGGGTGAGGGCACCGAATTCTCCAGCTCATCTAGAAGGCTCTCTACACTTGGTCGTACATCCTCTATTGCCCGAGCTGCAGCGCTGCGCTTGGGCTTCTCCAACACGCGTGGCGCGACCTTGCCGGAAGTAGAGACGCCGTTTTCCTGGACGTGGTGGATGACGCTGCTGGCGGGCAGCGGGGGAGGTGCTTCTTCTATTACAGAGCAAGAATGCAAAACACGTTTCCTTCACGAATCCACGGTGCACAGTTTATCATAATGATAACCGCCAAAAAACACTTAAATACGGGGGAGTGGAATGGACACTCCGGTTTGACACCACAAAAAAAGAAAGAAAAGTATTTTAAGGGAAAAGTAATCCCCTTGTGTACCTTCTGTGGGGAAGGCCGGGGTGCTTTGCTGGACAGCGTTGAGCTCCAACAGCAGGCGGTCCAGCTCAGACAGGTTGCTGCCCAAGGCGGAGTTCATGGCAACAGCTGATGACTCACTATTTTTCTGCTTGTTAGGGAAACTACAGAAGAGGAGAGAATATTTATAACAGAGTCACCGACAGAGTGATGCTATATTTTGACACTGCATCATTTGGACAGCGGCTCTGGCTCACAGACGAGTCAACACCCAAAGGGAGATTTGTATTCCAATGATGTGTGTGTGTGTGTGTGTGTGTGTGTGTGTCAATAACATAAAGCTCATCATTATTATTCCTCCTTTTATTGTCCTCACTAGAATTTGCTAAATACTGTATACGTTTTCCACAAAGATCCAGCTAAGTGATATAATCTATAAGAGTTCGGCAACTTTTGAATAATCTTTGCATATATATTTATGCAGCGTTGTGACTCAAAAGCCTACCTGTACACGTGGTCTTCTTCACCAACGGGTTGAGTTGGACTGCTGCTCTCTCCAGACAAAGGACTTCTCTGAGCGGAGCTGAAGGACTGAGGGGAGGGTGGGAGGTCACTTTAGTACCCAGAAGTAAATTATGGAATGTTTTTCACTGAACAATTCCATTTACCAAACAATGAGCTTGTTACCTGTGTATCATCAAGTCCGTTTAGCTCCGAGGGCGGGACTTGGAGTGGAGAGCAGAGGTTCTGACCCCCAACAGGGAGGGAGTACGCGTCCTCCTCAGCCAGGAAGAGCGGACGCTTGGAAATGTGGGATGTTGTGGACTCAAGGTCCGCCAACAAAGCATCTGCAGGAACACAAAAAATAATTTCTTAATCACAGGTCCGGAGCGAAAGTATATTCTGAGACGAGGTTGGTGCCAAGGACGGGACGTATACACACACGGGAGAGAATAACGACAGCGTCCGTCGCAAACGGCCAAAAGTCGTGCGCACTGACGTGAGGGGAGGTGGAGCCGCGGAGGTTGAGTCACGCAGACTGCCGCTCCTTCGGTTACTCATTGACCCTCGTCCGCCTGCAGTCTTGACATGTCTTCAACCCGAGAGACGCTGTCAAGTCTGCAACCAGGTACACACACACACACACACACACACACACACACACACTCTAATCTACCGTGTCCACCACAACGTCTACCGTCACAGCACGATGCGGGTAATTTGTATTTTTGGAGAAACACCGACTAAGACAACAACTATTAATTTAGCGGTGCTAACCAGCAGGTAGAAGGACACACTATAGGGCATTTAATCAACAGCTCAGACTGTATTACTGGACACCTGGGCTTATTTTAGCGCGCTCACGACACCACAGCAGTGTTTAGTTTCTCTTCCAGAATTTCACAAGTCCATAAAAATATATTTGAGGCCGATGAAGACAATTAGAGTTTCAATATGAAGTTAGTGATTGAATGTAAATTCTCGATAAAACCAAATAAACCATAGTGAGCGAATAGCTTACAATGAAGGACAATCAAGTTGTATTGTAAAGGGTGGTTGTTAGGACGCCTGAAGGGTTCAAACTACATTTCCTTGTTATGTCTTTAATACGTCACACCGCCGTTTCCCCAGTAGAACTAAATTGATCCAAATATACCCAACTGCAAAGCTCTATCCTAAAATAAAGCAACAGGGCAAGAAAGACAAAACCATAGCGAAAGGAACAAGAAGAAGGAACATACCTTGGACTAAAGACAAGAAGGTAAACCCAGAAGTGAAGGGGAGATAATAGATGATTCACAAGAAGAAAGAAGAAGTGGAGGGAGAGAGCGACCCAAACCGACAGTCCGCCGGGCAGGAACTGCTTTCCTTAACTCTACCATGAGCATAAGAGATCAAGAGCCGAGAGGAGGGTGGCGGGGGGGGAGAGGGAGGGAGGGTGCAACTGAGAGCAGAAGAGAGAGTCAGGGTGAAGAGGAGAAGGAGGGTCTGAAATGAATGCCGGCGGGTTAGGGTCGACCCCTCGGCGCTGCTATGCCAGCTCCAACCTTGCCGCCTGAAAGCTCAAGTAAGAGATACTACTCACGCAAATGACTACTTGAGACGAGCACGCTGCAGCAGGTGAAGGAGAGAACGCCGTGAAATGAGCACGGTGAGGAGCAGGCAGAGCTCTTATCAACAGAGGCATGGCCAACTTAGGGAGTGGTATCACAAAAAGGTCTAGAAATGTGCCCCTCCTTCACGGTGTCCGCACACTTTCTGCTTACGCTTCCCATGACTCACACTTTTGCCACATCATGACGTGATAGTCTTTACGTAGCATACCAATTATTGAGATATGTTCTTTCACAACGTCGAGACTGTAACCAACTAGAGTTACACATTCCGATTTGTAACCTTTAACCACAGATCGGTAGAGTATCATCAGTCGAGGAGTAACTTGGATCGCAGTGCCCTCCGGACTGGGAGGAGACACAGCAGAAGCAGAGATCAATACCAGATCCACTTGGTCCCAGCTTACCACGGCTGACCAGGTTTCACAGCAGAGCCCCAAGCACACCGTTTCATTATGGACACCAGCATGTGTTTGTCTGTGTCCTGCACTCTTACTTGGTAGTGGCAAAAACAACAGAACAATAACGTTTCATAAATCAGAACAAGTCTGGGGATTGATAAAACGTACCATTAAAAGACGGACAGGTGTGCTCGCCACGGCCGTCCCTACAAGCGCTACTCCTGGTTCCGTAGAAGAGGGTCAAGAAGTCAGCAAGAAGAAGAAGTCAGCAAGATCAGGAACTAAGGTCTCGGTTTTCTTATGTTGAAAACAGATTAGGACATGGTCTTCCTGCAACCATTTACGCATGATGCGACAGAGTTTCTTTAGAATGAGAAAACATCACCGAGAATGTCCGATATGTACAGATGTGTGGCAAAGTCTTCATCAAAAGGTGCAAAGATTTCCATATTCCGACGCATTTACGATGAAACGGAGACCAAGACGTTTTCATTTGAGACTTCTCTGAAATATTGCATGAATAAACAGTGAGCATATCTGAGGGCCTTGGCACACATCTGCTGCAAATGTCAGAACAACGTTTTACTGCAGCTGGTGGAGACCTCAGTCAACAGATGTCCGTCCAGATTGTTAACACAAGAGATGTTAATCAACTTAGCCCTGAAGCTGAACTGGCCTCAGCCCTGCAACAAAGATTCTTCTGCTGCAAAAGGGAGTTAGGCTAAAACACGAGCCCCCGGGCTGCATACAACACATATCCTGGTGCATTTATATCTAAGAGAGGTAATTGAAATCAGCAGCTCGCTGCCCACAACAAAGTGGTTGGAAAACACACCTATAAGTTAAACAAGAGTATACAAGCGAAGCATTAAATATAGATACTAGCAGCTTAAGGGTTCCGTTTATTCACTTAACACTGCATGCTGTGACCCATCCACAAACTACATAAACACACGGAGGTGTGTCCGCCTCATCTGGCAAGGGAACATACCGTGACACACACACAGACTCACGAGTTCCCCAGTGACCAAAAATGGAATCACAGTAAAATGAGGAACTCATAATGAGACACCCAAGTAAGATGAGCCTCCTGAATCGCTCTTAGCCTCCGTAAGGGAGGCATCAACTTTGGGAGACGCAAGATGGGACTTGTATGAATGGTTTGGATAGAACTTCTGTTTTAACCGGTTTGTTCCTGAGAAGCACGTTGCTGGTGTGAAGGTGACGGATCTACCTCTGCCTACCAGAAGTAGGCTTCGTCCACATCTAACACACCGTCTACAACAATGTAACACAGGCACTCCTCTGTCAACAACAAAAAACACAGTGTCCACAACACGGGAACAATGAGGAATGGCGCTGGGAGTGAAACTGGGAGGTGTGTGTGTGTGTGTGTGTGTGTGTGTGTGTGTGCGCGTGCGTGGAGCAGCCGACAAATCCTCAGAGGCTGAAATGTGGGTTGACGCAGATTAAGGAGACTCCCTTCCTCCCAGAAGAATGGTGTGCATTTTAATTACATAAACGCCGCTCCATATGGGGCTGCTTACAGGAAAGAGAGAGAGAGAAAGATATACAGGGGACCGGGAAGATTGGAGCGTGCAGAGGAAGGGATGAACAAGACGGGGAGATTACAGATGAAGGGAGGCGGATGCAGGAAAACGGGGGTATGGGAAGGAAACCATTTGAAGACTCGAGCGCGTCAACGGCAGAGGGGAGGAAATATGGTCGATCAAGCACTTTACCAGAAACCTTTCATAGTCAAAATCAACATACAAATTAAACAGAAGTGAACGAAGCAATCCTGTGGCCGTGCTTTGATTTTCTGATCAATAACAAGTCCAGAGAAGCAGGCCTCCATTACCCCTGAAAGCGCCTCAAGCAGCCGGATGTCCGATCACTGCTGACCAGGGCAGAGAGTGAATCAAGGCTGTCCACTACTCAACACACATCGTGTGTATTTAGCCGTCTAGCACTTCAGGGAATGGCTCCTACACCACCATTGGCCACCTGCAGGGGGCGATGTCGGGTCGTGTGAGAGGACCTGGCTTTTTTCTTCTCAGGGCTGCGATACAGAGCGGCCTTCATCTGTTCACGACTGCCTTGCCATTTCCTGAGATATGCACTGACACCAAAGTGAAACTAACCGGATGAATAATCAGTGGCAATATTCGGTCCGTGCAGCCGCTTTACCGGTGTCCTCTGACCTCCTCTCCGCATCTCCCCACCCTCATTCCTTTAATTTCCTACCTCGGAATCTGATGTGTTGCAAGGTGCAAAACGGCTGATATGAATTCCTTACGTGCCACAGCTCGTCTTCCAAATATGAGAGAAGGAGCGAGAGGTGGAGATAGAGTTGAGCTGCTCGTCAGCCGAATAGACGGTGGGATAAGACTGATGAGGCAAGGTGAGAAAACAAATAGTCGGCTTTTAGACAAAGCCATTCTTTTAAAAAAACGATGCGTGCATGTAAAAACAAGGAACAACCTTCAGCTACTCATCTGTGTGTCTGCGTCAACATGAAGTGACAGCCTTTCATGTTCTGTTGGGGGAGACGGACTCTCATTGTGACATTTTGACAGACCGTCCCAGAGATGAACAATCCCTCTCTTGGCTTCCATCAGAATCCAAACTAGATGTGCACATATGCATTTACACTTCACTCCCCTTCTCCCAACAGCAGGCCAGGGCCAGCGTTGGTTTGGTGCGCCTCAGTGGGCAGACGCAAATTAAATCACAGTAGAAACACATACACAGGTGTTGTGGAATAGTAGAACAACAACAACAACAACAACCCTGCGCACAGGTGCCTCTCGGCCAGCGTTCCCAACGCATACCAGAGACAGACTGAGGCGTCCAGGCCCACTATAAATACCTCCCCGCCCGACCCTGACCGGGAGCAGGGACATACAGTAGATGATGGATGGCCACGCCGGTCAAAGCAACAGCAGCGTATTACAGACCACCCAACCAGCTTATACCATGGATTCAATTACATTTGCATTACGGTCTCACCCTGTTTAACTGGGATGAAGACGAGTCTGGATGGAGTTCCCTTATGTTCTGATCCGTGCAGTGCTGCCACGACAAACGCTACTAAATTCAATGGCAGCACAGCACGCTCCTGCAATTAATTCATAGAATACAACTGCTTACACAGCAGCTTGTACTCCATTCTGAATTATTCAATACAACTACGGGACAGTCTGTTCAGACGCATGCAGTCCAGCACTTACATACCGAACGACAACTACGGCCGCGCTGTATTTCTCCATCAACCAGTCATGATGCAGTTTACGTTCAATGTCTGTCCTAATCTAGTCTAATCTAGTCAGT